TCATCACAAGTACAATTCTTAACACCAACCTCAGAGCAAATGTGTTCACGTGACACAGATTTACAGGAGGAGCTGAAGACACGCAGTTTGCAGACCAACACGCTGCTGTCATGCCAAGTGATGAAGCATGTAGGAGTTCAAGTGTGACATGCTATGGCTGTTCTTTCTCCTCTTCTCTCAGGCTGCATTTTTCATACAACATTTAAAGGCATTTCACTAGCAAGGACCACAGCACAACCATGTGCCTTTTAGATATTTAATGATGGATAACCTGAATGATGAGACAGATGAATGTATGTTAAGGTAATGATTATGATGGAAGAGGAGGTTGTCAGTTGGCTGGTCTGGAAGGATGGACTGACTGCAGGGGAGAGCGAGACTCAGGATGGAGGTTCAGTATCAAACGTAATTCTACCCGAGCTGATCACAGCCCAGACTGTGTCCAGAATTAGATGAACGAGATGAAGGGATGAGGAGGGAGGGTGAATGGATGAGAGGAAGGGAAGGAGGGTGAATGGATGAGAGGAAGGGATGAGGAGGGAGGGTGAATGGATGAGAGGAAGGGAAGGAGGGTGAATGGATGAGAGGAAGGGATGAGGAGGGAGGGTGAATGGATGAGAGGAAGGTTGAGTCGACAAGACAAACGTTGTGGAGTGGGATGGCTCAGTATGAGTCGGCTTGACCGGTGATTGAAGGTGCGGCTTGGGCATAGTCCTGCTGAGTTAATATATTCACTTCATTTTTCATCAGAGAAAGGCTGAAACGTGTTGGTCTGCCACACATTTTTCACTTTACCTTTATCCATGAACAAATAAAGGCTTTTTAAATGGTTGTAACACAACAGAGTGCCTTGGATATCTTTCTGTGTTTGCCTACTTTACTCTTCAGAGGACTCTTTTCACTCTGGCGACAAATTCATCAACTGAACTGAACACCTAATATGTTGCCTCAGTAACATTCTCATGGCATCATTATAAGATACCTGAAGTCTCTGTAGGCTTGCTTTCTTGTAGGTATACAGTATAGAGAGGTATAAAACATAGAGAGGTATACATTTCCACTGCTTCTGCACTGAAACTATGTGAAAGAATATTTGCTGGCATACCACACCTTGCAGCATCGACTATAAATATCATCTGTCATCTGGACTGTGAAGAAATGTCTGAGGTGTTTAACCATGGCATAGACTGAAATATTATTTTCCAGACAATATGAACGTAAGGAATATTAACCTAAGTTTTCCTTTTTAGTTCAAACATTTTTCAGGGAACATTTTTTTTTAATGGTTTTGTATCTCATGTTATTTAGAGCGACAATATATAGAACATGTAGTCAGGAGTTACTGGAGACCAGTACAACTTTGAGTGAAGACCAAAAGACCACCTGCATACAGTTTGGTTAGAATATTACCCACAATGCACCCAGTTTTTCAGATCATCAGTTTAAGGGTCTGTAAAATTCCATGTCTGTTTTGTGGGTTAAGGGTAGAGTGCCTATCTTTATGGGTAAAGTAAAGCACTTTTCAACATGATTTCATACAAGCATTGCCTCTGAATCTGTATACATGCTCATGTGTTTCTCCATTTTAAATCTTGTGTATTTGCAATGAAGTGTAAGAATTGAAAGCACTTTGAAACTGTCTCTGTGTATGAAATGTGCTTGCTGAATAAATTGTCCTTGGCTTGTCTAAAAAGATATTTTCCAGCCAGCTGAAACATACATTCACATAAAAACGTCCCTCTTGTATCCTAGAAGAGGACCGTGTGGGTGGTGTGTATGAGTCTACATTACTTCTATGTGGGCGGACGCCTCGAAGTGTGAACACAAAGTGTGTCTGTGTGTGTGCGTGCTGTTGTGTGTGTATGTAAGGTTAAAAAGCCTGTGAAGATCTTTGTGTTGTATACAGCCTTGTGTGTTTGTCTCACTGAGTCTCTATAGGACTCTTGTGTTGTGTTGCTTATTATATAACGGCTACAGAACAAATTGGTCAGGCTTTATTGATGTGCGTATGTGCGTGTGTGTGTGTGTGTGTGTGTGTGTGTGTGTGTGTGTGTGTGTGTGTGTGTGTGTGTGCGTGAGTGTGTGTGGATGAGTAGAGAAATGACGGAGGAGGGCTCTATAACCTCATTCATTAAGAGGCCACCACACTGTCATGCCTGCCTGTAAGTGGTGAGTTAACAAACTGGCTGAAGGGGAAACCACAAGGTGCCCTCTTTAACACTCTAATTTTTTAGTTATTCTCTCTGGTTTGATGACGGGAGGGGAACGTCTCCTCTGGTCATCTCAGCTTGAGTTTTGGAGGCAGTGTGTTTTTTTATGTGGCATTGTGTATTAAAATCCTGGAACTATCTAGCCTCAGGTTCTCCAGAATGCATTGTAATTTTCTATTCCCGACGTGTTGCCTTAGTACTGTTATGTAACGGATATTAGAAATGTCATTTTTCCGTTTAAATATTGTTGTGTTGCCTTCAGGCGAGTTTTCTTCCTCTTCTTCTGTCCTTTTTATTATACGATTTGAGAGTGGGTTTAGTAACAACTAGACTTTTACAAGGAAAAACAGGAGGCAAGCACTTTTCAGGACAAAAAAACTTGATGCAATAAATCAGGTTACTTGCCAAACATGCACTGGGTAAACAGGTGAGAAGTCAGGTAATAAGTTACACTGGGAGAAAAAAGGTACAAAAGACGAATGACAGGTATTTATCAGGAGGAGGCCAGGAACAAACATTAGGTTTGTCTTCTAGAATGACAAAGATGAACTGTCACAGAGGAACAAAAACACACAATTAATACATTTTTAGATGCAGCTAATGAGCTGCAGGTGACACCAAGCAGACAAGCACACAGGAAGGACAATTAAACAAAGGTAGAAAGTAAAAGGTTTAAACCATAGCTACCTTGTCATCACACATTGGATTGTTGACTGCTTTTTTTGAAGACTCTAATTTGATGTATTTGCTTTTGTGTTGTTTTTCTAGAGCAGGAAAATACCATATTTGGACAAGGGGGTGGTGCTGGTAATCAGCCAAAGGTAATTTCAGGTTAAAAAAAACTACACAGTCAGTAATTCATTAGCTGGCTGATTAGCCATGAAGCATTTTGTTTCCCCTAGAACATGATTCTATTAGTTATGGTAAATGACTGACACTGTTCATTTGAGCTTAAGAGTTTGAAGAGCTAGCATACTCACCACTTGCTCGAAGATATTGCTGAATGGATTTCTTGTGCCAGCATAGACTGTATATAAACATGGACATAGTCTCAGTGACATCATTCATTGGTTTCTGAAGCAGACTTTTGAAGCCCGTTGGTGGCAGTAGCCATTTTGAAAATGCTGTCATAACTGGCAAAGAGCTGAAGCCGAGGTGGAGTCAGATCAGCCACAGCCCTAATTATGAAAAACTATTATCTGTCTTAAAATCTAAATGTATGAGCTATTTAAAAACACACCACGTTGAGTGTTTGCTGAATAAAGAAATTTAAATATTAAGACCAAACTAAGATTTATTTTTTTTGCCATGTGTTAACACATTAATCAATGCTTTTGGTCTTAAAATATCTCAATTATTTCATTAAAAATGCACATTTTGTGTTTGCTATTGCCTCTATTTGACAGCTGAAGCCAACAAGAGTCAGAAAAGCTCAACTGTCAAAACTCAAACTGTCAGTTTTTGCACTCATACTTTTCATCCTCTGACCATGAATGTCATTCTCATTGTCTAAAGTTATGACAGGAAAAGGAACCTATCAAATCATGTTTGAGGCAGGCTTATTTTTTTTAACACACAGCCAGCAGCAGCTGCTGATGAATGATGATTTTTCCAGCCTTGTGATTAATTTATCAGCTCACTGCTACACAGAGAGACAGCACCGTGTTGTGTGATTCATAATTCAGAACACTGTTGGCTGATTTCATCCTGGCCTCATTTCCAAAACACCTTTTTCCAATGGTGGCAAATGTTGACATTTATGCTAGGAATAAACACAAGCACTACAAATACCCTTGGGGCAAAATATTTGCGTACTTGACTATTAATAATTGAAATAAACTGATAAATGGCTTTTAAACTGTTTCACACAACACATCTCTCTTTTTAAATCCCGTTTTTATCTCTTTATTTTGATCTTCGTGTCCGTTTTGTTAAAGTGAGTTGTGTCCTGCTGTGATGAATGAACTCACAGTCAGCTTGCCAGAAATATTTCCTCCCTGAAAAGATCCTTTTGTGTGTATTGTGAAAAGATCTTGTTTCCTAGGCAACCAGGAGTTTGATTTTGCTCATGTATCTAGCTGCAGGGATGCTCCAAACATTTACATGAACACAGAGCGAGGGGTCGGAGACGATAAAACATCTATACCTCACTATGTAGGCTATATAAGACAGGAGGGTTCTGCTCTTGCTGAAGTGTGACAGCTGGAAAGATATGACTTTGACATGCTGCGTGATTAATGAGCTGTCCAAGAAGCTATACGACCCATCAGACGCTCTCTCCTGTTTGGAGGGAAATAACTCACATCAGAGCGCGTGTCCATGTCCCAGCTCTGAACCCTGAATCTAACGAGCACCCCCCACCCCCTCCATCTGATCTGGTGCAATCAATGTCCCAGCTCTGAACCCTGAAACCAACAAGCACCCCCACCCCCTCCATCTCATCTACTGCAATCAGGCTGTTTGAGGGCAAATCTCACAACCTAACCGGTTCAATTTACGTATCTTGCACGCATCAACAAAGCAACATATTATTCAGAATACATTTAGCAGATCATTCAGATTATTCATGCCCTGCAAGTATTCAAAAATAACATCTTGCCTTTCATGTCCTGTTATGACTTACATGGTGATCGAGAGTATTCTGAGTAAGTGCGCGCATTTATTTTTCATACGATCAGCTTTTACTCTAGCATCATCATCCTCATCATCATCACCAGCAGCAGGAGCAGCAGCAGCAGCAGCAGTAGCAGCACGCCAACGCGCAAAACCAAGAGTGGGAGCCGATACGGCGGGAGCGCGCACTACCACCACCACCACCACGGCGCGCATGCACAGCTGTCAGCACCAAGGACAGCAGCCGCTCAGCCCGGAGCGTCCAACCAGCGACGCATCGGTGTGATCAGTCCGCACTGAGCGCACGGAGCAGCGGCTGCACTTAACGGTACAGAGCCCTGAGAGGAAGACGCGTGGAAGCTTGGAATATGATTTGACTCGTTCTTTAAAGCCCAGGGGAGGTGGGAGCAAATCTGCAAAGGAGAGCAAAAAAAAAAAAAAGCTTGACAATGCGTTTTGGAGGACCCCGGTTGACTGCCACTAATATGATCATGCACATTCCTCCGCATTGCACATAGAGCCTCCCATTTTCTCAGCTCCTTCCCTTTTTTGGCCTCCCTCGCCCGCTCACACCGCCCACCTGGATCGTGTCTGCAGTCGCGCATTCATCGGGCTGAGCCGTGCCGCTGTACAGAAGCAGCCCGCGCCGACCCGCCACCGGAGAGAAAAGCGACCGGGTTGCACTGTGCTGTTGGGTGGTCCACACGATGCGTCTGTTTCTGTTTGCGGTGCTCTTCTTGTGCTCCTGCGCGCGGGCCGGCTGCGAGCCGAAAATCGTCAACATCGGGGCCGTCCTGAGCCAAAAGAGATATGAGCAGGTCTTTAAAGATGCCGTGACCCAGGCCAACCAGGTCTACGGCAGGGACAAATTCAAGCTGACCGCGATCTCCGTAACGCACAAACCAAACGCCATCCAGATGGCTCTGTCCGTGTGCGAGGACCTCATATCAAGTCAGGTAGGTCTGCTGCCACCTCTGCAAATAACTGCCTTAGTAATCTCTGATAGATAGCTCTTAACTCAGGCGACATGTGAGCTATAAAACCCTCCACCTAATTGTAAAACTGATGTGCTGACAGATGTGTTTTGGAGGAATAAACCCATGCGCAGTACATTAGAAAGTTGTTTCTTTCAGGAACATGTCATACATCAAGATGTGTTTTCTCACCTAAGGGCCATAGGTGTGAAGAGCAGTTTGGAAGCCATGCCTAGATCATCATCAGCCTTTAACTCCAAATCCATTGTGAACAGATGTGTATTAAAGCCTCATATTGGCAAACTAACTGTTCTTGCAGCAGGGACATATCACCAAATGAAACAACAAATCAGCCCATACACTTCTAAAGGCATGTCTTTTGTCCACTTCTAGATCCATGTACCTATAACCCAAAATGTAGTTGGCCCTGTATATTTCTAGTGACCTCCCTACGGACTCATCTGCTTCACAGACATCCGAAAATAGGCTTCGGTTTGAGGCATATCTCGGATGAGAGGGTATCTGTGGGCTGCATTTCAGGACACACAGCTGCAGATCTACTGAGCTGCACAGGAACCAGTGAGGAGTGAAAATGTCTGATATGTCATTTGCAATTAACAACTTGGCTTTCACTGTGTGTGTGTGTGTGTGTGTGTGTGTGTGTGTGTGTGTGTGTGTGTGTGTGTGTGTGTGCTGCATGAAAACATTTTGGCAAAGAGAAGGCTGTTACGGCTGCAGACAGTTTGAGTCTCTGTATGTTGTCCTGCAGGGGTGGATCACTCACTCAGCTGTGTGACATGATGCACGGATAACAACTGGTTGAGAGTCCAGCTTTTAAAAGTGCTTCAATGCAGGTTTTCCAGCTGTTTAACAAGCATAAAGATTTTATATATGTTCTGCACATCAACCCAACAAAACATATTCTATGAGTAAATCATGAGGACCGTATGTGCCTCTGAGACCATCCACTCGTGATGCTCAACATGGCTTTTAACAAACATTATGTCATAGCATGTTGAGGCGTGAAGTCCTCTCGCTCCTTTTTCTCCCACACACATAATTGAGCTTCAAGAAAAAAAAAAAAAAAACACCCACAGCTTCAGAGTGGCTTTCATGTCCTTGTCCTATGCTTGTGTATTGACTCTAATTGATCCAGGCTTGCAGAACAATACTCTCGCACTCAGTCTCCTGTCTTATGATCGCCCGTGCAATCTACAATTAGGCTGTACAGATTACACCAACAGTGGTTCAGTTCTCCACACAAGCAAACATCTCTTGAAGCTGATAAAGAATCCCACCTCGACTTAAACTGTGTGGGATCAGATGAAACTGGCTTGTAGGCGATGATGGGTACTGAGAGGGAAAGTGCATGGCAGATGGACGAGTAGATGCCTGGGAGCAGTCTTTGGAAGATAGACCCCATTTCTGACCCAACCATACGGACTGCTCACATCCAATAATCCATGCTTGCACAGCTCTGCCAGCTTTATTCCTCCTCCTTCACATCTCCAAGGCATTTTCCAAGGCTGAGCTCAGATATTCTTTCTCTACTGGAGTAGTTGGCCGGCTTAATGAGCGGATAAGACTCAGCCAAACAGCCCCAAATTAATACTATTCTGTCAGCCCACACAGTGAGGCCATTTCAAACAAAGAGAAAGATTTCTTTGCTCATCTTTTTGTCGTCGAGATGAGTTTGTCCCCAACTGTAATTTATGTAAATGTTCAGTACAAAAATGTTATTTTTAACCTGTTATACAACATTTTAGAGCAGCAGTCAAAAACAATAAAAGATGACTATACTGTAATTGAGCACAAGTGAAATGTACCTTAAGATAGACGAACAATGTTTGAACCAAGATTGGGCTACAAAGCAGGCAAAGCTAGAAACTAGGTTTAATGCTCCCTAAATGCCCTAGATCCAGCATGACAGTCAGTTTGTGATCATTTCATTAACGTTAAATAATTCAAACTACTCCTGCATTCAGTACTAAAATAAAGACCTTTTCTTAAAGCTTGGGTAGTCTGCTCTGATAAAAAAAAAAAAAAAAAAACCTTTAGTGAAAGCTTTTGATAGTGTCCAACATCAAAGCCCTCACCCTGGAAGAAATTAATAGCTCACACTCACTTATGGTGCAGGAAATATCTACAAGGCATTGGTGAAATTAGTGAATTGCATCTTTGTTATTGTTAATCAAATAAAACGTCCTTTCTCTATCATTATCGTGCAAATAGCCTGTTAGCTTGAGCGCGTGGCACACTTATGCACAATCAATCAATCAATCAATCAATCAATCAATCAATCAATCAATCAATCAAACTTTAATTATATAGTACATTTCAGATGAATTAAATTGCAATTCAAAGGGCTTTACAAGAGTGCAGAAAAAGTGATTGACAAAAGCTTTTTGTAAAATCATTGATTTGGACATCAATTAATTCATTTCAATCATAGTCAAATGATTTGATGGACTTTTCCAATACTGCCCATGCAAAGACAGCAGACATTTGATACCAATGCTCTGAGAACTGTGACTCTTTACGCAGGGCACCTTCTCTACCAACTGAGCTAAACCAGTGTGCGATGTGAAGATAAACTTATAGAAATAAATAAATAGATAACCTACAAATGCTATATATAACACAGTGTAAATTCATCAATCTATATTTTGATTAAATAAATTTGACTTAAAGTAAATTGGGGGGGGGGGGTGTTGTTCAACAGGGGGGCCTCTCTCAATTTTTGCCCTCAGGCCCAATAGTGGCTAAACACACTCCTGGCTTCAGGATGTTTTCTACATTTTAAACCATGTTGTCTCTTAAACAGACTGGAATTAACTTTTTATGATGTAAATAGAATACAGTCGTGTCTTGTAAGTGTGCATAGAAAAATATGTTTTTTTTATATCAACCGCTTGTCGACTCTTGTTTCTGTTGTTGTCGTTGCAGCGTACAGCAAAAACATGTCAACAACACTTAAATATCTATTGTTTTTACTTGTAAGCAGCTGTTTATGTGAGCAATGTAACAATTCATCTTTATTTCATGTTATCATATATATATATTTATTTAGAAATAATATAGAGATTTAGCATCCTTTCATGTAGCCTGTGTGATTTTATAATTGTTTTTATAAAAACATTTTTTGATGTGACATTATGTTTTTTGTTTTTGTCATTTTGCAAAAAAAAATAAAGAAAAATAAAGAAATGCAGGAACGAAGAGAGTTACACTGAAAAGAAATAAAGAAATAATGAGAGAAGAAAATGAAGACAGCATGTGTTAATTTGTTATCTTAAAGACATTTATCACATAGCGATGAGTGGTGTTTCCATTTTGTCTAAAAGCCAGTGTCAGAATGACAAAGTGTTCTTCTGCGTCTCTGCAGGTCTATGCCATCCTGGTGAGTCACCCTCCCCAGTCCAACGACCACCTCACTCCAACGCCTGTCTCCTACACTGCAGGCTTCTACCGCATCCCCGTGGTTGGACTCACCACCCGCATGTCGATATACTCCGACAAGGTGAGTGATGGATGACGGAGATGTAGTGAGCGATATTGAGGAAGGGAAAGAGGAGGAGAGGCGAACACAGGGAGAGGCAGTAAGGAGCTCCCCTGGGGCGGCTTCAAAAGCTTCCTAGATTAAACGTCCCATCACTGTCCATTAGAGCAGCTGTGATTAAATGGGTTTCCAACTGGAAACTGAAAGAGCATTATTAATAATGCCTGCGACCTCAGTTAATGTTTTTATTAAGCACAAGCCACTAAAATGAAACTTTAAAGCAGTCTAATAAATAAAATCCTGCAGAGATCTTTAATAACTCAAGTTCAAATCTATCTGAACGACAACTCCTTTAACCCTGCAAGTCGATCATGAGCATTGCATCCAGAGACTTCAATAAATCTCTAAAGATTCTTCATAGATTAGTTGTAGCAGACTTATTGGGCATTTGTATCTCCTCTAAAGTAGGGCAATCGTTTTTCATTTATGCGCGGTGTCAATATTGTTAGAACAATTCAGCTGAGGGCAGTTCAACTAGTGATGCATTGCATGTTAAAGTACACAAACATTATAGTCATGCAGCATTAGTGAACATGTCGTTCAAATGTATGAGCATTGTATAATTAGCTCCTCTGTCTTTTTGTGAGTGCTTCCAGACAGCCTCGAGAGCAAGAGAAAATAGAGTCCTTAAACAGAAAAAACAGTTTTCAATCGACTGGACGTCATTTTCGAGTGTCTTACAAAACTAGCCGAGCACTGTTGGAAATATTAATCTGTTAATAGATGTTTTAAACTCTTTAAACAGTTACGGTTTGGCTATAGGACTTGGTCAGGGTTTTGAAACATCAAGGTCTGTTTGGACATTTTGTTGACCCTTTGAAAGATCAAAACCTCTTTTCTTTATGGAAAAAACATTCATTTAGGGCGCCGGTATCCTAATGGTTAGTTTGTGAACCCCCCGGTATAAAGGCTACAGTTCTGCAGACAAGTGGCCTGGAGGAGCATGTGAATTTCACCATGTACAGCATTGCATGCGTCAGAAAAGCTCTGAGAAGTTCAAAGTGAAGCGGTTTCTCTTTCACCCAGGAGACAACTGTAACATGGTAGTTCCAAGACGCAACACTGATATACTCATATTAATATTATTATTATATATATGAATATTTGTACTACTGAACACCCCCCTTCCAGCAGCCCTTCGGTGTCCTGTCCCCCAAATGCTTTGAGAGAGCTGGCCAATCAGCAGAAAGGGGGCATGTTGGTCTTACAGAGACAGCAGCTTATGCAAAGTGTTTCAGGCAGAGGCTGAAATGTATGAGATAAATAAGGAGTTTTTAGAGCTACAAATATTGCAAGGATACTCTAATGTTTAGTGTGTTTGATGTTTTTTTAAATGCCACCTCGTGAAAATATGTTACCTTTTAAATGACATAGATTTGCACACACAAGTTAAAGACTAATATCTGCCTTTTGCATTCCCCTGGAGAGGGTAATGGGACTCTTTAACTTTCAACTTTTCTTGGTTGAAAAGTCTTCTTTAGGGGTCAGGTTTAATGCACGGAGGCATTGTTATGTTGAAACAGCAGAGAGTGTTTTCCAAGCTGTTAATGTACTGAGCTAGGGGACAGCAGTGTTCCCATACCTGTCCAGAATGTGTCCTTGAGGCTGTTTTATTTCTCCACTTCTTTGTTTGTGAAGTATGATTCATTCATGAAAAATCTAAACTGTTATGACAACCTGTTAACCTGTAGTTTGTGCCTTGGCGCTCCTCAGAGTATCCACCTGTCCTTCCTGCGGACCGTCCCTCCGTACTCCCACCAGGCACACGTGTGGTTCGACCTGATGCGCGAGTTCAACTGGAACCACATCATCCTGATCGTGAGCGACGACCACGAGGGGCGGGCGGCCCAGAAGAGGCTCGAGACCCTGTTAGAGGAGAGAGAGACAAAGGTGAGACGCTCCGACGCCTCAGCGGAGTGCATGAGCATGAGTGGGCGCGAGTGCGTAAGGGTTTTAAAAAGAAAAAAACCTCAGTAGTCTTCTATGTACGTAACTGTTTTCCTTTCTGTTATGTGGCCACATCTCTTTCTCACCATTGTGTAAACATTGGCTAACATTCCTAGAGACATCAACAGCGTCTAATGTGGTCTAATCTGACAAAAGTTTGTATGTTTATTTGCTCATCTTCACGTTGCTTTTCGCCATAGTCCAAATTCAGTGTCTATCCACAATGGGAGCCAAATAGTGGACTTTAACGTGGGGCTCTGCAAACCATCACGGACTGAAGGCTTTAATTGGGTCCATGTTGGAACTCGGGTGCTTCTCTTTCTTCCTCACGCGTTTATAAATGACCAGCTTCATATTTGTGCACTTGTGTTTGTTGCACCCCGCTAGGTCTTGTTCACATGGGAGATGCTTTTGTGTTGTTGTGCCTTTTCAGATACCGCTGATGCATCCATTTTAAGTGTAGCTCTGAGCTGCGTATGTGGGTCAGTGAAATGCTGATCTTCTTTGAGCCAAAACAGACTTGAGACTGCCATGACGTGTGCCCTTTAGGAGTGGAGACAGACACAGGAAAAAGAGAAAACAACTGCCATCTATTGCGTCCTTTTAATACGATGAAATTACCTTGGGATATTTTTTTTCCCCCAGTATCCTCTGTGATGCGTGTCCCTCTCTGGGGCTTTTTTTTTGCTGTAATTGTGCTGCAGAGTGAAATGAGTCCTGATTTTGAGATTTAATTAAATCAAAGGCGAATGAGACGATGAATATGACACACACACACACACACACACACACCCGAGGTAATTCACAGACGGAAGCTTGCGGTTCAAGCAAAAGCTGCTTAAATTAAATGACCGGGATCAAGTTGGTCATATTGGACCGTGCACACACTTCCATGCAGTTTTAATAACATCAAGTCATCTAGATGCAGCTCACATCCCACTCCGAGGAAGAGAATTGTGTGTTCTTAAAGCCTTTTGATGAGATTTCAGGAAGCTCCTTTTATGTTTGCATCATCTTAGTTTGGAGCTCAATAATAACCCATCTGTGAGTCTCATTCAATCTCATAATGCTGAGGGAATTGCTCTCACTCTTTCTACTATGAGGCTTTAATTATGCATATATTTAGACTTGACTGCGGGGCCAAATCCAGTATTTTCAAGCCCTGAGCAGGAATTATGTAAGAAAATCTCCAAATATTTGCACCGATGATGACACTGAATTCATGGCAAAACCCAAATGCTTAGGCTGTTGATAATGCTTTTTTCTTATTACCAACAGCAAGCCTAGAGCCAACAATGCTGTGTTTAATAAATACTAAGTATTTCTATTCAAGGTCAGTTGAATTAACAGTAAGAGTAGTTTATTGTGTTTTAATCTCACACACACAGTCCTTTTGCATGAAGGTCCTTTAAGCAGTAGTGTATTAATCCAGGGCTAAAAATAGTCCTCTCTAAAGGCTCAAGTTTCTCCGGTTTGCTTGGTGTTTGCTAAAAGCCCAGCTGTTTCGCTAAAACACTGAGCTTTGGAATAAACAGAGATTCTCTGTTTTTGTCCGTCTTTTCGATTTATGTGTTTGTTTTATTGCATTGAGCTGAAGACTGAGGGACATGGACACAGAAAGAGACTTGAAATATCTGGAGAAATGGACCAACCCTTTGTATTGTGCACATTAAAAAGATATATTTACACCAGCTACATTGACAAAACTTGCTCGGTACAGTGACATTTTTATGAAAGATTATTTGTGAGCACTCAAAGTTTCAACAGTTGGCATGGCATTTGGAAAATTGCTATTTAGGGCAATAACAAAATAATGAAATGGATCTTGAAAATTGTAACGATCGAAAGAAAAAGTTCAGATTTTCATTTGTTTTAGCACCCTAATCGCCGTGCTCAGCTCTGACGTCCCATGTTTGTCTGTAAATCAGATAAAACATTGTTCTGATGGTGTGAAGCTGACTACCTGAACTGTCAAAGCAGCAACAGTTTAACCATCACAGTTTAAGGTGACGGTTTACACATGGCACATTGCACCGCTGTCTCATTGTGCTCTAATTAAAGGCAGAGGTGTTAGTCCTGCTAATCACCCCGCTGTGCTGCGTACACTTAGTACATTTACATGTTTTATTTTTAGCTTCGTAGCAAGTCTTTAGCGAGGTCACACAGTCGCAGGGGGATCACTGTCACCACCCGCAAAGAGACTCTGGACACGGGGACACTCTCGGAGTGCCAACTCGACCTACACATGAAATATGAATGCTTCACTGAGGATACAAAAATAGAGCGCTAGCAAAATCTCTAGGGTTAAAAAAAAAAAAAAAAGACAAAGGCAGTTTTTTTTGGTCCACAGTGCTGCAGGGTTTTACTTGTGCAGGCTCACTGTGAGTACATAAGATCTCTCTCTTTATGTCGCAGTTTAAAAAACTGTTACCACCGTTACTTTTGTGATTATGCAGTAGTGTTAGGAACAGTGAAAATGGTCCTCTCACTTTTATTCTGGTTTGCATGTACACATTCTATTTCCATCTTTTAGAAAATCATACTATTTTTTAATGTTTGCTCAGCAGCATTTAAAGCAGTTCAAATGTTATTTAGTCAAATAATGCAACGAACACAAAGTTGCAATAGTATCAGCTTGTATGATAACTTTTACATGTCTTCAGTTGTGAGTGGAGGAGGTTCACGCTTGTATTTACAGTGAATTCTCCTGTCAGCTTGAATACTGCACTGATGCACCGACAACGTCAACTTAGCCAAGGGAGAGAAATGGACCCGGAGTGCACTGAGGTGTGAGCTCTGAAGCCAGGCAGCTGTGAAGGGAACCCTGTGAAGCAGAAAGATGATGTGTTTCCCTGCAAAATGGCTCCCCAGTCACCTCTTACAGGAGACAGGCCTAACTGAAATCCAAAATGGGGAACCTTTGGGTGATTAAAACATGCTCAGGTCAGAGTCAGCATGTTGTTCTCTGACCAAAGCCCTGCCATACTAGGTAATACTACATACAGGAGGAACTATTTAATCTCTTGTTAGTAGTTAGGAAACAAAAAGTCAACATTCTGTACTTTTCTTAGGTAATGGTGCAATTCTTGCTGCGATGAAACTGCAATCTTTTCTTTAAAACAAAACATTTTGTTAGCTCTTTTCCAAGCAATCACAATCTTTTGAATGTGTTTCAGCTGTGATCAGATTGTGTCAAGTGTGAATCCCTTGGCTTATGTATGGGTTATAATCTTAATTATGGACTTTCTATGGACTGCATTTCATTTTGGGATCAACAATAAAGTTGGCAGCTGTAGTTGTGGCATAATTTCTCGAGCCATTAAATCTACATGAATCAAATAAACATCTGCAGAATGTCAAAATGGTTACTGAGTTGCTCCAAGTGTTGTTAACTCTAAGCTGCTGCTGCTAAAGATGGCACATTGCATCTCATTAACAAAGCTAGTTCAACGTCAAAAGATGGCTGGATTGATTTGTTTCCTTATAAAGTTTTGAATAAGCTCTTAATGCTTTTTAGTTAGAAAAAAAAATCAAGATCACACTTTGGATATCATGGTATGTTGATATAGTGTGTGAAATCTGATGGTACTTTTGAAAAGTCACGTTTCTGGTGTGTGTTGGTTGTTTGCAGTAAAGGTTTCATAACTAATCACATGGCTAACAAGATGCATTTAAGGGTTTCCTATCAAACTATGCGTTGAATACGTCTTTTGCATTTCCCTTTATCTTCATTAGTGATGATATTATAAGCATGTAAATGTGATTTCAGTATAAATCAAGTGCAGTCATCTCAGATGTTTTTGCAAGCCCACTGTTAAAGGTCCCAATTTGAAGCAGAAAAGTGGGGATTTGTTGGAATGCTTTACTGCCCTCCATTTTCAACTGTTTATAATATTTTTCTGTGTCTGCATATTTTCTCTGTGCACATTACTCATCAGAATAAAAAAAGGAACTATGAAAACCTCGACCAACTGTCCTATGACAACAAGCGAGGACCTAAGGTATATTTGCATGGTCAATGCACGCCGCCCACAACTTTTCCAATCGTAGCAACGAGCGACCTAAGTATATTTGCATGGTCAATGCACGCCGCCCACCAACTTTTCCAATCGTAGCAACTAGAAACCACCCAAACCAGTCACCAGCCGACCCAGAAATGTCCCTCTCTGGTAGCACGTGTTTCCCTTTTAATTTTCTTTTCATTTCCCTATGATTTAAATGAAGTATGATTTTTGTTGTGAAAAAATCATAATTTTCGGTCATTCCAGAAAAAAAAGAAAGCAGTGAACAGCGCCCGCTTTTATCATTTTCATTTTCTCCTTCAATAAAGGAATGCATGTACTCTGAACACACACACTCACACTCAAAAAGAGTTTGCAAGTTCATTCCTTTGTGGAGAACCGGTAGTGTGGGACAAAACCGTTTCCCAGATGCTACTTCCTCCTTTCTGTAGCACTTCCCTGATTTTCAGCAGTTTTTTTGTTGGGGGAAAACGTCCTCCTCACCCCTTCACCCGTTTTTAGTTACTGGTTGCATTGACCTTCTTTCTTCCCCCCTACTAACACATGCACTTCCTTTTGGAGCCGATAACCTCAGTTTGCATGCAAACAAATGCAAAAGTTTTTTTTTTTCCCTTAAAGCTTTTTTTTTTTTTAGTTCAGCCGGTTCCCTGGATCGCTTTCCTTTTTATCTCTGTCTCCCGTTTTCAAACAAAATCGGCCAAGCTCGAACCAAGCAGGTAAAGAGGCAGCATGGTGTCTGAGGTATAGAAAAGTAGCTGGCTTGACCTTTCTTATGCCCCGATCACAGGCAGAGAAAGTCCTCCAGTTCAGCCAGGAGACTAACTTAACTGCTCTGCTGCTGGAGGCCAAAGAGCTGGAGGCCCGAGTCATCATCCTGTCCGCCAGGTAAGTTATTTATCCCTGAGAACATTTCAATCCCATAAATACGACTTAGATACAGGCTACAACAAGCAGCTGTTTTGTTTTCAATTCAAGGTAGGTAGGGTAGGAAATTTATTTGTTGAACATGTCTCCACTACAAAGACACTCTGTCAAAAAAGAGAAATCTATAAATGTGTTGGTAATAAGTCCATTCATTTGGACATAATCGTAACATAATAGGAATGTCCCAATGTAGGGGCTTCATCCTTCAGAGTGCGTGTTTGAAGGCTGATTACATCACAGCGGTGGGTCGAAGGCCCTTTTGACAAATGTGTCCCTTTTTACCTAGCTTTTGAAGGACCCATCCGGTATAGCCTTTGTGGGCCAACAAATCCCAAGATTCATTGCCAGCAATTTTCTTTCGAAACTCTTTTTTTCATAATCCTAGTCTGACTTTACAGTTATGAATTGTCATACGGACGCATCAAAGGTCGCATAAAAAATAAATAGAGAGCAAAGTATAGAGAGTCAGAAGTCTTGATTGAGTGTAGCGTTTTAAATCAAAGGCTTGTTAAGTTTGAACACATTTCACTGTTATGGCATCTGTTAGCTCATTCATAAAGATTAGGGACAGTGGTTTGGTCTTCATAAATCTACATTTGTGTAAATTTTTGGCGATAATAATCAGGGTATTGTATGTTGGCTAGTTCCTGTGCAGCTGTTGAGGTATCTAGGCGACAGACTAAGAAATTGGGGGGTAAGGGTGGTGTGCAACAACTGGTGACGCACACATTGAATCCTCTGTGGATCTGACCTCAATTCAGATCATCCTTAGCAGTCTACACAGGCTACAAGGGCGGAGTCTTATTGGGATGCATGCTTTGAAGGATGCTTGCCCCCAAATAGACACAGCTAAAATAAAATCACACACTGGGACACATATAATAAGTGACAACTGAAATGTGTTACAACACTGGGGTGGGATCAGTGTAAAAAGGCAATGGCTTGCTAGGTATAGTTTCTACAGTACAAGCTATAGCTATCAAGCTAGTTGCATAAGAATGGTAGCCAAATATAGTACAGTAATGGGCAGGGTACCTGACTCTAATCCTCCCTTGTGGACTCATCCTTTACCACAAGTAAACCAGAGCACACTTATATGTTTTACTTTTAAAAAATAAGCTCACTCTTGCTGGTTTCTCCAAAATTGTCTACTCCAGTTTAAGTGCTGATTGTTTTCTTGATACGTTTGTTTTGTGTCTTTTTGAGAAAAGTTCAGTATTTAAAAAGGCATTGGCAGCAACACTGCTTGTGTATATGTGAGGAAAAGATAATGGTTTGGGTTAAAGTAACTCGTCAGCATTGGATTGTTGTCCCACATACAACACAACACTCCCCTGGGTGAAAGCTAATGAGCACTCTTGCGAGAAAGCCCCTAAGGCTAACGTCCCCTGCAACCCAGATGGTCACAGAGCTCCCCGAAAGCATGCTCTGCAATACCAAACCCTTCCTGGTGATATTTGTGTTTTGATGGAGCTCTGACAGATTTTGGATTGTGAGGTGTCCCAGATGCTGCATTGGTCATTTCTTTGATGCTCCATTTTTTGGTTCGTCTCAAAGAGATTTAATGTTGAGGGGCAACAGCAGTTTTATTTATAGAATTAATTGCTGAATTTCATTTACTATGGGGATAGAAGAATTAGCAGGAATTTAGAATAAGTCAGATATTAAATCAGTATCTCCCCTCGTCTCCTTTTCTAAGGGAAGTATGAGATGCAAAAAATAATCAGATAAAACTGAATTTAAAGGTCACATTGGTCATTTCTTTGATGCTCCATTTTTTGGTTCGTCTCAAAGAGATTTAATGTTGAGGGGCAACAGCAGTTTTATTTATAGAATTAATTGCTGAATTTCATTTACTATGGGGATAGAAGAATTAGCAGGAATTTAGAATAAGTCACAAAAAACCCCTAGCTGTGGGAGTGTCACCCACCTGAGGGAGGCGTCACTGCCCTTTGTGATGTCATGATGGGAAAAATCCCCAAACGGACTGTTTGAGCACACATTTTCTGAAAAGTGGAGCAGGCAAACGACTCTTTATAATTGGAGGGTTTGTAGAGGACAGGGACACATATTAGTGTTAGAAAACATGGTAAAGTGCATCTTGCATAATATGTAACCTTTAAGAAAAGGAGGGATGCTTTAATGTTAAGCTATTATAACAATGTCAAAGTAACTTAATCTCTGTGATCCACTGACATGAACTAATCCCAGACAACTGGGAATCACTGTAATCCATCTCTCCTCAACATGAATACAATCCTTTTCTGTGATAATAAAATAAATTATAGTTGCCCCTTTTTTTTTCCAGTGAGGAGGATGCTGCTGCAGTGTACAAGGCGGCCCGCTTCCTCAACATGACGGGCTCGGGCTACGTGTGGCTTGTGGGTGAGCGGGAGATGTCGGGTAAAGCCCTGAGCGAGGCGCCAGACGGTAGGTTTCATCCGACAGAGATCAGTGGGAATACACAAGTTAACCCCCGGCTTTACTCACAGGCCGATCATAACACCGACAGGATTAGAGGGATTAATCGTTAAACGATGGATGCATTACATGATTAACTGTATAACTGCTTGTTTTTGTGTTGAGCATTTAAACGTTTAAGCACTATTTGTTTAAAGGTTTCAATGGGCTGTGTATCTACAGTACATTCTAGTTTTAAAGTGTGTGTCCTGGATTATACAAAGGTCAATTCATTGTGCTATTCTGCCGTATTAATACCCTGGTTTCTAATGAACTATGAATGGAGAGTTTTGGGACAGATAGCTGATAGAATGGTAAGCTACAACAGAGTTTCTTGTCTCTATTTCTGGGTTTTTCGCACCAATCTCTCACAGTATTTTAACACTTTGTGCTCACAAATGTCAATCGTTTTTTCCCCCACTCTGACACAACCAACCCCTGCAGAGCGTTTGTTGTCCTGTCCAATATCTTCACCTTCCACTGCAGCTTCTTTCAGGAGTCTGCCAGCAAGAGGAACCTGGTTGCAATCAGAAAACTTAGCTGAAGTTGGATTGTTGCTTGGTTTAAGTTTAGGTCTTATGGTATTTTTGTTTGTCCCTAACACAAAAACTACTCTGCCTGTGCTGACTCCCATAACCTTAGCTGTTAGGACAGGAAAAAAATACATCCAACTTCAAGGGACTCCTTTAACATGCTGTGAAAAGGTCATCAGTGGCAACATCAGGAAAATGATCCATCACTTCTGTTGCCACATCTCGTAAATCACAAGATGTGTGTATTCTTTGGGGGTGGTTATCTTGCCTGAGATGAGCGGGCAAAGAAGATGGATCATACCGCTGATGTCTGACCTTTATCCAGGATGTCTAAATTGGAGACCCTATAAGTTTTATTCCACTTTGTGCATTGCAAAAGGATCCTGCGAGGTGCCATGATTGGCTCAGGTTGGTGATTATCTTTTCTTTTCCCCTGTCGGCCTGGTCTCAGGTCTGATCGGCCTCCAGCTCATCAACGGGAAGAATGAGTCCGCACATATCAATGATGCAGTGGCCGTGGTGGCTCAGTCCATCCAGGAGCTCTTTGAGAAGGAGAACATCACAGAACCCCCGAGAGGATGCGTCGGCAACACCAACATCTGGAAAACGGGGCCACTCTTTAAACGGTAAGGTTGTGCAGCTGTAAAACCTTTTTTGAGACAAAGATGATAAAAGCTGTGAACATCTCAACTATTGATTGTTTGATGCAGGATTCTATAATGACAGTCTGTGAGTCGATGGCATAGCCAGCATGATGTCACCCATTGATTTGTGGATTTCAATTTCAAAGCCTTGTCTTTTGCATTATGTCTTTCTTGGGCACCAGAAGCTATACAATTTGAACATGAGGAAAGCTTTTACTCTATCCTGAGATTAAAAGGATGCTTTATAAATACTTTATTGTCATTGCACATTTCAACGAAAATTAAAGTGCATCATCTCTTCATGCTGTAATAAAAGCAGAATACAATTAAATAAACTATTGTCTTAGGGAAAATGTTTCCTGAGCTAATAAAACACCTTAGTAAGACTCCTTTATAACATCTGCTTCAATAGAATCGGACTTCGTTTTGCAACCAGTTGATGGGCCCTCTGATGGGCTTTAAAGAAAACGCAGGTATTCAGCATTTTGGCATCTGCTTCGCTTTGACACAAAGAGGCTTTTTCACTCCTTCTTTAAAGTTTTGAAAATACAAAACATTCTTGTGAAAACTAGCTCAATAAAATAGCAGCTGGACTTTTTCTAGGGCATATCATGTAGCTTTTTCCTGTCTACATTTGGGTGCCGATAGCCTAGTGGATAGTTTGCACATTCCATGTAAAGAGGCTGTAGTCCTCAAAGCACATGTCATCCCCCCACTCTCTCTCTCTCTCTCTATGTGATGTCCGATAAATGTGGTTAAACCAGAAATCAAATACATCTCATATAGATGTATCTTCTAAAAGGTCTATGGTAAAATGACTCGAGCTTGTATAGCACTTTTCTAGTCTTCTGACAACTCAAAGTGCTTTTAACACCACAGGTCACACCTCACCACATTCAGGTGAGGAGAAGCTGTGTGCAGAGGGACAGAAGTAATGCTCAAGAAAGCTTTCTTTTGGTCTGAGAGACTGGTGCTTAAGGTCTTCTTTGACAGTCGCATATTATGCCTTCAACATTTACGTTGCTGTGTTGTTATTATGGACCAGGGAACTTGATTTGGTTCAATAAATCTACAACTTAAAGTACTAATTTAATTTAACCTGGTGCTTTACGTCTGGTTCTCTCAGGTTCTCAAGAGTGTTATTAATTAAGTTGGCTCAATTTCTGCTTGGTTTGGTCAAAAATCTTTTAAGCTACTGATAACCAAAAATATTTTGTGCACAAAATTTAAAAAAAAAGTATGTTTGTCAAAGTGTCATTAAAAAAGTGAGTCAAATCAAGATATGTATTCAGGGGTTGCATGTACTCTGTGTTTGTCATTATGTGGTAAATTTAGAGTGCCAGAACTGTCAGGGGCTGGTATATTCAAAATTGAACAAAACTGGATCTAAGCTTCACCAATACAAAGATATATTAAGAGTTAAAATTGATTGTCTCTGCAAGTCCCCCAGCAAATAAAATGTCTATTCCAACTAACTTCTATCTTTAAAAGCTCTCTTGTAGAAGAACAGATTCAAGACGTTTTAAGGATAGTTTATGTTTCATTTGTTTTTTTCTCTTCCAAAAGAGGCATATTAATTATGACTGACCCATTTAGAGCAATTTCTCTTCATCAAAACAGAAAAACAAGCACACTGCTTTAATTAGATGAGGTGAAAGAAAAAGAAACAACATTTCGGTTGAATACTGACACAGCTCTGCCATCTTCAGCTTCTTTTCTACATTTACTATAATTTGGTGAACCAGTCATATTGCTGCATACACTGAATCGAAAGCCTTTTTCCAAACATTTAAAAGCAAAATGTTTACTCCTAATACAGCACACATTGTGTCCATGCATGAACACATGTCTACAAAATTAAGCAAATCATAATTGTATTCCCATGCCACAGGGTGCTGATGTCATCAAAATACCCAGAGGGCCTCACAGGGCGTGTGGAGTTCAACGACGACGGTGACAGGAAGTATGCCCACTACAGTATCCTCAACTACCAGAAGAGTCGACTCATTCAAGTCGGAATCTACAACGGAACACAGGTAATATAACCAGCAGAGGCAATTTAAGCTTATTTGACACAGCTGATCCGAGACTTGACGTAACTTTCAAAAACATTTCCTTTTCAATACATAGTGCCCTGATGTGTGTCATATCTTCAGCATTTCTGCATCGTCATCTACTTTTTTATTCATCCTGGACTGCAGCTCAGGCTCTCTATCCTTATTGAAATGCAACTAATGTAGGGCAATTCCAAAAGCTCAGTCAGTGCAAAAAAAAGCTATCAGTTCTGCCAAAGCTGCGGCTGCATTCTGTCACACTGAATCTGAGTTGTATTTCAAATATTTACATCTCCTACTGCTATAATGAAATGGAAAGATCATGAAAAATGAACAGTGACTGAATGCAGAGCGGGCAAGAGAGAATATGGTTTTTTAAATACTTAACATTTGAATGAAAAGCAGCAGCCTTTTACTGCCCTCTGTGGCTTGAAGTTTCAAGTCTCAGACCACAGCTGATGAGAAGTCAAACTGCTGGAGGTCCTCAAATGATTTGTGAAGATACCATCCTAAAAGTAAGTTTAGCTAGTATTACAACGTAGCTCCTACAGCATCATATAAAGTTGGATCAGGCCTTCGGGTTAGCATGTTTCCTGCTCGGCAAAAGAATCATTGTTATTTCTGCTGTTAAAATGTCCAACTGTAGATATCTAGTGCGTGAATATCAAAAATATATATATTTTACATATTGCTCCTTTATAATCAAAATGGATGAGTTTTTAAAAAAAGTTTTTAAAATGGTTGTTAATGGAGGCTTACTGGCCTATTAGAGCCAGCCTCAAGTGGACACTCAAGGAACAGCTTCTTTTTTTATTTCCACTTCTGCATTGGCTTCATTTTTCACTAATGGATGTTACCTCTTGGTTAGGATGAGAAAAATATTAAGAAAAAATTTGCCAAATTCAAACTAAAAGTTGAAGTAACACAACGTTAACACCTTTAGCCTTATGTTAACCCTCACTCCTTAAACTACAAACACAAAGGCTCTTGTAAAGAAAACTTGTTAGATGTGGTGCCCTACTTTTTTTAGAGCCACAATTCCTTTTATTTGTTTAAAACTGCATATTTTGAGTACTGGTCTGCATGATAACAACATATACATTTTTAGCCTCTGATTATAGCCTTGAGCTCTTTTTAATTCATTACTGGATCAATGGAGTCTGCTTCATAACAACTGGGTAAAATAAAGCTGCAGAAGAAGACTTTCAGACTCTGTTGAAAACTCTGGTAAAAGCGTTTTAGTTACTTTATGATTATTCTGTCAATTTACATTTATAAACAGTAAATGGTGGATATTAATGGGCCAAGCATTCAAACACAACAAAATATCTGCATTGCCAGAAAAGGCACATGCACTCAGTGTTTTTCTAGTGGGATAATAATAAGTTCCTGAAAGCCTCAGGTATGACACATAAGTCAGAGGTCTCTGAAGTAAATAAAAGAAGCGCTGAGCTGTCATTACATAAAGCTGACTCATTAGCGGAGTACACCCACAGTGTTGGAACCTCATCAGCAGCATGCCTTCTGTCAGCACTCACCTATAATACTCTACATGTATGTGGCGTCCTCACAGGTGGTGATGAACAATCAGCGGAAGATCATCTGGCCCGGGGGAGAGACCGAGAAACCACAGGGCTTCCAGATGTCCACTCGATTAAAGGTAGGGTTCCTTCTTCAATGTGACATTCATGTCCACACAGATAGAGACAGAGCTCAGCTGATATGTTCCTGTTGGACAATGTGATGACATGTTTTATTCTCAGAGGGGAATGAAGTTAATCTGTGCTTAGGAAAGCGGCAGTGATAAATTTGGTATGACTTTTCATCTTTTTTAATTTGTCAAAGGCCGGCGAAGAATCTCTCATCTGCATCCTTGTCAGTTTTTTTTACATTCATTTGTCAGACTCATTGCGTTTATGTGTATCTGGGGGTTTGTATGTTGTACATTGTTTGTGTAACTGCTTGTTATTTTCAAAGCATTTTTTTGTTCTTTCTTGCTGTTCTGCAGTCCAGTCCCTCGGGATCAAACACATCCAGCTCTGGCTTTGTGATAAACAGCTTTCTGTCCCGTCTGTTGTAGATAGTGACGATACACCAGGAGCCATTTGTGTATGTGAAACCCACTCAGCCGGACGGAACATGCCATGAAGAAATGACATTAAATGGAGTCTTAATTAAAAAGGTTATCTGCACTGGGCCCAATGAGACCATCCCAGGTAACACATCAGGGACGTTTATATTATCTCTGTGCTTTTACTGCACCCCGCCAAACACCCACTGGAGATGCATACATATATATGCAGTAGGTATCTATATATGTATGCATGTAGCTGAGTGTGCCATTCAGAATGAGAGGTTGCTGGGAGATGCTTGGTGTGTGTGCTATGTGTGGCAAACAGCGTGATTGTGTGTGTGGTCGTCTGCAGTGCACCGTGTCACCGCATTCCGTTCCGTCTACGTGCGCCGCCACCGGATCAAAAGCAAAACAATCCCACATGTTTCCTTAAGAGTGATTGTAACTTTAGACTCTTGCTGGTTTGGTTACAGGACGCCCAATTGTACCCCAGTGTTGTTATGGATTCTGTGTTGATCTCCTGATCAAGTTGGCTATGACCATGAACTTCACCTACGAAGTGCATCTGGTGGCTGATGGGAAATTTGGAACTCAAGAGCGTGTAAGTTCAACACACAGTGGGTCAGTTTGTCAAAGCCTTGCATGTGATGTGTGGTTCAACGTAATGTCTTACATTCAATAATTCACACAACTTTAATCTTTTTACTGAACCCCTTCCCTCTAACAGTACCGATCTCACTCACTATCAAGAGTTAAGCAATAAGCAGACAGACATAAAAATGTCCTGCAGTTAAATTGTATCTCGCCGATGATTTGATTTGTTTCATTGACTGTAGCTTCCTGGTTTCAAAAGTTAAGCCGTAATGTCAAGTGCTTTAAACCTGCATTGCTTCCAATGGCCAGCAGGAGATGACTTCACTGGTGGCATGAAGAACGACTGATTGTATGAAACCAGAAAAATATAAGTAACTCTACTTAGCGGTTGATTTCTTAACTCATTGAAAAAAAATGTCAAAGGAGGATATGGTATTGATCACCTATTTTAATCCTTATTCAATACAAAATAATGTTCATTTTGTAAATCATGGTCCCATTTGGAGTAAAATCAACAAAAAAGTATGGTAATCTTGACATGGCTTCTTGTCACTGCTTGGTGATGTTATGGTGACTTCTACTACTTCATGTATAACAGTCCAAGATGTTTACACTTTTCTGAGCAGAAATCACCACTGATGACAGGGCCAAAGTTGTAATATAAAAAGGGCCTACTAAGATACTTAAGATCCAACTTGGAAACAATCAGAAGAAAAACAATGAGTATGTATGTAGTGCCATACACAAATACAATTTCAAATAAAACAAACAAACCCCACAACTTTAGAAAACTTTTCTTGTTCTTCGCTGCATGAAAATTCCTAAAAATAACAAATCTTCTTTTGAGCCAGTTCCAAGGATGTGAAGCATGTCTAAAACCGAAATCCCCACAAGGCTAAATCCAAAATCGTGAAAGCCTGGAAACATTCTGTTGTCTAGACGACAGCAGGTTGACAGCACATTCTCATGTTAACACCTTCCTTTTGGGACTCTAGGTAAACAACAGTAACAAGAAAGAGTGGAATGGCATGATGGGAGAGCTCCTGGGGGGCCTTGCTGACATGATTGTGGCCCCGCTGACTATAAACAACGAACGAGCCCAGTACATCGAGTTCTCGAAACCCTTTAAATATCAAGGCCTCACCATCCTCGTTAAAAAGGTAAGTTTCCAACTTTAGTAAATGTTGTGCTCAGTCATGTCAAACAACCATTACTGTTTGGTATGGATCATCAACATTTGAATTTGTAAGCCTCCAAGGCAACTTCCATCAGTTGTCAATCTATCACGAATACCATTCACCATATTCCCATGGCAACCATTGTCCTCTAATGTCACTCACTGGGTGTGATGCTCAGATACTGTTTTAATGTCACAGTGCTGAGGTATTAGGGCCACATTTAAGGTAAACAACATATTTAAGAACCCATTAGCCACTGTTAGACCACAGCTAACGTTAGTATTTATTCACTACCTAGCTTACGATACTGTTTATGTTACAAGATAGAACAAGAAGGTCCAGTGTGGTTAATGTTTTGTGTAAAACCAATGCGACAGGATGTGCATTCATGTAGAATTTCAGAATAATATATTGTTTGCTTTCAAACTTCAATGTTTGCTCGAAAGTTGCTAATTGCTTGTATTTTCTGTTGTTCAGTAATCAGGAAGCAAACAATGACAATCTGTTTTATTCCCCATACGTATATGACTTTCTATTTGGAACATAGCTGGACTAAATTATCCTTTTGATAGTAGCATATTAGCTTGCCATCCTAAGCGTGATGTCAGAGGGTATTGGATGCCAACGCAAAAACATTGAGTTCCACAATGGAACCAAGTTTTACTTAAAACCTAGATTTCAGCATAAACAGAGCAAAATGATCAGCAAAGGGGAATATATTCCAGCCTAGATGGTGTTTATTTGTGCATGGGTGCATAATGGGCTTTTAAATGGGGAGGTGTTAGAGCACCCCATGGGCAAATCAACGGAAAATACTTGAGCTAGTGGTGGGCGTTTTATCTAGATCGAAACATGGACTCAAGATACGCCCTCCATCTGGGATAACCCATCTGGGGTCTACATGAGCACTGAGGGCATAACTGGCTGGGCCGTCGTAATGACTTAAGGTAAAGGCCAACTTGCAAACAATCAAGGCAACATATGGCTGTGCTGGCTTAATGCATATATGTGCAAAGAACACACGCTAAAAGAGGCCTCAACAGGACATCATTTCCTTCAAGTGAGCAGCACTTAAGCAGAGATTTCTACATTATAAGGCAAACAACATTTGCAGATCAATTTCAATGTACAACATTTTTTGGATTATCCTTCATCTAAACATGTGAATTGTATTGGAGTTTATTTTAAATCACCATCCTTTCTTTAAAGGCTCAAGCCAGAGATGCAACTGTATTTTTCAGAAATCAGATTTCTTTTTTGTTCTACTTGAATCGATTACACAAGTATCGATGAGCTTTCATTACATTCATATGTCTAAGACATACATCCAAACTGTATTTACTTCATCACATATGAATATGAGGTGATGCAGGGGTTACTCTTCCAATATGTCAGTATTTGCTATGACCATAATCACTGTGATTGCAACACAACTCAAGCAAATTTAAAAAGTGTGCTTTACGATTTGTAGCCTGCAGGGACATGAGTTAAGTAAAGCTAATATGTAAATGTGGGGTAATTAAAACTGTGAGTCATCAATCTTCAAATAACTGCGATGTGTGTTTCCAGGAAATCCCTCGCAGTACACTGGACTCGTTCATGCAGCCGTTCCAAAGCACGCTGTGGCTGCTGGTGGGTCTGTCGGTGCATGTGGTGGCGGTGATGCTTTACCTACTAGACCGGTTCAGGTACACGGGAAACTGTGTGTGTATGGCTGTGCCCATATGTTTCTGTTTATGTATATCACGATTGAATGAATGAGATTTGTGTGTATGTGAGTGCACATACACTCCATGCGCGCTGCAGATCTTCCCTCGGTGTGGACTTAAAGGTAACAAGAGGTGAAGATTGTTTCCAACCATCCCACCGCTCTGTTCCTGTGCAGCGTACTTTTCTGTTTTCCTTCTCAGTTCGTCTTCCTCTTGCTTCAGCTCGCTCATTTTTCAGTTCCCTTCCCTGCCTGGGGCTGCCAGGGTTTTCCCCCTTCACTGGTTCTTGGCGATTTCTCATTTTCTCTCCTGCAACCCTCCCAATTTCTTTCCTCCAGCCCGTTTGGAAGATTTAAAGTAAACAGTGAAGAAGAAGAAGAAGATGCCCTCACCTTATCGTCTGCCATGTGGTTCTCCTGGGGAGTGTTGCTGAACTCTGGAATTGGAGAAGGTGCGCTGAGAAAGAAAAAGAAAAAAAGAAACCATCACTCAAAAATGTCCAAACCATCATTTATTCAGCACTAAATGCTCCCTTTTTCCCAGAACATGGTAATGCTGTTGTGTACTTGAGTCCTCACACAGTTTTGCATGTGTTAAAAGACCAGTGAAGGCGTTTGGGGCTCGAGGTGTTGCCTTGCTGTCATGTTTTTCTTTGAGGATGACAAATTAAGTCCTTTGAAATCACATTTTGCCAAGACAGCTTTTGCTGCAGCTTGTCTTTTAATAGTTTGGACCTGTTACTTCGGCTTGTTTCATTTGTCTTACAGCAGAGCCTTTTCATGCTGGATATTTTAGTGGGCTACATTTGTTAGTAATTTCTTCATTCTAGACTGTGTCCTCATCTCCCATTTTTAATTTTTGATATACGAGTAGTGCATCCTTAATAATCTAGTTGTATAAGTTAATGATGCTTTTTGCAGTTGAATTACTTGAGTAATAGTTATTTTTAAACACTGGGCGGTTGAAATGTTACTTTACAGAAAATGAGATGGCATTTATCTAGCAATTTGTGATTTCAAATGACTCATTTGACACTCAAATGTGTACCTTGGACTCACCACACAGGTGCCCCGCGCAGCTTCTCAGCGAGAATCCTGGGCATGGTGTGGGCTGGATTTGCCATGATAATTGTGGCTTCTTATACTGCCAACCTGGCTGCCTTCCTGGTGTTGGACCGGCCTGAGGAGCGCATCACCGGCATCAATGACCCAAGGGTGAGAACAGAATGACACTCTGACCATGCTATGACACAACAACACTTTTATCTTCATAATAATGATGGTTATACTTTACAATAATGGAACAAATCAAATGCTTCATCAAGTATTCACAGGCTGAAAAAGTACATGTGCTTGCTGATGCACATACTATCGTCAATTGTAATATTTCTTCTATGTTTAGGGATCAGATCACTATGAATTAATGTGATAAATTCACTATTAATAGATGATCAGTTAAATCATCTTAATTCCCTACATATGTTTATTGATTGCTCGCTCTCCTGTACTCACTGGGCCACACTTTGATTAGCGATAATTTTGCTTTATTCCAGTTACATAAACCTGTAATTCAGAACATTGCATTTGTGCAGACTCTTTAAACTCAGAACTTTACTGTAAATATGACATTTTTAAGTAATGTTATACAGTTACATGCATAAATAAACTTCTGGCCATGTACCTGAAATTTAACAAAATGAATGCATTACATTGTTGTATGAGGAAACTTTGAATTTCCAATCCTTAAGTCAAGCTTTTCTTTAGTGTGATTTGCTCTTGTTTTTTTTAGTGTCATTTTAAAAGCTGATGCATAAATACAAATAAATTACAATAAAATTACAATACCGATTTAGTAAATAAGTTAGAAGTTACATGTTGTGTTTTTTGTCTTCTTTTGCAGCTGAGGAACCCATCGGACAAGTTCATTTACGCCACGGTGAAGCAAAGCTCCGTGGACATCTACTTCCGGCGGCAGGTGGAGCTTAGCACCATGTACCGCCACATGGAGAAGCACAACTATGAGAGTGCCGCCGAGGCCATCCAGGCCGTGCGTGACAAGTGAGTCTCGGCCAGGCCGGGCCGACCAGCGCAACTGTCGGCCGGCTGCTATACCTTTTAGGCAAACACAGTTCAGGGCCAGTACAGTCAGTTTAGGAGGAGGGGGGGGGGGGGGGGGACATGGACCTCTGGGCCAGAAGGGAATGGTAGAACTTACTGCTGCTTTTCCCTCTGATCCGGGTCCATCGCCCCGGCAAAGACAGATGTCCAAGGGACAGGAACAGGTATGGTGTGTCAACAGCACTGGGACCAGTGTGAGGTCGAGCTAACATTGAGTGGAAGAGCACCCTTTTTCAGGTTGTACCCAGACGAACATCTTTGCGATGGGGGGAATCCAATGGGGGACGCGCCCTCACCCAGTTGGCATTGGATTTCTTTTGGGCCATAAGCAGCGGTAGAGATTGCTGGTAAACGCTGAATGACACACAAGATCTGGTGTGCGAGAGAGAGAGAAGGGTGGGAGCCGTAAATGTGTATGTAAATCATTGTACTGTCGCACCGTAACCCCCTCCTTCCCCTCCTCCTCCTCCCTCCTTCCTCCTCCTCCTCCCTCCCCCTCCCCCACAGCAAGCTGCATGCTTTCATCTGGGACTCTGCGGTGCTGGAGTTTGAAGCCTCGCAGAAGTGCGACCTGGTGACCACGGGAGAGCTGTTTTTCCGTTCGGGCTTTGGCATAGGCATGCGCAAGGACAGCCCCTGGAAACAGAATGTGTCCCTGGCCATTCTCAGGTCTGTCCCAGCCGAAGCTGCATTACTCGTATGACTTCTTTTGTTTCTTATCAATATGATTTCTTGGTCATGTTTTGACCTTTTTTTACAGCCATCAAATACATCGCCTTATGTTACATCTTCTCTCTCTGTATCTCCCCTCTCCTGCCTCCTGCTCTCTGTTTGTCTCTGTCAAGTGTATGTCTGTCTGTCACCTGTCCTACTGTCTCAGTTTCATTATTGTTTGCTGTTTGGGAGTGAGCGGTTCGAATACCCCATCTGTTTAGGCGTGTATTAACTTTGTCACCTCTCTCCCCACCTCCCCTAACCCCCTGCAGTTCTCATGAGAACGGCTTCATGGAAGACCTAGATAAAACCTGGGTGAGATACCAGGAGTGTGACTCAAGGAGCAATGCCCCAGCCACACTCACCTTTGAAAACATGGCAGGTATGGTCCATATCGCGAACAGAAAGCGTTAAAAGTGATTGGACAAAAACTGCAGTGGTAAGGTACTGTAGCGCTTTTTTGTCCAATACCTTTACTAAATCGTTGTTTTAGTGTCGGCGTGGGTGCTCTGTGGAAGTGTGCCATACATTATCTTGTGCTGTGGTTTTGTGCGGTTGTGGTTTTTTAATAAATATTGTATGGTTTTCAGCCGCCATCGTCAGTCGGATTCAATTGATAAAAAAAAGGGGCGACCACTGAGAATGACCAAGCATTCATCCTCAGTGGAAGCGTCAGGTTTCTGGACTCACCTGCTCACATCTTTCCACCTCTGCTTTGTCTCTTCCTTCGTTCCTCTCCCGACAGGTGTCTTCATGCTGGTGGCTGGAGGCATAGCAGCCGGGATCTTCCTCATCTTTATCGAAATCGCCTATAAGCGCCATAAAGACGCCCGCAGGAAGCAGATGCAGCTGGCCTTTGCGGCCGTCAACGTCTGGAGGAAGAACCTGCAGGTAGGATTGATCCCCTCTGCCTGCTCACATGAAGGTTGAAAAGTTCTGAGAGTGCTTCAAAAAAAGCCTCCTCATTATGAGGGTTGATTTCTGTCTCCCATCCTCTCAAGAATCTTTCTTTTTCCCTGCTAGATCTCTGTATGAGAAACTGTGATCTATGATGCCTTTCTTTGTTGAAAGGGATCCTCAAGTGGCCACACTGTAGACCTCAAAAGTGTTCAAAAGCCAACAGCACCCGTGTCTCTTGTGTGTGCCTGCAGGACAATAAGGAGTCTACTACAAGTCAAGCTGTGGCTGGTACCCCCTCATTAGTATGTACAGTAACATACCTGTCCTTTTAGAATAGCAATAGGATATTTAACCTCATAACCCTCTGACATGATGGATACCTGACTAAGTTCAACTTCCATTTACGGCATGAACTAGTATTTCTAAGCTGCTGCTGTGGTGCTTTTAAGCTTCATAAAGTCAGATGATGTTGACATGGAAGCCAAGAAAAAGCAGCTACTGTCCTGCCTTAAAAAACAGAAGTTTAACAGTCATAAGTGTCGGTTGAATAACAGTGATTACATCATTGATTTACGTCACTCTCTACTCGGTTATACAAACAGCCAGGAGCTATCAATCCAAATGGAGCATACGGATTAAAATCAATTCTCTGGGTGAATCACACCCCAGTGATTCCTCAGTGAAGTCAGCAGCTGTTGTGTCAAGTGCTGTGCTAGAGTGAATGGAATATCTGCTTCAGTGTCTAAATGATCCTGTAAGCCACGGGCCTGATGCAAAGCAATGCAAGTAGAGGATTCTTGTCATGCAGATTTTTTTTAAATGGGTGGGCTTTCAAGATATCTCTCCCTGACAGTACATCCACTAAACCAGCAAAATTAGGATGAATTTTATATGTGACCAAAAAACATCTGCATTGCAAAATATGGCTACTTTTTTTATTTTGGGATGTGAGTGAACCAACGCTTGAGCTACAACAAGCAGTTAGATACTCTGCACGGCTGATATAAATGCCCTCGGACACATGAGCAATCAGACAAGGCTGTGAACCGTTGGAGCGCCCCTGCGACCTCCCTTTTCTTTCTCTTGATGTTCTAACTCCCTGATTGAATAGCTTGGGGGAACAGGGTTTCCACATTTGATGGGCAGTCACACAGTGAGTCTGTGATTTGGCTCTGGCAGCCTGTCTCCTGACTCTTTATAAACCTTGAACCAATGCTCAGAGTTTGGCCCTGCTGAATTGAAACAGCAGGGCTGGAGGAAGGTACAGTATAAAATCACAAGTGCCTGTCAGCAATGTCATTCTAAGAGTGTCTGCCATCGACCTGACAAGCGTTTGTCACTGTCGTGAGTGTCCTCATATGGATGTGAGTCCTCTAGGCGCATACAGCAGGAGAATGCATGCAGGGCAGGCGGCACTGAGAAAGGAGAGGGACACACTAAACTGCCTGTAGACCGTTTCATATCCATGTCAGCGATGATCGTGTTGATTCCTTTGCTCTGACGAACAAAGACGGCTCATGCATGCTCATCTTGCCCATCGACCGTCACTGTGGGGGCCCTCGAGCTACAATAACAGTCACACAATCTTCTCTGCCCTAAATAAAACCAATGCAATGAGTTTCACACAGGAAGCATAGAAAAGGCCCACAAAGTCAAGTCTAGCTCGTACAATCTGCTGTGTTTTCCATGAATATTGTTTTTGGATATTATTCATACTGTTTGGGTGCACTTATTTGGATGCTGTCCGTGATCTAATTTGCACAAATGTAAAATGACAACCTTGCTATGTAAAACACAAACACATGATAATGGAAAATGTGTGATCACAGTTTATGTGGCCTCCTCCTTTCTTAGGACAGCAAGCACTGAAACCTGGAGTCCCATTGTTGGCATCATTTTGACTGCTTGTACGGTGTTTGTAATGTACTTATGTGCTTATGCACTGCCCCAGGGTGGTGCAGCACTGCGTGCAGAACTGTGCACCCTGACACATTTAAGCAAAAAGATGTAACCTGAGAGAACGTGCACCTCTGACTAACTGAAAATCTGTTCATGTAGGACATCCCTCATCCCCTGCAAGGCTGACAATATATTTATTGCGCTCACTGTTTTTGCTCAAATGACCGTCCAATATAAGTTAATTAACTCGACTCGTCTCAATTTTTCAGAATGCTTTTAGAAGAAATAAAAGTGCATGCATCGTTAGAACTGCTTGCCTGAAGATTTCCAGCTTTTAAGAGCTTCGGCCACAGAGATGTTGCGGTGATGTAGCTGTTTAATCACATTGTGCACAAAATGTGTTTTAGTAGGATAATTATGTAACCTCTTCAAGTTGATTTAATTCTGTATGATGTAAATTTAGGTCTAAGTTAAAAAAAACACATTAGAATGAATATTCTGTGCAGCCAAACTAACTTCTGAGTATTTTGTCTCCTTTGTGGCACATATGTTACAATATTAAAATTTAATTGGAACTAGTTGAATAGGGCTAAAAACTGTAGTTCATCTAATGGCCACTTGACATGTCTCCAGAAATGAGTCAAATTTTACAGTTTGTCTCTTTAGCTAATTTTCTTATTTTCTTGAAACAACAACACATAAATCAGTTATATAAGTTGTATAAGGACTTAATCCTAAAATTTAATATAGAGATGAATCCCAGATCAAAAGAACGTTGAATGCCTCTGACTAGTTGTGTGGCGTTTGAATGTTGTCTCAGATGTTTGTTTCTTTGTATCTCATCTTTACTTGTTATGTTGCAAATGAAGCTGCTGTGATGCAAGACACATTTCAGACTTTATCTGACAATAAAGTTCCTTCAGGCAATCAATAATGTGCATGATTAGGGGCTCTGTCGCTTTAAATGGCAATGCTAGCTATCTACTTAGTATCATCTCAGCCACGGTGCACAAAAGTTGGAGTCTCTGCTATTTCAGTAGTGTTTCCTTTATTGGATTTTTTCATGCAATTCTCAATAAATCAAATGGCTTGCTGTGCGGTTTATTGTTCTAAGAAAGTCTTTGCACAACCTTTGGTCAGTGAGTTTCACATAAAATGATTTATGGCTGTGCATTGGTGCCAGGATTGTCTTGTGTGTTTAAAATGTATGATTACATTATTTCTTATTTATTTTCATATACCATAGATGTTTATTCTGATATATCTTTGAAGAACGATTGTTGGCCTATATTTTGCATTATCAGGTTGTTGTTTTTTACATTCTGGTCCTTGTGTTCCAGACTAGTGTGTTCTTTAAATTTACACCATACAGATTTCTTTCTTTATGTTTGACTTTAAACATTTCAGACTTTTGTTACAAAATTGTCATGACCACTACATCACTGAGAGGCCAAAGGTCTGGCTTTTAGCACTCCCCTTCAAAACAGATGTTACTCAGAAGTGCACTTCCTGAATAAGACTGAAACTGCTGTCAGCTTGGGATGGAAACTGAGTGTCACAAGCCCTGCTGCGTGACGATAATGATGGTTTATAATGACGGCGTATAATGATGATGCACTGCAGTGGCACGCAACTGTTTCTGTCAAGAAACAGCCGGCTGCTTCTCTGCTTCATCCGATGGTCCAGCATGCCATGCATGGCCTGGACTGTGCTCACGCAACACCTCATCAGGGCTCAGAGCGGCCTGACTGCACTCCTGCAGGCTCAGAAGGGAAAGAAATGGTGGAAAGTAAAAGATGAAAGGGGACATCGATTCTTTTTCCTGAACCGAAAAACAGAATGATTTGTTATGTAGGATTATTTTCTTCATTTACTAACATGAGATATCATCTTCCAACAGGAAATATACTTTATTTATCATCCACTGCACTAAAAGTCAAGTGATGGTTTGCACCAGCTCTCATCTCTCCTCAACGCCAGCTCAAGCCTGTTCGCCACCTGATATGATATTATAGGGTGTTGAGTGGAAAGCGCTGGTTAGTTGGTGATAAAAAAATGTACCCCAAAAGTGCCTAGTCGTGACCTGATGAAAAAGAATGTACTGCTGGGCCAGTGCCGGCCAGGATTGATTTGTCATGCTATTTGTTTTGTGTTTCTTTTTACTTATACTATGTTTTCTCCTTTTTATCCCTCTCTTCATCCATAAAATGTTTTGGCATGTTGAAATTCACACCACACTGCCCCTGCCCAAAGGGCCTCCCTCCCTGCAACTACTCACTCACTCATCCTCCACTTTTACTTTAACATCCAAGTGCTTTCTTTTTTAAGACTCTTTTATCCTCCATCTGCCCAGATTATGAAATCAAGTGCATAGAATTGCAGTAGGTTATGTTTTGCAGCTGCATAGATGACCATTCCTTACAAATCCCTCTTTTCTTTTGCACTCCATCTCATTCTCCATCCCATCCCCTTGTGTGTGGGGTGAATTTCCATTATACCACTTGAAGGTATAATGACTAAATGGGCTTCAATTACTGACTTTTGTCGCTGCTGTTTTCCCTATTTGATATGCATTTTAGTGGCCTCTGATACTGTATCTATCTGACTTTTAATACCTGCCTGGCTTTGGATGTGAATGTTTGCTTTGCTAGTTTTTATTATTTATTTTTGAGTATTCGCCCGTTTTGGTTCCCTTGGCTTCTGCATAAGGATCTTCTTTAGAGTCATAATGATCAAGTGGATGGAAATTTATTTTACTTTTCTTTTCTTCCCCTATGCAGCCCTCTTCCTCTCTAGAGACTGAGGATGTAAGAATACCTTAATATGAGTTTGTCATTTTATTTTGCATTTAAGAACCTAGTAATTGTGCTGAGAGTAGCTGTGGGGCACTCTGATGTCATGAGGGAGGGAGGGCACCAAATTGGCTCGCTATCTTGTAAGGACATAGGTAAAAAAAAAATGCTTCTTTTTTACTTTTTAATTTATCTGACAAGACTGCATTTCTCAATCTCTCTGTGTGCTCTGACCTCTATAGTTTGTAAGGCAAAGTGCTTAGTATATCCATTTCATATTTAAGATAGTGTCTGTGCTGAGATGAATACGTGTGTTCGGGCAATAGTGAGTGAGAATATTTGAGATGTTCCAAGTAGTGTAAAGTAGATATCACACCCACTGACATCTTTACTAGTCATCTCTCATTCCAATGCATTTCTAGGGGCCAAGTGAATGTGTCAGCACGTTTCTAGAGGACTACTAAGCCATCTTGTGCAGCCCCACTGTGATAATGTCGCATAAAAATGTAGATGAATGCCCTCATATCAGTCTGAACAGACTATTTCCACTCTGACATCTAACAGGCTGTATCCCTTTCTTTCTCCCTCTTAACGTATTACAACATTTCAAATGCTATAGTCTTTTTTCTGAAAGGACCCTCCCCATATTCAGACATTCATGAGTAAGGTTCTTTACTGGGTTGGGGGATGGGTGGTGGTGGTGGTGATGGTGGCGGGGAACAGAGAATGGGTGAGACTGGAGCCACAGTTTTCACCCCAGCCAGAGGACATGAATAATGTTTCTACATATATTCATTTTAGGATAGGAAAAGTGGTAGAGCAGAGCCCGAGCCCAAAAAGAAAGCCTCTTTTAGGTCCATCAGTACCAACCTGGCCTCCAGCATCAAGAGACGTAGGTCCTCCAAAGACACGGTAAGGAGACGAAGAAGCAACATCTTCCCTTGTATACTCTCCCCCCTCCTCCTCCTCCTCCTCTTCCTTCTCCTTCTCGCCTGTCTCTACTTTCTCCTTTTCTCTTTATTTCTGTCCTCTCTCTTCCGCATCTCCATATTCGACCGCGAGACAGAACCATGTTCCACTCACCCATTTCCACACGGGCTCCGCTGCCTCTGCCACGTGTCTGTCAGATCACCATCGATCAGCCATCGCCATTTAGCATCTGTAGCTCCTCTACAGGCCCAGGGGCATTAGTACAGGAAAACAGGTCAGGCCAGGCCAGGATCTGGGCTCTGAATTTGAGGAAGAGGTATCCAAAATGACACGGTCTTGGGGGGGGGGTGTTAGCAAGCAGTCTGCCAGTGGTTGTTTTGTCTTGGGCTGCTCTTCCTCCCTGCCTCTGGTTTGGACATTGATTCTGCCGATTGTGTACTTGAATGGTGGCGTTGTGGTGTGCGTGCGTACCGTATCTAACCGTGTGTTCATACAATTGTGTAGGTGTCCTGTCCTGTTAATTGCTTGAACCTTTGTATATCCATTGTTTCTTTGCATCAATCCCGCCAGCACTTCCTGTATTTGGGTTTCAGCCGCTGTTGGTTTGCTTTTGGTTTGAGAAGCATGCGCTGGTGTTCTGTCACTTTTTCCAAAAATCCATTTTTCAAGGTAGCCGAGATGGAAACTCCTGCAGAGAAGAAAAACTAATGTGTTCTTATTTATCAACATGTCTATTTCAGGATTACACTCATGGATTACTATTAATCAATTCTTTTTGCTTTGTCATATTATTTCCTTTTGTCATAATTATTGTTTTGTTTTTCTCCAGTGTCCTTGTGGTCTTTACTGTGCATGCCTCTTCCAGGGTGTATTTTCAGGTGGTGAAGACTATCTTCTTTTTTGTTCAAATTCTTCTTTTTACAAAATGCAGACTCTGTGAAACCTGGGACTCTCACTGTGTTTCAAACTATTCTTTCGTTTTTTCTGAAACACCATCTTGACTGGTTTGTTGCTGGCTGCACGTTCTCACTACCTACTCACAAAATGCAGCAGCTTGGTCAGCGGCCCTACATTTTCAAATACAACGCTGTAGATACCAATCTATTTTCACTTCAGGGCTCAATATTGAAGACACTAGTAGTACAGGTTGTTGCCACTTCAACTATGAACAAGAATTAAATGGAAAACTGGTCGTACCAGAGCAATAATTAAACATGTACCGTTGAACACTGTACAACAGCCTGTTTCCAGTAGGTGGGGCTATGACTCATTGCACTGTGAAACTTTAACTTTTGTTGTACAGCCATGAAAGTCCCCTGCAATAAAAAGTCTTAGTCCTAACAATAAACCCTTGTCAAGGCCTCAAGGTTCACCTGACCACATTCTGGATGGATTTCAACCAAACAAAGGAGTACATCAAAGACCATAAAATGTAATTTCCTGTTTCCAGTAGATGGTACTATGGTTTATTTATTATTGTTTATTATTATTTGCACATAGATGTGTTCAATGCCTGGACTCTCCAAGAAGTTTGTATATGAGAGGTACAACAACTCCAACTCCACCGCAACACCCTTATAATCATGAGATAAAACGTATGATTTGAACTTTATTCATCAACGTCTTGTCAATACATTGACCAAGTTTGAGGAGGAAAAAAGAAGCTCTAGCAGGAGTTTGTGTAAATACGGACCCTGTAAATGGCCAAAAATACACTGTTAATATGCACACTGAATATTATACATGTAGGTGAAATGTTCTTAAGGGGCTGCTTCTATCAAATTATGTAGGGGGTGCTACTAAACCATGTTGCCATCACCCAATTTGGGACCAAAATCAACTATTAAATAGCTGGATTTCATACATATGTTCCAGGTTTCGTAGGTTTGTGAGAATCCCTTCCCCCCCAAAAGGACTTCATGGCTTATGGTACAACACCAGTGGGATGCTCTTCAGCAAAATGTCTTTATGCATTATTGAGGTCTTTGGACTTTTCTGACCATGTTTGAGCTATTTATTTTTTCTTGTTGTGGTTGAAATTTTTAACCAGCCAAGGGTAGTAGAACTGAGTGCCACATATGTAATTTCCTGTTTCCAGTGGGTGATGCCTGTGTGTTCAGAGTTGGACTGTTATATGTGCAATTTGGAGCAGATTGAACATTGTAAATAAGAGTAACACCAACTCTCTGGTTGTTGTTTTTTGGCGAAACATGAACAATTTAAGCATTCCACCACAGCCTCACCCTCTGATGACAACTCAGTATTTGAAAAACAGTCGACGTATTCTCAATAAAATGACCAAATTTGATTAGGATGACCCTACAAGGAATTAGTTAAAAAATGAACCTTGAAAATTGTCAAAAATATTCCATGATCAGAAAATGTAATTTAATTTGGTGACTTGCTGTAAGGTGTATCATGACAATAAGAGAGTTGTTGTAGTCATGACATGAGTAAGATGTCTACTATGTTTTATACATGTTGGGGAATCCGAATTGAATTGGAATTGAAAGAAAATCCTTCAAATTTCCATTGGGTCCCTGCACACTTTGGTGCTTGGGAAAAATGACTCGTTTTTAAGGTGCTAGTTTGAATAGATTTATGGTCCCAACGGTTCCTGTTAAGATCAAGGCTCTAAAATTACCAATGATGGAAAAAAACATCACTGATATACATCTCTGGATTTGATTATGTAACATAATGTAGTTAAATAACTTGCATGTGTAAATGTCAGACCGTAGATTAAATCAAATCTTGTAAAAGGAGTCAACACTTACTACTGGCATGGTCTCATCTTTTAAAAGTCATGTTTGAAATACTCCTGCATCACCCCAAACCCCTGCCCTAAGAGGTCTTTATTTACACATTATTTATACTGTGTCACCAGACTTTACACCCACATTAAGATATAAAGATAGACTACAGCATCTCAGGACTTTATGGGTACCTACAGTGTCATCATTGATGTGTTGGACCACTGACAAACTTATGTGTTTGAGGAGTTGGGAGTGAGAACAGGCTGGTTTCAGCCAATGAGAGTGTCAGGTTTCTTCCAATTTCTTCACAGTGAAGGAGAAAAGTCCTGCTCATTGCATTTGGGAGATTGAACCTCACAAGCTTGAAGTGTTGACAAACAATTGATCCACAGCCAGACAATGCTGGTCACTGACTATCTGAACTCTGGCGCAGGTCTCTAAAAAGTAATGAAATATAACGCACAGGAAATCTCTCGGAATTGCAAAGACATGTTTGCAAAAAAGGCTGCTGTACAAACATCGTGTTTTGAAAGTGTTTTTCTCGGGGGAGGTGTAGACTAAGCTAAGCTAATGGTGCCACAAGAAAAATGTATGTGTTTTAATTTGATTTTCTGTCTTTCTCTCTTTTTTTTTAACTGTGAACTTTTATTTTGAATGTTTCTGCATTTAGCCAAACCAACTTTACTCTCCCCTGGAGGTTTCTCGATAGATTTGTTCTGGATTGAAGAGAAGAAGAGTGGGATCGACATTGTTAATGTCTGAGGCTTTGGATACTGCGTTGAGAGCCCGAGTTTGTTGGAAATGGCTCATAGTGGAAAACATAGTGAAATCCAAAAAGATGCTCCTACTGAACGATGTGCCATCCTCAGTCTTTGACTATTATTTTGATTTTATATCAATGTTATTATTTTATATTAATGGATATCAATGGACTTGAGTGTCAGTGTCCCTCACCCACATGCCACACTGCTCCTCTCTCCCTCTGCAAGCATGCCAATGACTGTAACTGTCATAGTTGTAGTCACAGTAGAAGAAGTAGAAATAATCTCTTAACTTGTGCTATATAATAGAAGGGATCACCTTAGCCATATTGAAAAAGTACCTTTTAATCCTCAATGTGATGTCAGTGAAGTGTCCCTTTTTGCTGGTCTACTTGACCCCAGTAGGGTGTGCTGTTAGCAGCTCCTCGAGGTACAAGACATGGGGAGAACAAATGGGGGTTGTAAGCTAGATAATGATGCAATTTGCAGATCAAGGGGATGAGAAACATCCACTCTGACTCATCTTCATTTAGAAAATTGGGTATTTTACATCTCAGAGTGGATGTTCCCTCATCTGTCAGCATGTTATTTGCATCATAAGAGCTTCTGAAGCTCATACGCTTGAATGTATTGGCTCTATCAGCTTGAAATGAGAGGCGCATAAATCCTCAGATCTCCCTGAATTGAGAAACGGAAAAAAAAGGACATGTGAGACGGGTACACTGAGGCAAGACTCTCCTCTGTTTTGGTGCTGCAATTCAGTCATGTATAATCGTACTTTTAAATGCATTCAATGTACAAACAAAGGGTGTTTTTTGTTGCCCATTGGATGTATTTAAACAGGTTTTTCCAATACAGCGATTAAGATTGGCATGTTGGAAATACTGACAGGTTTATTACTCCACCCAGTCTCACTGTGATATATACACGCTCCAAAAAAAACAAAAAAAAGAGCATATTACAGGCTCCATTATGATGTGACTGTAAATATTAACAATGTCTAACAAATGATTGTGTCATCAGGTTTCTGCAATTTTGCTCATGACGAAAAAAAAAACAGCCTCAGCATTGAGAAACTACAGTTTACTACATTTAGTACCCTGAGCATTCATAAGACTCGGCCAAAGGCAAAATCAATGTTACCATAGAAACTAAGCACATGCATGGAATCTGGATCTAGTTTTCCCTCTCAACACTGTAGATGCCTACAATTCAGCACACTCTGCTTTAACAGAAGCATAGTGAAGCCAGGACTGGACGTAGTAAGAGTTCAACACAACAGCACTTTGAATCAGCCTTAAATTATCCTCCCTCTTAGCTGCTTCAATTAGAAGAAGAAAAAAACTCGCTCTGCATGCATTGGACTACAAATGAGCTTTCTGTACTAGCCCTTACAGGATCATTATCACTCATGATTCAAGACCAAAAAATCAAATTATTCCTGATTCAATCGCTGTTGTCTAGACTCAGAACCTTACGTCTGCTCCCATCTAGCCCACCTCAGGCATAACCAATCTGTTTGACCAAAATACAAACCAAAGAGATTCAACAAAAACTACAAAACTATGGTCTGCCTGAGAGAGGTTAGAGAACCCTCCTGCTTCTACATTTCTGCAGAATAGAAGCAAAGGTGTTCTTCAAATACAATAAAGACGAATGTTTAAATAGTCTTACTAACAATGCAAAAAAAAAAAAAAAAAAAAGCTTCCAATTTCTGCTTTGATCAAGAAATGACTTACTGTTATATGTCTCCCTTCCTCTTTCCCCTCTATTTCTATTAACTTCTGCAGCAATTCCCACCCACTGACATCACGGGCCAACTCAACTTGTCTGACCCGTCTGTCAGCACTGTGGTGTAAAGAGAGAGAGGGCGACACCGAGGTTCGCTCCCCGAGGAGAGAGGAAACGAGACGTGGAGGGAGCATAGGGAGACAGGACGGGAGAAGCCATCTCCTCGTTCCCTTCGCTGTCGAAGCCTGAAGCTTTCGGTTTCAGCGCCTGCCAACAGAGCTTTTTTTTTTTTAAAGGAAATGGCTTGCTGGAGAAGTGGCTGAAAAAAACACTGAACTTGCACCTTTTTTTAAAGTCAGGATTACCTGGCCTTAGATGTTTGTATAGGTTCCCTGAGCATGCACTGAAGAACCCATCTAACTCACATTTACAATCCTTTCCTTCTGTATCTTATTAGCTTACTTACTTAACCTTGTTTCTGTCCTTTTACTCTCAGAACAATTTACTTAATGTTTGATGTTGACTTCCAACAACATTTCCTGATCAGCTGTGTAACCTTAGCGAGCCAGATTTAGTTTAGTTAAGTTTAAGGATAAACCAGTTAAGGTGAGAGTACTGTACTCGACATATCACTTCCAACTAGGGCTTAGCCATTGTAATATTTAGCATTTCTTAACATACACTGCAATACAAGACGTACTGTAAGCTAAAATGGATATCATTTTTTTTAATAGGAACTACTTATGTTTTTATCTACTCTTTATAAGTTTTTTAGATGATTTCTTCTTTTCATTTGGAAGCACTAATAGTGGCACTAGTATTTAGGATATGACTAATCTTGTCTACCAGTGAAGACGATGCAAGCATGTGTGTGTTTGTCAATGAACAAGAGCTTTATGTATCTGAATGACAAAATGGATATTAGGAAGGTTATATACCAGATTCTGTAATTGTTTAAATTGTATATTTTTTTCTAATGCGCCAAATGTCGGTATTTGTTTTTCTAGAAGAGCAGCTCTTAAGATTTACTGCTATTTAAAGAAGGATAGTACATGAAATCAGATTGGTTGACGTTCTGTGAAACAGTTCTGTAAGGTTGATGTTTTCACCTTCAACCTTTGTTTGAGACGCCCTTCATTAAGCCATGTTGCGCCTGGGTACACCCTCTCTCCTCCTCTCTCCTGCAGCAGCAGCAGTCTTTCTCATTTCCAGTCTCCAAGGGGTTGCATCAAAGGGCCAGGTTTTTCACCCAACCAGTACTTGGTCTTTCATGCAAAACTTCCTCCATGTGCATGCAGCACTGGAGGACTTTTACACGAAGGAAGCCGAGTGAATTGAAAGTGTGGCTTAGCGAGCGAGATTGCGTGCAGGTCATGGTTAGATGTAAAAACAGGCCGTTTCCCGTTTTCTGGAGCTGAGAAACCACTGCTGTTTGTTGAAAAGAATATCACATCCTGTCCGGTGTCAGCACTGCAGAGCACTTTACGCTGAGGGGTCTCCAAACAGAGCTATTGATTAACAAAGAAACTAGAATAGAACCACTGTCAGTCAGACTTATCGACTTCTCCACTTTGAAGTTGTTTTATTTCCACCTATGTTTTTTTTTTTACATTTTATTTCATTTTTCATATTTCAAGGTATTATCTAAGTCGTTACAAGAGAAACTATGACACTCGCTGCAACAGAATTTGGTTTCTAAATTTTGACTGAGAGTTTGCTTCTGATCATTCTGCCGTGTGCATGCTATACTTGTTGATTCCAATGCTTTAGTTTGTTTCTGGATGCCTGTTGTTGCCGTGTACAGTCAGCCGACCTGTGTGGAGCGCTTACCTTGAATGAATTGTAAATAGAGTCTGGTTCCGTGTGAATAGGGTTGAGCAGATTATAACTGCACTTGTATTACGACTGCAACTGAGAATGTCTTAAATAATAGTTACACATGCACACAACAGTTGTGACAAACAGGCATGCATAAACACACACACACACACACACACACACACACACACACACACACACACATGTAACCCCTTAATCGAGAAATCACTTGTTTTTCTTACCTTTTTCCAAGAAGATCTTGCATTGAATCAGCTTGTTTATAAAACTGTAAATAAAATATACTGAAATTGCCAAATCTAAAACATTTTGTGATTTCAATAATTCTACAACAAACACTTACGGCAATTGTTTTGATAGATGAATAGCTTTGCAATCTGCAAAACAAGACAAGCCTACGGTGTCTGAGATCTGACCAGCAGAAAGCGGCAGAGAGCCAGAGCAGAAACTCTACAGAGGATAGGATAGGTTAATACTTTATTGATCTCCAGAGGGGAAATTCGGGCATTGCAGCAGCAAGACAGAGAAAGAAGTAATACAAAATTCACAGGATAGATAAGATAAATACAGATAGAAACAACAATAGGATGTATATACAAAAGAATATAAATAGTTAAACAATACAGGACAATTACGAATTATGTGTAGTGGATGTCAAGTTAAAGTGACCAGTGATGATATAAAGTGACTTGTGTGATCAAAAAGTTTAGGGTTATGTAAACAGCAGTAAAAGAGCAGTGTGATATTACGATCTAAAGAATAACAGTGCAGTTATACAAAATCAAATATAACATAGTATAATATAATATAGTGCAATACATCACAATGTAATTAGGTTGATGTACACTAAAAAGAGCTGAATGAGAATTTAAACACATTTATAGGGATGATTATAGAATAAAAATGAATTGATGAGTCTGACAGAATTTTGACAAGGAAAAATGTTGATATCTTTGAATCGAATTGTTGCTCGTCAAAATGAAATACAGGATCTGTTGGCTTGGATTTCTAACAAGTCAAAAATTAGTTTTTGATATCTACTATTCTTCAACTGCCACTGATAATCCAACAGTGGTTATACAACACGGTCCACAGATACATCCATTTTACCATTTCCTTTTATGTAACTACAGAGAACTCAAATCAGCCTTAGCAATGTACATTTACTGCTTATTAGAAGATAGCGTGCTTCAATCTGCCCCCCCGCAAATCATCAGCATATTAACATAATTACTGTGGTCGTGTTAGCACCCTGACATTAGCATTTGGCTCTAAGCAACACTGTCCCCAACTACACTCTTATAATGCTTCTATGTGACTGTCTACTCTCCTAAACGAAGACATTTGGCTGTATTGGTTATTGTCATTTTTTATAAAAAACTGTAATTCAAAAACAAACTGAAATGTCTGAAACAATCAAGGTTATTTCCCTCCAGTCCTCCAAACACTGCATGTTGCATAACCAAAAGATGGACATTTTGTTTTTAACTTGATGCTCATTTTTAAAAACATGTAAAGGTAATTAATACGACTTTTTCATTAGCTGACATGCTAATATCTCTCCCCTCCTGTGGTATGGACCAACAGTCACTGTCAAAGTGTAATCTCTGATTAAATTATCACGGCTATTATTAATCAAATCATGGCTGACAGTGTTAATGAATGACTTACCTTAAAGACAAAAAGGTGAGTTGCAGCATCTTGTCAGGTGAGACCTTTGTTCTGCTCCGCTGACACTCTGTCACCCTCTGTCTGAGAGATGAATGTGACCCTGCATGTCCACTGCTCCTCTGCTGAGAAGACGAAGGCTGATTAATAGCTGCTCATTGATTTACATTGAGTCATTTTTATTTTTGGCAAACTATGAAACATATGTATAAACCATTTAGATTTTTTATATTTACTAATTAACCTTACAAATTCAGAATTTCTGGAGCAAAATCTGGCGTACATTCAGTTGAACTTTCTATTGTAAATGTTCAGAGCTAGTCTAACCTTGATCACCCTACTGACCATTTAGACTCTGCTCATCCCCACAGCTGCTTTTTGGGTGTACATTCTTGTAAGATCACCTATTGGCTTTTGACTGAAATAACCTCTGGGGATTGGTGGACAAATTTTAGGGGGTTTCAAAAGAAGCTGGCGATAAATAAATTGCTTTTAAAGGCTTCCTATAGGCTGGTCATTGATGAAGTCCAACGAGCTATTTGCAACGCAAGAATAGAATTGACACATGTCTCTTTTACACATGTCTCTTTTGTGTTTTTGGCTGATGTAGGTACAGAGGAGGATTGGGGCCAGGCATGACAAATAAATGATAGAAAAGGAAGATTTTTTTTCATAATGCAGTTCGAGAAAAAAGTCAAAATGATGACAAAAAGGGCGAAATTTTGTGAATAAGAACAATTACGAGAACAAATTTGAAATTTCACAAAACTTTTTTCTCATCATATTCAACTTTATTCTCGAGATTTCAACTTTTTTCTTCAAGTACATAATGAAAAACAAATTTCCTCTATCCTCGTTTAATTCTCATGTCTGGCTCTAGTCCTCTTCCCTAGGTAATGGACCCTGAAATGAGTGCTTTTTGCTAACAGCTTGTGTGTCTCTACTTGTTAACCACATGGGGAAGCCAACAATACAAATACTGAAAGAATTAGAAGGCTTGAGTGATTATATGTTGCAGTGAACAGAGGCTGGACTGTAACACTCAAAAGCTCCTTCAAATAACTCATTATATATTCTGCTAAACTTAGACTCTGTCAAAACAGTGTTTCTGCACAAGTAGACTTTTGAAAAAGTGCAAAGACATTCTACGACTCTTGTGAAAACTTCATTTCCCTGCTTAACTCGGACATTCAAATGAGACTATTTGCAAGTCAGGTTTTTAAGCCTCCTCCATTTGCATGCAAATATTGTCTGAGAACAACAACTTGCTCTGCAGCTCCTCAGTCCAACACCCTATATGGACCAGTGCCAGCTCAGACCAGCCCTTGTTTGCCCATTAATGCTATATGAATAATCACTGATCATGTGATTTTCTTTCTCTTCAGCAAACAAAGAAATGATCATTACTGAAGCGCACACCTAAATTAAACGTGAGGAGCATATTCTCCAGCAGCTCTGGCCATCATAAAAACATTTTTCCCTCCATGGCACCAGTAGCCTTGGAGCTGTTTTCATTCACAGAGCCGGGAAGAAGGTTTCAGGCGCATGGAGGACGACTTGGCTGCGCACGGAAGTCGGGGCATAAATTCAGGTCAGGCTTGGCTTTGCTAGCTCAAGTGAAATGTAAAACAGAAGGCAGGGAGCAGGTGAAGCGTGAACCACAGTCGGGCAGTGATAACGCCTGCCCAGCGGGAAGCCAGCAGCCACTTCTCCCACTTGGCCGCTATTAAATCGTCGCTCAAATTTCGTGTCGGCGCAGAGACGAGCAGCACTTCTCACTTTCACTTCATGGCTCAGCGCGCCGCTCACCCTGCCGTCCCCATCGCGCTGCTGCTGTTTGGACTTGTTGCGATCCTGCTGCTCACGATCCCCACGCAGGACATCCAGGAGGCTCCGGGGTTCATGGTAAGGTCGCTTCTGATGGATATTTTTGGATCAGAGTGTATGTTTTCGGGGTAGTGTAACCAAAGCTAGACACACCTCCTCCAGACCAAGAGCGAAAAGGTGTTACGTAGTAAAATGTCTCACTAGAGGATTTAGTGACATTGGTGTCTGGGTGTAGGGTAGCAGAGTTAACTCACATTTGCCATTTAGTTCACAAATGCATCCATCCAGGCTTTATCCTCCAAATCATGATAAATGATAATACACTGAAATCATCAGTTTAATCTGTTGAAATGGGAAATTTGCAAACAACCAGCCTTAATGGAATGAATGGAGGTCCAGGACTGACGAAATAAAAAACACAATGTCCATTTGAGTTTTAACTGTTTGGTTTGGGTTGGGAAATTCAGGCGTTGCAGCAGCACAGACAAGAAAGCTCAAAATACACATTAAACAGAATAGATAAGATAAATAAAAATAGAAATAGGGGGTATATACAAGTACAAAATGAATGATGAAGTTAACTATGCATGGAATTGAGACAGTATCATTGGATTCCCAAAATCTCTTCTTCTGGGGTGGTGTTGTGCGCTTTTAGTTGACTAGACAGTTAAACCTCTCACTAGTTGGCACCAGTATTACTAGTTGGTTGAAAGAATTATTAATATTTTGTCCCTCGATGTCAGTCAAATGTTATGCTCAAACTCCACTTCAGCCACTTGCCTATCTATGCTGTAGATTTAGACTAGCTGTAGGTCCGGTTAATGGGCCTGCCCTCCCTGCTCCTCTACTTGGATGTAAACAAGCACGGTGAACAGGAAGCATCTCATAGGAGCAGTGCGGTTTGGCAGTATTTAGACCTACAAAATGAAGAGAAAAATGTCCTGCATGGAGGACCTAAGGCTGAGGGGTGCTTTTACTGCTAACATTGGCCACACTCTGCACATTAAATTACTTAATTTACCCCCAAACCGTTTAAAATGAATTGTGCTCGATTCAACTGTTTTCTGAGTGTTTTCTTACCTTTAGTCTAGTTGGTTTGTCTTAGGAAACAAGTCGCGTAGGATCATCCCTTTTCTGATGTGACTCATAAACAAAGTTTTGCAACTAAGACCAACACTGCATTACATTTGATTGAGAAACGTTGACCCTCAGGTGATCTCATGGCTGTAATTAGATCACCCGAGGGTGAGTGAAATGATCACCTGTATAGTTGTCTCTCATTGTAAGGAAGCAACACAATTTAATGGGGTGGGGCCTGTTGACATTAGAGACCGCCCTGTATTCAGGATGTAAATCAAGGATTAAGACTTTGAAATACAATCTGTTTGCACTGTTTGAAAGTCTTGTGAGGTTTGGTATTGTGTAATCTTATATCTGATAATTTAACAACAACAAAATCAACAGAGAAACATGAAATGATACGTCTTTCTGGTATCCAGGGCAGCTTTTGGTCGACTCCAGCATCTGTTCACTCTCCTCCCTCTTTTATTTTTCTTACCCCATGGGGCCTTTTTTCAGTATAAAACTGTACACAATGTCGTCCAGCAGTCACAAAAGTAAGGACACAAAAGGCTTTTTCTTAAACTTTGCAGGGTACACGTACAAAAGTCCACATAGTTTTTCAAAAGAAAGGACAAAACAGGTCATTAGAGCTCCTCTGGGATTTTGGCAAACGTTGGAGCGAGTCCTTACAACTGACTGCACAGCAGTAATGAGAGAATATTATGAGAAATAACAAGGCACATGTTAGGCTGCTCTTCACTTATTCTACTGAACTGAGAAGTTGTAAGCTCACATATGTTCGTGTGTGGAAGGATGAGCATGTGTATCAATTACTACACAATGATTTATGTACGTGTGTGTGTGTGTGTGTGTGTGTGTATGTGTATATGTGTGTGTGTGTGTGTGTGTGTGTGCAGCCCCTTTCCCTTGGATCATCTGTCACATTCCTTCTTGCATGGATGAATTACTACACATTCGGAGTGTTTCCTTTCATTTGAGCAGAGGCATCGCTCTGATTTAATTTTCTACCTTGTACCTAAAGTGAAAATATCTCCACGGCAAGATATTTTCTCCTACATACTGGGAAAGTCAACCCATACTGTCTCAGTTAGTGGAAAATACTTCTTACAATACTTGAGACAAATCACTTATATGCAGGATAATAAAACTATCTATTATGATGTACTTATTTGAGGGAAAAGTTGTGGGTGCAGAATTATAACTAAGGTTATAAATATGCTTATTAAATATTACAGTATGTAATTCACGACCGCCTGCCCCTGAAAGACATGACATATAAAAGACGCTGGGAAAATCCAAGATGGCAGAAGAAGCAAAGGAGTCTCACACTACAAAGATAGTTTTTGCCTGGATGTCAGTGCTAAATGTTATTTGATTTATTCACAGTTTCTACTAACGCTTACAAAACATCATTCTGGCGAGCAGAAAAGTGCATGAAGCAGCTTCACTACATCAGAGAAGATTACACCGGTTGTACACTGGTCTCAAGATGTAAACCTTATCAGTCCTGACTGCCTGCTCACTTGCTGTGAATTTTTCTCAACATTTTCTGCTGAGTTCACATATATATAGGCTCACCCCACAGCTCGTGGCAATTTACACCAAACATCTGGGTGAAAATGTAGTGGTTTGCATCATACATGCATTTCACCCAAAAATCTTTCTTTTTTTATTGTGCATGGGCAAAAACACGATAGGACAACTAATGGTTCAGCTACCATTACAGTCCCTTGAACTGCTGCAATGCTAACAGTGTCGATTAGGGGACATAGAATGTAGAATTTCACTGGCAAAGAATAATGCTACTCCTTTTTGCAGCTGTCCAAACTCAACACACAAAAAAAACAGAAACAACAGGGCCAATACAAAGTAGAGGCTAAAAGTGACGTTTTACTACGGACAGAAGAGTTGTGAGAATTTGTTTTCTCAGTTGAGAGAAGCATTTTAAAGGAAGTCACTGAAGCAGTTTGATAAAATGTGAGCAGGAAGGAGTCTGGGAGTCCTGACAGTGAATGCACCACTTCCTTTAGGTTCAGTCTTAGACCTAAAACCCGTGAGCGTTTATGTTACAGAGAGTGGTTGCGGGATGTGAATGTACATATGGGGAAGATGGTTTAGAAATGTACCAGAACATGGAGGGCTGTAAGGGAAGACAATTAGTGTCAATCAAGTGCATAATCTGCTGAAACAGGGTTTGTTTGATCTCTTGTTCCACAGTCTGTCTGTAGGGTTCTTGTATAAGCTGAAGACACAAGCAGCAACGTGCCACTCTTACAATGATCATTTCTTGAAAAAGCAAGATTTTCTTTTCACATAAATCAGAAAAAAAAAATTCTAGCTTCCCTGTAAAACACGAGTAAGCATGAATTTTCCTAGTCTTCCTGTTGAAGGTGCATGTTGTATTTGTTTATTCCTTCAACATATAACATTGACTTTAAAAGCCACATGGGAAGAAAGACCTTTGTGTTGATTTTTGAGACTATTTTATGATTACAGCGTCATCGCTATTTCTACTGCGGCCCAACAGAAATGGTTAAATGATGTCAGAACAATACCAAAGAACATTTGTAGTGATTGAATTATAATCAGAAATATCATATGAGTTGATCCTTTATTATCACTCCAAATTGAATGAAGAAGAAACATGTCATCGCATCACTTTCCACTTACGAGCCGTTCAGTTAATTTGAATGTTTAAGCCTTAAGAGGTCAACTTTGACCAAAGTAGGAATTACAAAATGAAATTTGTTCATGATCATTGTCGGCACTATTTATTAAAAAAAAGAATCCTATCACATAACTGCTGGAGGTTTGAAAATTACAAACGTTCTTAGACTTCACTCCTGAGTGTTTCTTGGCACAAAACCACTGGTGCAGTAAAAATGATATGTAGTCCTTGTCGGCCCCCCACACCTGCATTTGTGTATTTAACAGCTGGGGGTTTGTCTTTGAAGGCTAAGATTACAAGTTCACTAAAGTCCTTCCAGATGCATGCATTTTACATCATAAAGATCGTAAACTCTTTCATGTCCTCCTTGCTCATTAACTGGACTCTCCCTTTTCAAGATGTCAGCACTTTTTTATCATGCAAATGTTAAACTGTGTCTATTCTCAATCCTCCATACTTTTCATCTTTTTTTGATGTTCTTGTTTTTTCCTCTGTCTCTTTCTCTCTCTGCAGTACGGGATTGTCTTGGATGCTGGATCTTCGCACACAGCTTTGTACATCTACAAGTGGCCTGCAGACAAGCAGAATGGCACAGGCGTGGTCACCCAGCACAGAGAATGTCATGTTAAGGGTAAGTTTCAGCTTGCTCTCCACCAATAATCCCTGTTTTGCATATTAAAGACTTTGGTGCACAACGTGTTCCTACTCATAAGCCTGAGGGGTGGTATTAAATAGTGTTCAACTTGCAGTCAGACTAGTCAAATATATTTCCAACAGCAACCATGACTCTCAGTCAGTTTATTTTTTACAACAAGTCCATGAAAATGTCTCGGATAGCTCCGTCTGCACCATCTGGTTCTATCACATTCATTCATTTTCTTTGTTAGTTCCAGTCAGATTTTCCTAAAATATTTCTTCTGTTTTATGCTACAATGGTAAACGTCCTGCTGGTGTCTTCTACATGTTCCAGGGTCCTCAGTGAACTGCCATTATGAGAGATTGGTAGAGACCCACTTGGTGCCCTAGGCAAGATTTAGCTGGTGCCCCTTGTACCAATTCCACAACCAACTACAGTATTCATACACTTAAAGAAAACTGGCATACACTTTTATGTTTTACAGAGTTTCTTTATTCAGACCTGATATTTATCCATACGGTCAGTGTAACTCACTTCTGATAACTCGTCTGCCCTCCTCCCCCACAAAGAGCAGGTAACGAGCAGCGGTGTTGTGATGCGTCAGGTTTAGCAGGGAGCAAGAAAATAGAGCCTTTTTAAATAGGTGATGCAGTTATGTTTTTTTGGCTTCTATTGTTATATTACAGAATCATAGCAAGGAAATTACATTTGATTAAATAACATTAAATCAAAGTTAAACACATTTTTTGCCCATGCCTCGGGCCGGCCCTGCGAAAGAAAATTTAAAAAGAGAAATTTAAAAAAATGCAAACTCAGTTTGAAAGGTTGTGGGGGCGGCAGTAGCTCAGTCTGTAGGGACTTGGGTTGGGAACCGGAGGGTGACCGGTGCAGACCGGTGCAGACCGGTGCAGACTAAAATATGGAAGTTGGTCTGGTAGCTGGAGAGGTGCCAGATCACTTCCTGAGCACTGCCGAGGTGCCCCTGAGCAAGGCACCAAACCCCCTCCCCACCATCAGCTCAGGAGCGCCCACTGTGGGCAGCTCCGTCACTCTGACATCTCTCCATTAGTGCATGTCCATAGGATCCTGTTTGTACATGTGTGTGTATATTTCAGCCTATGACTTAAAGAGTGTAAAAACAGAAATTTCCCCATGCGGGGATCAATAAAAGTAAATCTTAAATCTTAAACCTGGTCCGCTGTTATTGAGGTCAAAAGTCCTACTCCACCCAATTTAAGGCGTGGGGTTTCAGAGTCCAACATCAGGCTGCTCTGAGCTAGAGTACCAGGGAAACATTTCAAAAGTTTGAAACACAAACATAAAAACACAGCATCCTTTAAAAGATCTCCTTGAAGTGATTGTTTGAATGTTTTCAACTAAAACTCTATCTGATGTTCTCAGTGTCTCTTGAAGCAGCTTGGTTGAGCTGAAAGATCAGTTATTTATCCCCCATCAGTGCAGAAATATGATGATGGTGGTGACCTGTAAGAACTAAGAGAGCTTCAGACAGTTTCAGCTTGGTGTCTCCTCCAACAGAATGAAGGCATTGCAAAACATGAGCACAGAGGATGCTGTGGACATGGATTTATTATACAGTGTTTTGGCTAACATCATAATCCCTTAGTGAGATCAGGATCTCATAATAATGAGAAATTATCTCGTCATTATGAGATCAGCGAACTTTAATGGATCATCTGTTCTAATGTAACTCGGGTTAGAACAGATTTAAGTCTCAGACTTTAGTGCAGTTATATGTCTGCACATCCGCTCGTCACCCTCCCTGTTCTGTTTATTAAAGACTTTAATGTTTAACAACATCTTAGAAACCGACTTAATTGGCTGCACACACATAGGCTACCCCCCCTCAGCACACACACACACACACACACACACACACACACACACACACACACACACACACACAATAGAGATGAGATAAGTCCATCGTTCTGAAACAACAGCTCATGAGATCTTCTCTCATAATTACAAGATCTTCTTACCATAGATATTTTTTATTTCTTTGGTGAATGCAAATTGCTTCCGTATCAAAAGTAATGCTGTTCGGCCTTACGATAAAACCTTTGAGGCATAAAAACGAGTTTTCTTCAGGTGCAAAAGATAAGAAAAATAGGTGTGTGTTGCTGGCTGGTTCCACTTCAAGAAAAGTTCAAAAACTAGAGGGGATGGTCAGTCCATTGCTTTTGGTCTATAACAGAAATTCTAAATAATTCCATTAGTGATTATTAACCATTAACAGTCTCTTTCTTAGAAATGCAGATTTGAACCAACACGTGTTGAAGTGTCTGTCGGACATCATGTAAGACTGTGTCTGTCGGACATCATGTAAGACTGTGTCTGGCTTAAGGAATGTGAACGATGCCAGGGTTCTGTCTTTGGAGGTGCAGCAATCTCCGCTGTTCAAGTGAAATGTATATGTTTTTCCAACCATAGCCGTCCCTTCAGGGTCATAAATTACTCGGCCTTACCTTCTTGTGGTCATTCCAACAGTGAAAGTTAATTTCCTGTAGGTCAAAGGGTCGCACTCTAGGATGCTGCGGAACCAAAGGTCTAGGCTGGACCGTGTCATTGTGTCACATTTACTAAGTCAATCCAGGCATGGGGGAAAAGAAGGAAATCCCTTTCAAAGGCTCAAAGGTTCAATTTGGGCAACTACCTCATGAAAGAGGTTTTGGGGGTTTTGGCCTTCAACTGATGCTGATCCATTTAATCAATCATGTTCTGTTCTCTCAGACGTGGGCATGTGCAGGCACTTATCATACCTGACTCATCATAAATACTTTATGTTGGCGACTGTGATGCCCTTCACAGTGAGTCATAGCGTTTAGCTGCATTATATACATTAGAATGCAACTTGAAAATCGATGTTAATATTTCAATCAGGAGAGACTTAATCAAGAATGAACAATTTTTTATTTAACAATAAATGTGCAGCAATTTAGAATTAAATCTGCAAAGTCTTTGGGGGATTAGACTCCCTCGTGACGCCTTCATGTACTCGGAGGGGTAATGAGTCCGACAGCAGGATAGGATACCCCCTATGGATTCTAGACCCTAGGGGTGGTGAAGAGGAATGGAGGCTATGATGAGCCGGAATCTGGACTCTGCTGAGCTGAAATGGAGGTGACTGGAGCGGTAGTGGGTTGCAGCGGTTGCCCTGAAATGACAGAGTGACTGTGGAAGAGAGAGAGAACTGTTTTAACATTTTGCCGCAGCAGGATGATTGTTTGAGAGAGGTTGTGCCCGAATCTGGTTGGTTAATTACTTAAAGAATAAACGCCCATAATCAACTGATCACCAGAGCAGGTAGACAGAGGAAGTAGTAGGGGGAGTGGTTTAGGTTGAAGTGAACAGATGAATGAATGTGTGAAGGAATATAACCAGTCTTCCTGTCTGAACTTCAGCTGAGCTATGTTTGTGAATATATGACCAAGATTTTTACTGAACCAGATTTGCAGTTAAATCTGGTCTAAATAAGATGTTAAATCAACATCTTCAAATATTTGGTGTCAGTGGTGTAGTGCAGGGTATACACAGGTATACAGACCAATCTCCATAGAGTATACCCACTTCTAAATCTCCTCTGATTCACACCATTGACAGTATTCAGGGAAGGGATGACCCTGCCTACTCTGTCTCTAATTGGCTAGTACACTCTAACTAAATATGCAAGAGGAGTCTTATATCACTGTTAGTAACAGGGGCTGTTTATCCTCCGCTGGACGCGACACTTGGGGATAAAAGTATGCCCACGTCTTCAGGCACCACAACACCACTGGTTGGTGTACGTGTTTTCAAAGGTAGCCTTTGACATTTTTAAATGAAAACGTTCTTGCTGGGTCATCTTTATTTAATGGATCCAGAGCATACAGCCCAAAGATGTGGCTGATTGCCGCTTGCTTTCATTTCATTGTGAAACAGGGGCCGATGCACTGCTGGTGCAGATCCACTAACAGAAAAAAGCTTCTGCTGACATCATTACATAATACACATCCACACAAAGTCCCTTCACTGTGTCTTATTCAGTGAATAAGCTCTAGCCACTGTGATGTTGATTACCTCATTATAAGGAAGCTAACAATGCAGCTAGCTGTATATTTTGGAATTCTTCAGCAAGAGTCATTTAGACCACAGATTATATGTACAACAAAAAGTAAAAGGAGCTATTTATGTTACAGACATGATGCATAAAGTGCAAAACTGTAACTACACTGGTATGAAATAGTATTTAGTTGTGTATTGGAAATACTGTTACTAAAGAATATAGTTTGTGTTAACATACTGTTAATAGGAATAGAAATTGGAGGAGTACAGTAAACTGTAGGAGTGGTGGGGAGGTTTTTATTAAGGCTTTGATACTTTCAGTATCCTGAATACCAGACCTTTATATCCTATGTGGCAACAGTTATGTCATGTGGATTAATTGCAGTATCCAAGCTGACAATGTGTTTCACATCCAGGCCAAGGTCCAAAATTCAAGTCGTAATCATGACTCATAAAGTTTGTCATTCAAGATAATCAAGTCAAGTCATTATAGAGCTTTATAGACCATGCACATTATTTTTAACTCTTACATGACCAACCCTCCTGTCGTGATAAATGAATAAGAGAATCTTGTTTATTCTATATTACCTGCATAGCTTTAGCTGCTGTCCAGTCTTCACCGTGTTAACTGTTTATATTAATAACACAGGTCATCAGTGGACTTCATCTTGAATCCTCTGATAGTGAAACTACACTGTGTCTTTAAAAAGTTGTTTTTTTCTTGTTACATGCAGTAACTATCATTGGGAATGGGTTGGTTATGAATGAGTGCTAGCTGTTTCCTGTGAATAGATGATGTCATCACAGCTGAGTGAGGCCTAGCTCTGTCTGAGGCGATCATGAATCAGGTGTGAGTCAGAGTGGAGCTCAGGGCTTTGCCACTCCTGTCCTTCCCACAGGGTCATTATGTTTCTACACTTTGAGAAACAAACACTTTCTTTCCAAATCAGTCATGAACATGGTGTTTACACTGTCTGCTTTCATCAGGTCAGAAGTGAACTTTAATACTTTGTGTGATTTCATAACAAACTTAAAATCAGAGGCTCATATTTCAATCATTGGAGTCTTATTTATGAGGGGAAAATTATGAGCTGGACCTGGACACTGCTGAGGTGGAATGATGGAGGTGACTGAGGGCAGAGGAGGATCACAGCAATCAAACTGAAATGACAGACTGATGCTGCATTCATGTGCTGGGATTCCCGAGTTGGGAAGTCGTTTTAAGACTTGAGTAAATCAGTGTACTTCTAGTGATGAAAGATACAACAGATAAAACTCCAACCAGAATTGACATTTTTAGACACTTCAAATCCATTATTACCCCTTTACCTTTTCTGAAGATTATTTCCTTTTTTAATGTGTGTTGACGTGATTTCAGTAACATCACAAAAAGGGGTTAATGCTACGAAGACGATCAATGAAATGCAACTGTTAAAAGTTACATGTGAGCAAAAAGTTGATGTGCAATAAATGAATTAATAAAAAGTATGTTAACTTTGACAGAACATATTTTGCCCCGAAGTTTAGGACGACTCTGACGTCAAGTTGGGAAGTCGGGCACCTAATTCTTTTCCAAGTTTCCTAGTTGTTGTACAGACTCGAGCAGGTGTTCATGTGCATTATACAACTCGGAAGCTTGTTTTTCCTGACGTGTCTGACACCACATGAATGCACCATGACTGCTGAGGAGAGAGAACAGATTGAAGAATCATAAATGTATGAAAGAATATTCAGTCTGTCTGCTTCAACTCACACTAAACTTCATTGCTATCAGAGACATTGAATGTTTCTCCTTATACTTTTTTACTTCAACTGAGGAATAATGTGTTGTTCCTTTGTTTAAGTTTAACTCGTTAAGTCAGCAAAAGCATCATGTGTGTACTTTTTACATTCTCTCATGGTTGTCAGGAGATGATGTAGATCATGCAGTTAACTAGGACAGTTATGTCTTGAGGGTGTGATCTTAATACAACACAAGAACAAGTTTGTACATGTAGATACTGTATTCTGATGTAATTCTATTCTTTTTTTCTCCCTTCTCTTCTCACTGGCTCAGGTGGAGGAATCTCCAGCTATGCAGGTCAACAGGGAGCAGCAGGGCAGAGCTTGGAGGTTTGTCTAGACCAGGCAGTGAAGGACATCCCCAAAGAGAGGCACAAGCTCACACCTGTGTACCTGGGAGCCACGGCTGGCATGAGGCTGCTGCAGTGAGTCAGTGTGTGTGTGTGTGTGTGTGTGTGTGTGTGTGTGTTTGTGTAAGGGATGAGACTGCCTCTGTTTGTGTTCATTTTACATTGTTCCTTTGTCTTTGTTTTCCTGTCACATTGTTTTACATTTCTTCACCTTTTGTTGCAGCTCTTTTGATGTTTTATGGTAATTCCCTTTTTCAGTTGAATTGTAATCCCACAAAACATTTCATCTAAAGTGAAGTTCCTTTGAAGACATGATTATTTTAGGCGTGTGGCTTTGGTGCGGCAGTAGCTGAGTCCTTTGGGACTTGGGTTGCCGGTTTAAGTCCCAATGTGGACCATAATATGGAAGTTGATCTGGTAGCTGGAGAGGGAAAAAAAGCCTCCTCCCTGAACACTCCGAGGTGCCCTCGGGCAAGGCACCGAACCCCCACCCACTCTGGTGTGCTCCCCGTGTAGCGGCTTGTGCATGTGTGTGAGAAGCATGTGTCTCCTTAACAGAGTGTGAAAGCGGAATTTCCCCCAGGGATTAATAAAGTAAAAAAGTATATTTAAAAAAAAAAAGAAGTAACCCTGTAATAAGCCCATTTAAGGGATTGGGTGTAAAATTCTTCTACGTGTAAGAAATGGTCCTTTACATTTTGCTGGTACACGGCGTGATATTTACCCACCTAGAATGTCTTGCCTTCCATATAAATCTCATGGAGATTTTACACTGACATCTTTTCGGCTCAGTAAACTTCCATATCTTATCTTGATTTCAATATTAATATTTTGCATGCAGAGCTGCCTGCGGCTCGTGTCTGTTCAGATATCAGCCCTGTCAGTTCTCATTTCTTTTTGAAATGAGGGAATATAAACAAACAGTAACGGTGACTGTAGTCCAAAAGATACAATCATCAAACTGCTGATGCTCCTGTTTATTTAGCTCACCAGCGTATTTGATTATTTTAACTCGACTAAAGTGATTTGTGATGACTGCTGTCTCTGCATTTGCATCCTCCTCAGAATGTATTTAGCATCCCAGAGTTTATTTAGTAATACAGTCGTTCCTGGTTCCTTGGAGAGCATCAACACAGTTCTAAAAAGACGTTGTCACTTTTCCTGAAATGCATTTTGCCTTTATGTAAATGTCCAGCACAATGCAGCCGCCAAGTCTCACAGCCGGGGGGTGAATATGGAAATCATTCGCTCAGTGCAAATGTGTCCTGAAATTTGACTGAGAGACAACAGCCTGTGTCTCTTTGTGCACTCCAAACTTCCCTTTGTATTAGTTCAGATTAGTCACTTCTGTAACTCTATACCATGCGCATAAACTCGTTTATTGATCTATTCATGAAACTCTCTTTAAAGCCTTTTTTTTGCTCACTGCTGCTCAGAATGTCATATTGATGGGAATTAGTACACATTTTGGATTTGCCATGACAGTCTTGAAGACATTAAACACAACATTTGGACTTTATAAAAGATGACAAAAATTCAAAAATGATTTCTTGGAGGTGTCTGAAATTGCTAAGATGCAAATGCAGGAAGGCAGGGACAAAACAAATGTCAGAATAAAATGTAATTGGAGGCTTTTGTGGCAAATTGTCATGAGATGCTGATGGATATATTCGTAAGACCTGATTTCAATGCTGGTGTCTTTTTTGAAAAAGTGATGTATTCATACAAGCTCTGAATAATATCTATATTATATTAATCACCTGCTGCAGCTGTAGCTTGCTGTGATAATTAAGTAATAGGAGTAATATATTTTATTTTGTCCCGTCTAGTGCGTCCAGTCCGGAGCAGTCTGATCAAATTTTGCAGGAAGTTGGCCATAAAATCCAGTCGTACCCTTTTGACTTTCAGGGTGCAGCCATGCTGAGCGGACAGGATGAGGGGGCGTACGGCTGGGTCACCGTCAACTACCTCTTAGAGAACTTCATTAAGGTACCATAAGTCGTATGAATAGTTTTTTTTGTAGACAGCAATGTTTAATTAGTTAGAACTTGTTGAAGCATTCTCCTTTATCTTGTGTTCAAATCATTTCCCAATTCTTGATTCTTTATTCTTTTATATTTTAAATACTGTATGTGCACAGATGACATTACAGGAGATGTTGCTCTATTTAAGCTTATTTGGAGGGAGGCTGATGACACCTAGTGGCCTCTCCAGCAATAAGTCACACCTAACTGTTCCCTCTGGAGAGGTGCTAGTTTTGAGCTTGGGGTCAACGGGGGACATTTGTCTTATAGAATTCTTCCTCCCTCACAAACTCCAAAGCAGAAGTCAGACTTCTACTCTGAAGATAATAAGCATGACACAGAGCTTTAATGTTGCTTCCGTTCCTTTGCAGTACGGCTTTGTGGGGCGCTGGTTCAGCCCCGGCAGGCCCACAGTGGGAGCGCTGGATTTCGGTGGGGCGTCCACTCAGATAACGTTTGCAACTCAGGATGAAGTGGAGGACAAACGGGACATGATGAAGCTGCAGCTTTACGGCCAGGAGTACTCTCTGTACACACACAGCTTCCTGTGCTACGGGAGGGACCAGGTCCTCAAGAGGCTGATGGCTCATGTGTTGAAGGTAGTTAGATACGCCACACTCACTGGAAACTAGTGAAACAACTCACTACTGAAATGTAGAAATGAAGCGGTTGAGTCCTTTTCATATCATTTATATCATCATATCAAAGGACTTGAAAGACAGTGCATTTCATCAAGATCTTATGGAAAAATGTAATCGAATACAAACACATGTTGACTAGAACCTCAATGGCAGATAAAATAGTTGATGTGCTTCATACAGTATATGGTTTTCAACACTCGGTGGCACACAGTGAATGTCTTGACTGTCTTTAAATCCAGACTAAGCCAGACTGGAACAATGAGCAGTTCTGGTAAAGCAGGAAAGGCAGCTTTGTTCATTCACCTGATTTCACACACAAATGCTTTTTCAGAGAAGAATAGAGTCAAATAAAATGGAAGGCCTTTATGGTCATCGTACAATGAACTGTGCTGTGCTTCTCTAAACAAAAAGAATAACATTCATCCCATTCAGCCACACACACGTTTCCCGCCATAACAGTTGTAAAAGGTTACAAGAAGAGGTAGATAGTAGTAAAAAAAAGGATTGTGTAAAGATATCCAGTGCACTCTGTGCCGTCTTCTAAGTTAGGATCTCTGGATATTATCGCACCATTAAAAAGTTACATTTCACATTGAACTCTTATGCATCACATGTTATATTTACACATGAAATGTCACCATGAATAATATTGCACAGAAGATGCTGCTGCACCTAAATTAATATTGCACATTAAATGTTATGTCACATGATTCTTTTTTCTATATTACATGTTATTGCACCACAAATAATATGATATATGATGTAAGGGTTAATGTGTTTTATGTCTTTAGAAACATGGCTGGAAAAAGCTTTTCACACGAAACATGAAAACAATGACAAATAAAAACCAGGAGATAGAAACATTTTTTATTGTTAAAGATAACATAATATACATTTAAATAAATATGTTTAGTTAAATAACATGCAGATAAAAGTGCAGTTATATGCTGTGTTTAACCAAGTTCAAAAAAAGAAGAACAAAATGGCAGTAGGGAATACACAGGAGAACATCAGAATTAAAATAAACTGAAAAATAAATCAAATAAGCTTTCAAAGTGCAGGTCAGAAAATAAAGATTCACTCTTAAAGTTATGATAATATGTCATTCACTCCCTCTCTCTGTCTCTCTCTCTCTCTCTCAGTCTCAGGGTTACTCTGCGTCAGTCACTCACCCCTGCTATCCTGCTGACCACAGTCAAACTTTAAAGTTAAGCAGCATATTTAACTCTCCTTGTACGGCAAAGTACAAACCCAACTCGTACAGCTCTGAGGCCTCTCTGAAGGTACAAGGCAGCGGACATTATGAACACTGTTTGGGCAACATGTCTGAGATCTTCTCGTTCGATGGCTGCCCCTTCTCCCAGTGCTCGTTTGATGAAGTCTTCCAGCCAAATGTCACGGGAAGCTTCATGGTGAGCTGTGCACTCTATCACAAAAATCATTACAATATAGAGGTACTGTTTTTCATTTCTGGTCGGTCCACAGTAATGATGACTTTATTCTTAGCAGAAATCTGCAGAACTATCAATGAAGACCAAAGAGTTGTACCTCTCTGATCATATAGATCAAACCTTATGTGGTACATGTATTCATATGCCCAGCTTTGTAATACAATTACATAAAATAACTGCAGAGAAATCTGTTTTTGTAAAGACAAATAAACTTTACAACCTATTTTCTATTTATCTAATGAGCATGGCATAGACTCAGAGTGCTGAGGAACATATAGAAACATGTGCTCTACACTTCATTTTTATGGATTTCTATTGTTTCTCACAGCTATGAGCGTTTGTTTTTGTCCTGTTTCTGTTTCTTCAGGCGTTCTCTGCGTTCTTCTACACGCACTCCTTCCTGCAGCGAATCACCGGCATCACCGTGAACACTCCTCCACTGCTGGCGAAGGCAGCCAGAACTGTGTGCAGCATGACCTTCAGTCAAGTAATACTCTCCTCTGATAATGTTCATTTCATTCTTAATGAGCATGCTGTTTGTGTTCACACTTGTGAGTCTTGTTATGTTAGCTCTGCTGAACCCTACTGTACCTTCTCCAGTGGGAAAACCACTGCTTGGGGATGGAGCTATCAAATTTTAGACTCCATGACGATATGGGTTTAGATACCAGTGTTGTACCCACTTTGTTCCGGACTGAAATATTTCAAAAGTCATTTGATGGATTGTCATGACATTTACGAAAATTCATGGTGTGCAGGGATGCATCTTACTTTAGTGACCCCCTGATTTCTAATCATCAGCTGATCATCAAATATTTGTAACTTCCAATGAAATGCGTTCATGCATTCCCCTCAGGATGACTTGAAATAACTTTGATGATCCTTCAACTTTCATTTTCATTTTAATATTTAAATGATTGATATGGTAAACTTTGTTCCTGTTGAAGATCAGCATGTTAGCATTGTGAGCACATTAGTTCCCCCGTCAGCTTTTAGCGCATAAAGTAGCATTGCAGTGTTGAGCCTAAAACATCATAAGCATGGCTATAGACTCTTGTTCAAGGTAAAATAGAAGGTGAAGATCTTTAGAGCCTGAACACTTTATAAATATGCTAGTGGCACACTCGCTTGTGCTTTCATTTTATTTGTATATCAGGAAGAATGAACCTAAACTCTTTATTCATGTATAATTTTGATTCTAGTTATTTATTGTATTTTACAAACTTAACACATTCTTCTCTTTTGTTTCAGATGCTGCTTCTTGCTCCAGAGCAGAAGTCTCGTTTGCAGGACTACTGTGCTGCTTCTGTGTTTCTTAATATTCTCATGTTGAGAGGATACGGCTTTGATGAGTCATCATTCCCACGTATTTCATTTCAGAAGAAGGTGAGAACTCATTAGTAGATGGTAAAGTCTACCCTCAATACATTATATTAGTAGATAATAGTGAACTTGTAGTGATCAACTTGCTTGTTTTTGACTCTAGGCAGGGGACTCCTCGGTGGGTTGGGCTCTGGGCTACATGCTGAGTTTGAGCAACCTGATGCCTGCAGAGACTGTGGGGCTGAGGAAGGCCCTGACCCCAGGAGCATGGGCCGCATTGATCTGTCTTTTTGTCCTCCTGCTCGCCGCAGTCCTAGTCTTCATCTTAATCCGAGCTCGTGATGGGAAGAAGAAAGGAGGCAATGAAGGCACCATCTAGATGTTTCAGCAGCGTACAGTGCAGCCAAAAGACTAACACACAGTGATGTGTTTTTTGTTTTCATGTGGGCTCTGTACTCCAACACCTTATTTCTTTCAGATTTCTTTTTTTTGCTAAAGTGCTGTAACTAAGCTCAGCCGTCATCCCGTCTTTTACAGCAGGAGCTCTACACAGACACACAGTCATACATACATACATGCATGCACACACACACACACACACACAGAGCTCCCCAACTGGATCAGCTAAAACGCCTCTTTAAAGCCTCCGTTACTACCTCTGAAGACAGTACAGAAGGGGGGATCACTTCGTCCTCCCATTACGCCTCTGTGACATTCACATTGAAGCGGAACGTCACAGGGGTGTAAACATTGCAGCTTGAAACAGCAGTGAGATTTCAAATGTTGGATCTCATTAACTTTCTTTGTCCCGAATTGTTTTGACCTATCTCTCATTACTTTCTACTGTTTTTTATATAAATACTGTATGGACACAAAAACCCTTGAATTAAAGCTCTAAGTCCATGCTTTAACCTCATAGTTGTTTTGTCCTTTTCTTTGAAATCCATTAGGCCTTCATGTGTGGAGTACAGAGCCAACCTGAAGAAAAAAATGTGTCACTAATGGAATATTTTCTGACTGCCACGTACAGTAGGTTTAAAAACTAAGTTCTTTCCTGGTTGTGAACATTCAACTACACACTGTTCATTTCATTTTAAATATTCTTACTATATTTATATGTCATAAAAATTAACTGAAAATATAGCTTAGACCAGTGTTTTCTAGCTTTCTTTTCTCGGAGCTCACTGAGTTGTGTCGACAAAAAGCTAGGCCTGCCCAGGACCCACATGAAACAAGTCATACATTGCTGTTAAATATTAACATCAAATGTGATTGTTTTCATTGATAAAATCCAAACAGAATATGCCTACACACACTGGTTCTTACCAGAACACCTCTCTATCTAGTAGTTTTGATTTTAGTTAATATGAGAAAACATTGTTTTGACAACCTGCAAACAGACGGCACTTCTGAGTGCCACTTCTGAGATCTTTGGCACTTCATCCATTTTAGAAGATTGATTTCTGGATTAATTTCTTCATGTAATTTTTTCATTTAATGTTTGGTTTTGCTTTTGTGTAAATTGTGTTTTTTTTTTTTGCATTTTCTAATAAATGAAATTACAAAATGATCTCTCATCAGATCAATGACTGATACTCACATCTAGCTATTTTTTAAGACAGCAAACAAACTTCATTCATGTCGTGACATTAAACAAGAGCTTCATACATTTGTAAATGTAATATTATTAGTACATTAAAAAAATCAATATTTTGATATGAAGCTCTTGTTATCTTAGTTCAGTCTGAAAGACCTTGTGTAGTAGCTGTTAAAAGAAATGATAGCATGCTAGTTTGCTGTGATTTGGGTAACAGCTATTAAGTTTTAAATGTCTTGGACGTTTAGACCCTCAAGACCAGAGCATGCATTTTAATTAGGGTATAGAGAAGTATTTTCATATAAAGGCTATTTGGTAATGTTTGGAGCAGTTAACTGTGCTAACTTGCTTTCAACTACTTTACAAATGGCAATGAAAATGTGAAGCAAAGTTTATCCTTTTTCCTAAGTAATTAGATTCTTGAGCTGTTTTTTAATCTGTCTTCTGTCTTTTTTATTTTCTGGAGCTATTATTTACGTGGAACACTATAACTTTGTTTTTTAAGGTCTAATTATTGGTAATTTAAAGTTCACACATTACCTAGGCGTTCTCATGGTTATAACTAATATTACTTTTAATTTCTCAGTACAAGAAAGGGACCTTAGTCCTTCCCACTCATCCAATCTGCTCTACAAATACCAGAGTTCTTTGCTTTGCGGAAGTATTCGTTCTGCTGACCTCGGTCAGTCCCTATGCCTTCAAAATAAAAGAGTGGATTTAAAGTTTTTTTAATTTTTTTATATTAATACAATGTTTGTTATTTACTTATTAGGCTAGATTTCGCCACGACTACTCTGTATTATGGTAATCGAATGGCTGGTGCGAGGGAGAAGTCTTGGGGGAAAAAAGCCCGCAGTGACTCATTACTCATTGTCTGTCTTTTATTTTGGAAGCGGAAGTATCTTTGTTGTTGCTACATGGCGGAACCGGGCGGAACACGCACTCCTGAGTCGTAACCATAGACTGTGGTTGTAACGAGGCTTCATTCAAGTCTAGTTAATAATAGTGTCGAACTGTACAGCTGTACAGCTTTCTGCGTGGACAGACACGGAGTCCGTTGAGAAAACACGAGTACTTTGTTTGTTTTTGTGTCTGTTTGTGTGTTCGTCGAGAAGTGCTAAGATGTGCACACAGACGAGGGCTGCTGCTCTGATGGCGAACATCCCGCAGGCTGACATCGACCCGTCCGGCGTCTTTAAGTACGTCCTGATCCGAGTCCACAGCAAAGAGGAGGGAGACGACTCGGAGGTAGATATAGTTCGAGGATACGGCTGGGCTGAGTACCATGGTGAGTATGAAGCATTAAAGGCATGGAGGACTATCACAGGGCTCCTTCAGAGATTTAAATACATAACATACAAGTATACACGGGCTATCTGAGGCCTTGTGGTGGAAAATGGAAAAGCTCTTAGCAGTTCAGGGTGCAAAACATGTACAGTTTATGAAGGACCCAAAGCAAAAAAAAACTGCGGTCAAGTGAGCCGCCGCTCGAAAAATGTTGCATAGAGATACTTTGATATTTTAGTCATATTTAATATTTTATTTTGAAAAATCTATGACAGGTGACAAGAGACTTTCAATGGATTCTTGTCCCTCTTGTCCCTCTTGTCCCTGGCTGTGGTCATGAAAATGTTCAGCAGATTTTACTGTATAGTTTTTGAGAAACATAAAGGTAAAGTCTGTTCAAATTGCATAGACACTTTGATATTTTAGTCATATTCAATATTTTATTTTGAAAAATATATGACAGGTGACAAAGATCTTTCTGATCTTTTTGACCGCGGTAGCAGACACTATTGCATTCAACTACAACTGTCCTGAACTAAAACCTTTGGTTGGTTCAATCTCGTAGCAGAATTCCTGGAAGGTAAAACTCCTCAACTACACTTCATCATTTTGTCAATCTGGCCATCTTGGTGGAGGAACTAAAGAGAGTGCTGACAGAGAATAAAAAATGCAGCATGAAGGCCCGAGAGGACAGATCCCACATTGAAATAAGTGTAGTGTGTAGGGCTGAATAGTGAAGCCAGTATCAAATTGCCTTAAACTCTCATTCTTTGATATAACCATTAGAGGGGACTGCACTGCTCCAGACAAAAGAACCAAACTGAAAACTTAAAAAATACTAAAGCACTGTTTCGCCCTATCTCCACTTCATGCAGTCTATGGTTAAGATGACTTGCACGCTTTGAAACACAAGCCTTTTTCACTTATGCACCCCTGTATCAGTGGTTCCCAAAGTGGGGGCCGGTTGTCTTCTGCTTCTCACATCAGCTAACTCGACTTTCTGTGGAAAATATATAAGGGGGCTGGTACTTAAATAGTCTGAAAAAATGTGGCTGTTTGCATTCACACACCTGCAAATCAGGAGTTTTGTGAGTGCACTGATAGAGGTGCCCTTTGGCCAGAATGTCACTTTTTAGAGGCTGCAAAAGTCCTTTTCACACCCATGGTAACATGTCTGGTACAACATTTTTTTTTGGTTAAACATAGTTCATGTCTTCATTTGTACACACTGTACAGGGGGAGGATTTATGTAAAAAAATAATTCATCTGTTTTAATTTTATTAAGATGAAGAATTATTCACAATATGAGGCGTGGCTGATCTGACTGACAGGAAGGCTCAATGTAGCTGGTTGCTAGAAGGTTTAAGGCTTGCCTTAGTTCCACCTCTTTGCCTGTTGCTTGGTTGGCTCTAAGTTCGTTTGAGACAGCATTTTCAAAATTATAACCTCTACCGCTGGGCTTCAAAAACCAGTTTCATCAACCAATAGGTGACAACGCTGACAATACGTCCATGTTTTATACTGTCTAAGATGACGTCTCATTGGTTCTCTAGAGTTGAAGTCTTTTGTGAGGATACCGTTATTCCAACACTTAAATTTGTAGCTGGCATCCAGATGGCAGTTTGCACCATTTATGCAAAGTTGATGTAACAACTCATCAGCCTTTTTTTAACACAGCAGCTGGATCAGCTCATTTAGACCTCAAGCAGCAACCTGTGATGATGCATACACATATTTACAAGACAGCTGGATGCTCAACACAAGTATTCTTATAAAAGAGTATCATAAACAAATGTTTTTCAACCAAAATTCTAAGCTCTCACAGGTTTTCTTTTCACTTAACTTGAAAAAAATGTCTATTTATGTTAAAACATGTGCATTCAATTTTACTTTTTCTAATTGCTAAGCATATTGTTGAATATAATTTTTTAGAGAAACAATGCTGTAGAAGTACCTGTGTGAATGCATGTTTCATTCGTCATATTCTGCCCTCTTTGTTGCAGCTGATATCTACGACAAGGTTTCTGAGGAGCTGGAAAAGGATGGATACCTGGACTGTGAGTGTGTCGGAGGAGGAAGGATCAAACATGATGCCCAGGCTAAGAAGATCCATGTTTATGGATACTCCATGGTAAGAGAAGGCTGCAGAGTAAAGAACATAGACATCAAGATGTTGTGCAAAAGGGGCCAAAGAAAAAAAAACAGACAAAATGTAAATGGAAGAGGGTAAAAAGCTCAAATATGCTGCAGATGTTAGTGATAAACTACGCTGTGTTCCTCTCTGCAGAATAGAACTTTTCACATCATTTTCAGGTTCAGTTTAACATTTTAATTAATAAACTTAAATATAGTTTTTTTTTCCTATATCTAATATTTTGTGGTACTTTCCATTCCAGGGATTTGGAAGAGCAAATCACGCAATAACTACTAAGAAGCTGAAGGTTCGGTATCCTGACTACGAGGTGACCTGGGACAATGAAGGATACTGAATGGACTTTGATGGACCCTCTTTCTCCTGGACTGACAAGGCACTTACTCCAAACCCTCATAAGAGGGGACGGCTTGTCAATCAAAGCCATACACAATCTAACAAGGATATTTTTGACACCACATTAATAAAAACAGAACCCTAGACTGATCAACAGTGACAGATCTGATTAGAGAAAGAAGGCATCTTAGTCTTATATTCATGTCACAGTGGAGTGAGGAAATAGACAACTTGAAACTAAAACAATATTTTTGTTAAATTAGGAATTTAGGAAGTGTTCTACTCATGGGATAATGATGGATTAAATAACTGGTCCTGACAGGTTTGTTGTCACTCACTGACTTGTTTTAGAGTCACATAGCGTTATTGAATGGACATTTTTACTCAGATATATTGGAACGTGAACCTTCAATTCTTGGTCCTGGTGTTTTTTTTTGTCATACATGTTTCCTGAAGTTGACTGTTTACAAACCGTGTGCCTTCCTGTGTGGCAAGAAAATGAAAACTCTCTCCATCTCTGCTTCTCTAAATTTAGCCAACATGAACTTTTTTCCTGCCGATGACCAAACTGAGCTGTGACAAAATGTTACGGCCCTAAATAATGTCGAACCCCAAATGACTGGAGGGTCTCTAATTTATTTCCCTAAATGATTTAGGAAGAACCTCTTTTTTTCATTTTGCATACTAAAGTTGAAATGTAGAGAATAAAGGTCGCATGATAAGAATGAAGTTGACCAATTTACTGTCAAATATGTATAAAAAAAATATCAGTGGTGAAGGATTTTCGAAATCAGAGGAGGATTTTTTTAACATTTTGACTTCATTCTCAACAGTCCAGATTTTTGTATTACCTAAAAAAATCAATCTTCATCTTTCATCACCTTGCTCAATATTGTTTGACAAATTCTAAATTTCTAGTCTGCTTCATTTTTTGCTAAACATCGGTGGGTGACCTGGCGAGTTATTCAAACTAGTGCTGTCAGCATCATCTAGTTAATCACGATTAAGGTGTGAAATCAATGCATGCATTTTTTCAATCCTAATTTATCGCATGCTATTTTGTCCCTTCAGGCGCACCATGGATAATCCTCCTCAGTGTCTCCCTGTAGTCACAGGGATGTAAAGCACAACAATGCTGCATCTTTGAATGTCTCATTTCACTTTAAAATCTTCAGCCCTCAAACATGACCATTAAGATGCTGTTCTCCTTCAATCATCATTTCTAAATGAAGATATTTGACATCTTAAATCTTCCATGTGTCAAATACAAAAGACACATTTGTAAATCAAGACAGTAGCTATGAAACAGTTAGGGGTTTGTTTTTGTCATGTTGATGCTACTCTTACAATAACTAATACCTACATTAACATGTTTCCTTTAAAGAGATGGCCAGAGATGTCCTTGATTACACTAGATTCTGGATTAATTCATGGAAATGTAGCATAGATCAAATGTCATTTATTATGAAGGCAACAGTGGCCTGTTTAAGGTGTTTTAGATATCTGGCCTGGGCATATGAAGTGGAAAAATGCCCCAAATAATGAATTCTAATCATATAAACTAATGTAAAGGCTAATTCAGAATATTTGGCTAACAAAGAAATTGTTCTAAATTATTTTTGTCTTAGTTTATTTGTTCATAACTACTGCAGGGTACAAATTGCTGCTTTGTGATGACATCCCCTGCATCCAGTGTGAAACATGTTGGATAAATACTCCCTTTTTCACGTATCCAAAATTGTATAAATACAGTATGGAAAAATCTTAACTAAGTTTCCTGTTCCTCTATAACTCTTGTGAAACACTGTCAGTGCACGTCTGTGGCTAACTGCTACCTCTGTTATTGTGCAACATAATGGTCTTATGGAGGAAATTGTTTTACGATGGTTTGTTGCAGGTGCATGCTGGGAGAACTTAAAGTCCAAAGTTTTATCTCTTAGTCAGAGAGAAGAGGTCAGAGTGAGCTAGTGAAGACTCTCCAGATTGTGATCAAACTTCAGACTCGTTTGGAGGAAGAGGAGAAACAGAGATGTTACACCTGAAGAGTTCAGGTCTTCTCCTGCTGCTGACTGTGCACTTTGGTAAGAACACACTCAGCAAGACTGCATTCAAACACTCATAGTTAAAAGAAACACAAAGAATAATGGTGCTGGTCTGGCTAATCTTGGCTTGTCAAGTCCCACTTGAATTAAAAGCGACAAATGATACTAAACCACATTTCTAGATAAAGAATGGATTTTTAGCTTTTCTTTATGACATCATGTCTGCTGTGGGTTTTCTGTGAATTTGGTGGCTGTTGCCAAGTGGAATAATTTATATTCTACAAATTAAAGCGCAGTGTGGTGTTTACCTTTAAGGCCGTTTCTACTCCAATTTAAAGACTGAGAATAAACTTGACTATATGTAGCTCAACTATAAAAATAAATGTATAATTAAGTCAATGCTTTTTTTCAGTTTTGTTTCTACAACTTGAACGTTTAATATACTGGTGACTGGTAACACCGCTAGATTTTCTTTTGTGACATTATGTGTTCTTGCAACTTCCATTTACATCGTGTTTAGATAAATGACAGACGTTCTTGTTTTGTCCTCACCAACAACAAATCTTAGTTTTAAATATTATCTGTAGTGCATGAGTGCGCATATTGTATTTTAAATGATCTACACCTGAGGTCCTAAGAGGTGTTACATTTAATCATTGTGCACACAGAGAATGATCTCGATGGTTTATGATTTATTACCATCAACAACCATTATTTCTCATTAAGTTTCTGTCATTTTCTCTCTATCTGTGCATATCATTTATTTTAGGGCTGAACGACACGGTCAAAGAAGTGACAGTGTGATATCTTCTTATTCTGAGATATATTACCATGTGAAATAATACAGGAAGTTATTCCAAATAGTCTGCTTAAATATATCCAATTAACATTTGAATCTGACCATAATATAATGAATCATTTTGGACTCTCGGTCTATTTTTATGTTAGACCTGCACTAAGTGAAAAACAAAATGCGATCTGCAGTTTTTCAATCTTGTGATAATGATATGAAGTGTGATAAACCATTTTTATAGAATCCGTATTAGCTAGACATATTTTGAAAATGTTTCTCATGAATTTAAAATTTAAATAAAGCTTTTTTTTTTTTAACACTTAATGCGCTACAGTTACTTGCTTTAGTTTCATCTGACTGCTGGTGTGAGTGTGTTTAAGATAAAGACATGCTGAGTGAGAAAGCAGTGATTGTTTTCATGAATTCATGTTTCTTATGTACTGCATTAAATTCAGACTTGCGTGATGGGTTTATCATAAAAGCTCATATTTCAGGGGCGCTGGTGGCACAGTGGTTGGTGCGTGCGCCCCATGTACGGAGGCTGTGGTCTTCAGGTGGGCGGCCCAGGTTTGGGTCCGGCCTGTGGCTCCTTTCCCGCATGTCATTCCCCACTCTATCTCTCTCCCTGATTTCCGGCTCTATCCACTGTCCTATCTTTCTATTAAAGCAAAAGCATAAAATACAAATGTAAAAAAAAAAAAAGGTCATATTTCATTAATGATAACTTCAAATGTATTTTGCAGCCCTTTAATATTTTCTTCATAGTTTTCCACTTGCTCTGGTATTTTATTTTTTGGTCTTTCATGCATGGGCCCCTGCAGACTGGAGAGGTGAAACCCCATGTTTTGGTTGCCTGTCTGTTGTTTTCTATTCAGTCTCTGGCTGTATCCTGTCCCTGTGGTAGGTTGATTTTCAGTTATCTCTGCTATAAAACATCAAAATGGTTTTGATTTTCTGGTTATTTCTGGAGATAATCCAACAAGAGTGGTGGTAAGAGGGTTGTTTTCAGAATAAGTAACCCCAAAGAGAATGTATACCGGGTGACCTAGTTCTTAGTTTGTGTCCCTCATTGTGCAGAGGCCGTAATTTCTAAAGTAGATAAGACCGAAGCCATAAAAACATTAATAACTTTATTTTTAAAATGCCTCTGATACATTTTCCTGATGTCATCAGTGAAGGAGATCCCAAAGCTGTCAGACATGTAACTCCCTGCTATCACAACACACTCTGGATGTTATGTTCTCACAGTGAAACACATGCAGGTAACATGTTTCTGCTTTATCTCGTGTCTGATTTCCAGCTGTCAGGTCGCTGAGGCACAGAGGTTTGAGTCTCAGAGACCTTTGGATGGACGGATGGCATTCTGCTGCCTTTCAAACTGATCACTTGTGTTTGGCCTTTGAGCCTGCTGGCATCAGTTGTTCCATAAAACACATGACAGTAATGAGTCCTGATAAGAGAGGTTTGGGGTTGAGTCATCGGGGAGATATTACACAGTGTACAAACAGAAGCAGCCATGGAAACTATTGAAGCACTATTTCTATTGTAACGCCTCTCTCTTACATTTATCCTCCACCATCACTCCTCACTCAAGATCCACTAACTTGTCTATTTTCTTTAGTCATCCTTTAGTCAAAGATGTCAAACTCTCTGTTACTCTCTCTGCTTTTTGAATATTCTGACATGTAAGCTTGAACGTTAAGCTTGACATTTCAGCCTTGACCTTTGGAAAAGCAGCTGAATGAACAATCTCAAATTCCTCGCTTGTACTGAAGCTGAACCTTATTACAAATCATCAGTTTAAATGCCTTGATTGATTTGTTTTGATTTTTATATTTGCTTTTGTAAGACTAGCCTTTAGCTAACTTCTTAGTGACGCAGACTTGTTGATATGTTGTAAAGCTCCATACACTGAGTGATGATTGCTTTGCCCAATGAGATAAAGATGAGTATAAAAGGGATGCTGATGGCCTAGCTGTTAGGTCAGGCACCATGTACAGAGGCTGAAGTCCTTGAAGATGGTGGCCCCGGGTTCAAGTCTGACCTGTGGCCCCTTTCCTGCATGTCATTCTCATCTCTGGCTCCTGATTTCTTACTCTATCCACTGTCCTGTCTGAAGTGACACCTAGTGACACCTAGTGTCAGCCAGACCATCTTCAATATTAATATTGCTCTCTTTAAATACAGCATTCAGTTTTATGAATTTATTTTTGTAAACTCTATAAGGCACCATTCTTCAGATATTTTACTCTGTGAAATGGTCACCTAGGTGGGGCGCACATAGCCTAGTGGTTAATGCGCTCACCTGTATGTAGGCTGTGGTCCTCCAAGCGGGCAGCCTGGGTTCCAATCCGACCTGTCGCTCCTTTACTGCATGTCGCTCCCCACTCTCTCTCTCTGGTTTCTGACTCTATGCACTATTCTCCCTCCAAATAAAGGCATAACGAGCCCAAAAATGTAAACCTTAAAAAAGAGAAAGAAATGGTGATCTAAATAACTGATCTTTTATTTTCAGGATATTCAGCCATTCCATCAATCTCCTCAGAGAGATTCACATGTTACTACATTTAACTACATTTACTTATGTGAAATAGATTTATTATAATTACTACTGGACTTCTTTTTAAATTCTGGTATTTTTTCTTCTTTTTTCTTGAGTAATAAAGTTGACATTCCTAACATTTAGTTGAAATGAAAGATAAGGATGAAGATGTGAATGACAGACTTCATCACCCTCTGTGTTTTCAGTTTTCTATTTTAATATTCTTTTTTAATATAAGTCTACTTTTGATTTTCTTGATAGCAGCTGCTGGTTCTTGGACTCAGCGATGTGACACTCCAGAGGGGAAGTGTGACTTCGTGTGTGATTGTACTGACTGCAGCGATGAGCAGGACTGTGGTGAGGCTGAAAATGATTTTCAAATGTGATGATACTCAATCCTCAGTTGTTTTATCTTTATCCTTACTGACTTTAAGAATTTAAAGAGGCTGACACTTGATCTTAGAATAGTCCTTTTCAGTATGTGTATGTTCTAAACCTGGCTGTCATGTGGGTGTGAAGTTATGTCCCATTATAATCTGGAAGTTAAAAGGTACTTATTTATAAGTAATCTGAAGGAATCTGAACTGTTTTCTTGCTGTGGGTGAAAAAGTAAACGATCCATGTGGATAAAATGCCGGACTTCAGAAAACATAATTGGTGCTTAATCTGTAATATTTTAGTTATACAATACAATAGTTAAATATTCATTCTACACCCTCAAGGCTACAGAGGAAACAGGTTTGAGTGTGACTTTGAGGATGGAGGGACGTGTGGATGGACCAACCAGTCCATCAATGAAGCGTACAGCTGGGAGCTTCGTCAAAGAGGAGACACTCTGCCTGACAGCGGGCCGTCCTCTGACTACACCACCGGGACAGCTACAGGTGAAGTACAGCACAAACATGTGAGGAAGCACAATGATCTATCTACAGTCAAAGAAGGAGAGTTTAATGTTAATACATAAATGTAATTTAGTTTTGATGATTTCCAGCTGCTGTCCTCAGAGCTCACATTTTAACCCTTCAATAAATGATTAGTCTCTGAGTGAAAGAAATAAAACCTACAGACTCATTTTGTAATTCCCTTTAGTCCGTCTGTTGTTTCGTTTCTTTAAATAGATCATTTAGGTTTCTGGTCAACAACATTACTGTTTTCATTCACTGTCACAGTTTCCATAGATCTTTTTTCTGCTGCAGCAGGAACATTTTTAGATCAAAAATATCTCTCAACGTCTGACACAATGATCTAACACATTACAGTTAGCAGCTAAACTTATTTCAGATGTTGGCCACCCCAGGTGTCACCCCATAATGTTTAACTATGATTGGCTATTTTCCTTGCCAGAGTTGGGAATTGAGTTAAAATCCACTATTATTGTAGACAGCTCATAGTTTTCAGTGTGCAGATGTTTGTAAGCAATTTTGTACATTAACATACTTTAAATTGTGTCCTTTTAGAGTTAATTAAGTATATGTTGCCATTATCTTGTGTAACTTAAAAGTCGATGTGATGAGTGCAGACAGAAGGGATAAATAATTGCCCTTTATTCATGTTTGTGCACAAACATTTCAGGCCACCCCTGCACAAGTCAGTGGGAATTAGCAACTCGCTAAATCTGGTGCAAACATCTTTTTAATTTTTCTTTATATTTTATTCTGTATGTCAGGGTTGTGTTTACAGCTAAGGTGGCCTATGGATAAGTTGATGTGGGTTTAAGTTTTCGTTTGTTTTATTAAGTAACAATGCCTGTTTAATTTGTCATGCCGCATTATCTAAATGCTGTATATCTTTGTTAGAGACTTCAACCTTTTCAAATAACAGGTGAACAGGTGATCCATCAGTGCAGCTTGAAAGAAGTAATAAAGTTCAATAAGAATGACTTAAGCTCTGAATCAACAATCGTCCTATATTTGTTCAAAATAATGTGAAGGAAAGAAGGCAGTAAGGTCTGATTATAAGGCTATAATAAAACATCAACCTGTACTCAACTCAAGTATTAACAAAGTGAAATAAAACGTGCAACATTTCCCCTCACACAGGTTGGTTTATGGGAGTGAGCGCAGTGAAATCAGAGTCTGTCAGTACAGCAGTTTTAATCTCTCCAGAGATGAAACAGTCGTCACCAACCTGCCGCCTTCGACTCAGATATTTCCTGTGGGACTCAGGTACTGACCATAAAGGACTGGAGGTCCACACTCAAACTGCCTGCTCTGTAAAGCTGTAAACACAGTGTTAAAGATGTGATTTGAGGTTATCCTGTTCTACTTATAGTAGCAGTATTTGTATGTTTTCCTTTTTGTAAATGATATTGTTGGATTGTTTTTATGACTTTTAATGGTTGTGTAAACTCAAAGATGACATTTCCCAAGCAGACGCTCTACTAACATGTTATTTGTCCTGTTACTTTGTAGGCCACACAGGTCTGGGCTCCACCCCTCTGTGGGCGTCCATACATCGGCAGGACTCTCAGGAGGCTGTAGTGTGGCGTCCTGAGGCCACCAGTGTCCGCGGCTGGAGGGAGGCTACCATCTTCCTGGGCCGTATCCCCACAACTTTCCAAATGCGTCTGAACTCAAAGCGCTCTGAGGGACGAAGAGGAGATGTGGCAATAGACCAGCTGGAGTTTTTGGACTGTGCTCTTCCCTGTGAGTCACGCAAAGTACCCCGACCATGTGCAGACCCTACCTTTTTTATCGAGTCTGGAGTCTTTCATAAAAAAAATGAACGAACTGAACTCTATGAATATATCATTTCAAATGAAAGATTCTTTATCAGGGACATAATAATTATTTGGTTTTATGTTTCTCTAATTGCATCATAAGCACCACACACTGGTGAGAGCTGCCCAGCTGGGATGATGGAGTGTGAAAATGAAGGCTGTGTGGAGCAGCAGCAGGTCTGTGATGGCACCGACAACTGTGGTGACGGGACTGATGAGAAGAACTGTGGTGAGAAATGATCTGAACCACAGCAAAACAATTTCCCTTTGACTGAATGAAGAAATACAATACGATAATAATATAATAATACGATACACTTTATTACAGCCTCTTGGAAATTTGTATTGGACTGAAGTGGAGCACACATTTAGCTTCCTTCAGATTTGCATCAATAAGTAAAAACAATATCAACAAATACATTCCTCCAGAGATCAACAGTTAATGTTACTTATGGGTTCACTGGGTCTCCAGGAGAATACCGGCGCTGTGACTTTGAGGACGACCTGTGTGATTGGACTCTGACTTCCCTGTCTCTTCTAAAATGGAAAAGAATGAATCAGGAAAATATCTCCACGAATGATCCTCTGAAGGGACCTGGCAGGGATCATTCCAACAACAGTGCATCAGGTCTGTTTCACAGGTTCACTGTTAGCTTACTTTTGGACTATTTTAAACAACTTTCTAACGTTTGGACTGATAACATGAGTCAATCATTATCATCACTGTAGGTTACTTTCTGTACGTCACTGTCCCTGATGTTGGTCTCACAACTGACTGGGCAGCTTTCCAAAGCCCCCGCCTCGAACCCACCAACAGTTCACATCCATGCAAAGTGAGTCTCAGGCTGATCCGTTGCAGACTTAACATTCACCTAAACTTTTTATTACTGAACAAAGGCTCATCCTTTTTTTTCTGATCCGGCATGTTTTCACAGTTTAAGTTTAAGAAAAAACACATGAAGACATTTTTCAAACCTCATTTGAAACATTTCCTCTCTCTCTCTCTCTCTCTCTCTCTCTCTCTCTCTCTCTCTCTCTCTCTCTCCGCTGTAGATGGTGATGTACACTCACCAGTTTGGGCCGAGGTCCGGCGGTCTGACGGTGCTGGTGGCAGATGAGAAAATCTACCCGGTGTGGCAGAGGGGTGGAGCTCTGGGTGATGTTTGGGTGAAGGCAGAGGTGGAGATTGTCACCAATTCCACCTTCCAGGTGAGTGCTTCCTCTGACTTTGTTGCCTTTAACATTAATAAATTGCAGATGTTGAAAACAAAGGATCCATAAATAAAAAGAAGTAAGAGGAAAATGATTAGACATCATTATAAACAGTTATTTTCACTGTTTGATATTAATGTGGTTGTATGCTCAAAGACAGACTACACATGAACACATACCTTGAGACTGACTCTGGACTTTTGAAAGCCATCACTGGTAACGATAAAAGTTTGATTTGAACAGAAATATATATTCTTAATCACAAGAATTCAAGAGTCATGTTTCTACACCTGCATGTATCTGTAACATGTTTATGGGAGAATAACAAAGAGGACAAGGCAACAAGGGTGGAAACTCCAAAAAGTGGAAGAAACTAAACATGTATTCAAGTTTTTGAGCTCGGAAAATTTAGAAACAGTGGACTGGTTCTCAACTGGGGTGTGGGTGGAGCTGTTTTCAGTGGGTCACGGACATGTGATTGAAAAAGAAAATTGTCAAAAAGTCTATGAAGCACTGTTAAAACATGTTGGTTTTGTTTCCTGTCTATGTTCCGTCACATGTTTCGTACCATCTGAGATCCAAACTGCACTATTTTTTACTTTATAAATCGGATTAGTTTAAAAAAATATCTGAAATTTGGGTCACGGAGTTGGTGGTGGGACCTTCCCACTGATTTAGAAAAGGTGTGTATGTAAAAAAAAAAAAAAAAGGTAATGGGAAGTGTCATGAAACAGACTTGCTGAATGAATCTTTACATGTCTGACGTGGGTGACTTCATAGATCACTTGGTCTTCACTAGTTTCTTAACACACAGTCTGCATGTACAGCCTCTTTTTCTGTGTAAGCGCATGGGAGGAAAAGAAACCAGATTTTAAAGGCATTTGAAAAAGAAAACTAGGACTTTATTTTCTGTGTTACTTAATAACTGTAGGATGTTTAGAAGTAGAAAAGTAAAGGTCAATGAAAGCATGCACCATTTGGTTATTTCTGTTATTTACATTTATTTTAAATCATTTATTTCTTAAACAAAGTCTACAACAGTTTTGAAATGATGATAATGTCGAGCCCTAATTTTGGGTTTGGATAAAAATCTTCTGGTATCATATCAGAAACATCATCAGGTGGCTGTGGCTCAGTGGTGGACCTGAGAGTCGGGGGTTTGATCTCCAGCTCCTACAGCTACATGTCTGATGTGTAGGTAGATTGTTGAGTCTCCTTTTATTTTTATCTGTCCTCTGTTAAATTTGATTCTTTTGTAGATTCTATTCATGGCTGCAATCAGAGACTTTGATTACGGAGGCATCGCTGTTGACAGCATCGTGTTGTCCCCTGAGTGCCGCCTTTCACCTGGTAATAAAACAATAACCCACATTGACAAAGAATAAAAATGAATACTCTCAGTGGTGTGAATGATGTATGATGTTCTGTGTCACGTTCTCCTCCTGAACAGTGAATAACACCTGGGTAAATGAATTCCCCAAACCTCCTAAAGACCTGTGTACTACACCGGACAAGATGTGTGATTTTCATCGTGACTGTGCGGGAGCCGAGGATGAGGCCAAATGTGGTGAGTCACATTAACCCAACCTTATGGTCAAAACCCCAAAGGGCGTTGCATGGAATTCAAACGGGGTCTCCTGAAATGGACTACTGTGAGCTGTAGCCCATACTAAAAACTTAAAAACCTGCAGTGACTTTGTCTGTCTCTCGTCCATGTGTCATAGTTTATGTCCAGCCTAGTACATATGCACTCACCTGGTGTATATATCTTAAACTGAGAAAAATAAAGTCCTCACTTTGTGCAAAATTCTTATCCCGGCTTTTCTGCTTCTGTCCAAAAATAAGATAAGGAAATAGCCTTAGTGTGGTCTGCGATGAATGTTTACTTCAACACAGTGAAGTCAAAGTGGGTTCACAAGCTAAAACAGTTTGGGAACCAATCCATTAACCTTATGTTCACAAGTAAAGGTGCTGAGGGCCTCTGCGCCCACCAGGGGGCACTGCGATCCAGCAAAACAAAAGACATGAAAATGCTCATATGCAATGACACAAACTTTGTTTGTTTTTTATGTGCTTTTGAAAGTAGTTTAGAATTATTTTAATACAAGCATTTGAATAAACAATGAAAAGTGTGTTTTAATATATAAAGACAACAAAATGTCCAGGTCTGAGCTATATTATAGTATTCAGGTTGCTTTGACCTGCATTTTGATGTTTTAATATATATAACAGAAGCAGGGTGACTTCCAGTCTTTTACCTTGTTGTTTTGACCCTGAACTTTCTAAGCATGGTTTGATGCACTGGATCTATAAGATGCTAGAAGAATACAGGTCTCTAAAGAAATGTGGTGGCTTCTGAATAAGAATAATTAATGCCTGATTATTCCTCCCAAAATGACTTCTGTTCTTGATGAATCCTTCCTGTAGGGGATTTCTCTTACCCTGAGGGAAGCTCTGGCTGGACTGACAGCAGCATTGGGACTCAGGATTGGCTGTTGCATGTGAACTCCACATCAAACGGTAACTATTCTCCCTTTCTCTTTAAACTCTCAGATACTGATTCTGATATTCAACGACAAAGTTAAAAAAAAGTTTTAAAAAACCCAAACATTTTATTTCTTGAATCTTTCCCAGAGGAGTACCTTTATGTAGCCAAGGCTCCAGGCCAGCAGTTGACCGAGGCCCAGACAAGGACCCCTCTCCTGGGCCCCTCCGGCCCCGCCTGCACCCTGAGCTTTGATTTTGCGGTAACAGGGAATCCAGATCACATCGGTAACTAAATGACCTTGTTATTCAGCGTCTTCTTTTTACCTTTTTTATTTTGACTCACACCTCATATTATGACTCTTTTAACCGTGTGCTGCAGGTGAGCTGTCCGTCAGAGTGATCGACAGCTTACTGGGCATTCGGCCTAAGCTGTGGGAGTTCAGTGGGAAGACGGGGGTAGGAGAGGAGTCGTGGAAGCATGTGGATGTGTCTATCGGAGCCAGAAAACACCGCTTCCAGGTCAGCTTTTCCTTCAGGGCTGATAGAGGCTGATGTAGTTTTTATGTGAACATGTTTGATTTGTTGATCAGAGCGGAGTCACAGGCACAAACAAAAACAATTAGACAGTAAGTCAGACTGTGAACCTGCTCAGGTTGTTTCTGTTTCACAAGGACCTTTCCATCCTGCTGGTGTCAAAAAACATTCTCTGCATTTCTCACTCTGAATAGTTTTATCCGACAGAATAGATTTTTATCCATTTTCTATTTAACTCCTGAAACTTTTTTTTTGCAAAGGTTGTAAATGATAAAGGCTGTAGGCTAGTTAATATGCAAACAAGACAAGCACAGAAAAAACACACATCTTTAGTTTGTAATAGAACAAGCTGTAAATCTTATGGAAATGGTAAAAAAAAATGTTGAGGTTTTTTAAAGTCTTTCCTCTCTCCTTGTTTTGTGTGAACTAGCTCGCCTTTGAAGCTGGTGCTGTCAAACTTTGTCCATGTGCTGAGATTAAAGTGAAAAACGTTCACTTTGTCGGCTGTTATGCAGACTATGTTCCCTCTTCGCCCACAGGTAACAGTAAAAACTACTGAATGGAATCACATAATTTAAAAAAATCATACATAAACTGTGAATGTCTAAATGATTTTAATTAATCGTTATTATTTATTTCTTTTCTCCAGAACTGTCCTGTAACTTTGAAGATGGAATGTGTGGCTGGTTTCAGGACAACAGCGACAGCTTTGACTGGACGTTGCTCGACGGGATGGACCACACCATCGGGATAGGTACACCTATTAAAATCAAGGCTGCAGGCTATTAATGCCTGTTAGTCACCTGGTAGAAGAGTACATAGAGTCCATAGAAACAGAGAAATGTCTCTAAACTTTCTTACTTCTTTTTATACCCTAATCTAAAAGATTATTTGTTGTTTTATGAGGGGGTTAAAAATACAAAGTTTATGATGCATTTAACCCGATCTTGCAAACTTTAGCCAGTCTCAGGGTTTCCCAGTGCAGCAAGCATTTCTTTTCAGATAAGGATAATCGGGCTAAGACTTCATGTTCTGTGTGCTGGTCATTATTTATAGTATGTTTAGCAACATGAGATTATAACATGGAGTTGGAATCTCAGAGACAATTGACAAACGTAGCATTTATTCTCTGGATAAGAGACAACAAGTAGCTTTACAGACAGCTTACAGTAATTGAAAGCCTTTGACTACACTCACTGCAGGGTACACACATTCAGACACACACTGGCTTAATAAAGCTCATTAAATACAATGGTCTCCTCTGGTGTGCTCAAAACTAAAGAAAAAACACAGAATACAATAAGACATCTTCTCTAAATAAACAAAGGAACATCCTCTGAATTTACAACTTTAACAAACATTTAGTAACAATAACGGGTTTCAAAGAATAAACAACATACCATGATATTCAATCCAACATAAAGTATGATGGGAAATGAGGCACTAATTCAATTGATAACAACCTGTTAGCAAAAGTGACATTTTGCTAGTCTATTTGTGGTGAATATACTCAACCTAGTTGACACCTTGAGAAAACCAAGCTGTTAGTGCATCCATTGTGAGTTTGAAGAAAAGAAGTTGAAGTCTTTGTTGGTGCAAAATATCAATGGAAAGGTTATGGAATATAACATGTACCTTTTATATGTAGGGCTCAGGTTTGTTTCTGAGAGTATTATAATTAAATAAATACAAATTTACTGTATTAAAAGGATTAAAAATTCTCACACAAAGTGAGAAAAATTACTCTCCTTTAAGGCAAAGCTAATTCAGAGAAGAGGGAATAAGCAGGCACCCAATAGCAACTAAAAAAAGTACAATTTTGTAAAGAACACCAATTCTTAGAGCTCTATAACCTCCAGGCAAATCAAGCTCCATAAGACAGTGATAGTATGTATAATAAAGATTTGTATTTCTTCAGCACTGCAGATCTTAAACTATGTTAAAGACAGTACATTTAAAACAACAGTATGATAAATGTCACTGCTTCATATGTGATGAAAAATCCAAATGAATGCCGAGCTGTCCTTCTGTTGACATCCAGGCAGAAGCCTCAGCGTGGACATGTGGAGTCCTTCTCTCCGTGGTGCGTTCGGACGCTTGGTTTCATACACTCAGCTAGCCGGTCCTACAGATTACTGCCTGTTCTTCTTCTACAAACTCTATGGGCCAAACACAGGTGAGTGTGAGAGTGAATGGAAAGCATTAATAATGAAGCCTCTGTTTCTTCACACCTTTCTTAAATGTAGCTCATGGCTAAAAATACCCAATGTTGATAATCAGCCATCTTATTCCTGTGTGTATCATCATTCATCTGTGAGTAACCATTTGAAAATGGCACATGCTTTAATCATTATTTTGAAATTGATGGTGACCTTCTTCACTGATAGAAGCTGGAAATGCTCTGAATGTTAAAAAAATGTGTTTGCCTTCTCACACTCACTCACCTCACAAACTGATTTTTGTGCAGGTGCTCTGAATGTGAAGGTGTTAGATAACGACGGCTATGAGAGGATCCTCTGGACCCGCAGCGGGGCGCATGGCAACACGTGGCATGAAGCTCACTGCCCCGTACCGCACCAGCTCACAAACTTCAAGGTATGCTATATATCTGCACTCAACCTGAAATGACGAAACAATGTCTCGAAACTCATGTAACATCTCAGATTATTGTTCATCTTTTAAAACAAACAAAAGAGAGGAAGATTCAAAGACAGCCTTCCTGTGTTTTTGCAGTGTAGTGAAGTTTGGGTTTTCTCAGACGCTCGCAGTAAAAAACGAATTTAAAGATATTTTAAACATGAAAACTTATGTCCTGTCCTTCCACATCACCCCTTCAAAATGTTTGACCCACCACCAGCTGATGTTTGAAGCGGTTCGCTCTGGGTTTGACGGGCGTGTGGCCATTGACGATGTGACTTTTTTGAGCGGTCCCTGCACTGCGCCCAGGATGTGTTCCTTTGAAGGTCATCAATGCGGGTACAGCACCTCTGGTAAAGTTCAGTGGCTCCACCGCAGCGGGTACCCCGCCACCCTGACTAGACCCAAAACAGATCACACACTGGGGACTGAACATGGTGAGAGAGAATACTATCAAATAAATAGACGTACTTTAACTCACATGCAGAACACTGAGAGGCCGTTCATGTGGTTTGTACGCTCAGGTTTCTATATGATGGCTAACAGCGGAGCAGACATCCTGCCTTCTGGAGGTAAAACAGTCCTCACCTCCCTTATTCGCAAAGGAACCACCAAGACTGAGTGCGCCCATTTCTGGTATCACATGGAGGGAAAGAACCCTGGTGAGATGCAACACACACACACACACACACACACACACACACACACACACACACACACACACACACACACACACACACACACAGAGGATCGATCCCCAGCTCCTGCAGACACATATCCGATGTGTCATTGACCACTTGGCCAAGTTGCTCCCACTGCTTCAGCAGCGCCGTATGAATGAGTTTAGCTAAAACTGAGGGCCACGTAACACAGCAGCCTCTGACATCACTGTGATAATGGATGGATGTGACCTGCGGTGTAAAAGCGCTTTGAGTTGTCAGAAGACTAAAAAAAGCACTAAACAAGCTCACGTCCATTGAAGGCTTTATATGTGATTTTTTGATCCAGTAGATGTCGCCCTTGAGCACCAGCATGAAACCAAAACAACTTGCGCTGCATTGTTGTGTTAGCATGCTAATGCTAGTGATCTTTATTATGCTGGTATGTTCACACTGCATGTAAATTTACCTGAAATGAGCGTGATCTAGAAACACAGTTAAGCAGTGAGTACAGTATGTTATTCTTCTTTTCTCTAGTCCCTCAATTAAACAACTTTTATACACGAGGGGAGGAGTCAGCCGGCCGTCCTGGCGATGTAAACAAAGCATTGTAGACAGTCATGACTCACAGAGTTATTTTCAGAGGATATACTTGATTTATATTACATTTAAGAGTGAAAAATCACATATAATCAGTTACACTTACTGCATGTTGTCTGCAGGCTCTCTGACATTGTATATGAAGCCGGTGGAGGGAGAGAGGGTGAAGATCTTCTCTGACAGTTCAAACCAGGGAGCTGTCTGGCGCCATGGTTATGGCAACATCACCAGCGACCTTGTGGACTGGCAGGTAAAGAGAGCAAGCCTCTGTATGAATAGGCAATGTACAAATAAAGATTGATGATGATGATAGTCAATAAGAATACATGTATTAGTTAATGCATCAAAATGGATGAACTCCCCTTTGTTCATATGACTTTAAAATATAACCCTCAGACTTCAGTTAAGTTGACATCAAGTTTCTTTTCTCAATCAGAATCTAACCGTCCAACTTCAGAGCAATTTCCCATTAGGGAATAGCCGTATCTAAATATGCAGAGTTTGTCATACAAACTGAGCTGATGTTGTATATGTTTGTGCTCTGCAGCTGGAGTTTGAGGTGGTGGGAGCTGGAGGCAAAGGCACTCACATTGCAGTCGATGACATCTTCCTCTCTGCTCACCCATGTGAAGGTCAAGGTTTGTATCTGCCTCTGTTCAAATTGAAGACAAACATACTAGCAGACTTGCATGCTCTTTGTGTAGACTGGAAAAGGGAGGTTGGGAGGGAAGCTGACATGTCACAATGTCAGCTTCAGTTTGACAAGTTCAGTTTCCTTGATCTGACAAGATAATTATTGTTTCTGTTTTTAGAACATATTGTGATTCTGTTGTTTCTCTCAGGTTCTAAGTGCAGTCTGGAGAGAGGGATGTGTAGCTGGAGCAACACCCAGAACGTCAAAGTGGACAAACTTGACTGGGAGCTGACGAGTCAGGAGGCAGAGAAGCACTACCCTGTCCCGCCTGCAGACCACACCCTGGGCACAGAGAGAGGTAAACCAGAGCGCCAGAACACGGGCAGGGCCACTACTGTGGATATTATTTAAAAAAGATACATGCAATACACCGGTTGTTTGCATCAGAAAATCTGACTTGTGTATGTTATGTGAGTGCTTGAACAGAATTGTATTAAAATGTTAAATACTTAAAAAAAATTTGATTAATTAAAATGGATATTAAAATAAAAAAGTAAATAAATAAATGTTTTAAATACCTTTCCTTTCCCTTCTGCCAGGTCACTTCCTGTTCCTTTCAAGTAGCAACAGGACAGCGGCCAATCAAAATGCTCAGTTGCTGAGCCCTCACCTGCCCCCCACTAAAGGAACCTGTCTGAAATTCTGGGCCTACAAACCGTACTCATGTAAGACTCAAGGTTGTACCTTCACTTTTGAGGTCGGGTCATTTCTGGACGGACTGAAAAAAAAATCTCAAGTTACTGTTCATGATGAATAATAATGAAGTATTTTGGATGTTAAGGATGATACTTCATGGAAACCCACTGTTCTTGTCTGTATGCAGCGGACAGCGAGCTGAGGGTGTGGAGGCTCTCTAAAGGTCCGCCCCATCAGCTGCTGTTGGTGGTGAACTGGGGGGGCCGTGGAGACGCTTTGATGTCAACATAACGTCTACAGAGGAATACCAGGTCAGACACTGACTGAGTACACATCTTTTTATCTTTATTTTGAAATGTATTTTCTTTTGCAGTGTTTTTTTTATCCAGGGAACCATTTTCAAAAAATTACACAACTTCTTCATTCAAGCTAATAAAAAGACTAACCTTTGTTTGTGAACAGATTGTGTTTGAAGGAGTTAAAGGGATTTCAGGCATCGTAGCTCTGGATGATATTGAATACACTGTCGGAATCAACTGCGCTAAGAAAGTCACAGATCCACTGACAAGTAAGATGTGCAAGTGCTTATACATGATTTGCTAAATGTATTTTTCTATTTTGTCATAATGTTCGAAATACTTTTTAAAGTTATGGACTAATGGACTTTTTAAGGAATCGAAGAGACTATTCCACAGAAAAAATATCAAGATTTATACCCTGAACACTAAATTAAGAAGTAAACAAGCTGGAAGTTAGCCTAGCTTAGCATTAAGACTTTAAGCAGGGAACCTGCTGTCGTTGAAAGAAATGAAAAGTTTTCCATCCTCCCTGTAGCCTCACCGAAGGGAGACAACGCTGGCGGGATTGCAGCGTCGGTCATCGTGGTCCTGTTGCTGATCGCCACGCTGATCGCCCTGCTGATTTACTACCTGCGAACCAAACAGACAGTCAGGGCTGTGAACAGTCCATTGTCAACATCGTCCTCAGCTGCTGTTGGTGTCAGTAATGACTTGTATGAGTCAGACCTCACAGTGAGTAAAGCTAACATTCAAACCTATAACAACAATTAAAAAACACATTTTAAATGTATTCCTAAAAACAAATTGTCACATTTAGTCCATCAGTATCATGGTTTATATCACCTTCTTAAGTTAAGTGATGTGGTGAGATCTGACAGACTGTGTGTGTATGTAGTTTGTATTTAGCATAAAGAGTAGCAGACTGATATAAAGAGTTGTTTAAATGTTGATGACTAATTATTTACTCGTGTGCTCACTTCAGCAGAACCATGTGACCGTGCCACCCACACAAAACCATCCAATGGCAGCTGGCTTCAATAATGTCCATGTGAGTATACACTACTATCAGTATGTGTTGTTTTACTTGTTCATTTCTTTGATGGGAGCACAATAAACACACCCATCCATTGTGTCATGTTTCCTGGAAGTATTCCAGAATAAATGTAGTTCAGAGCACTGCGACATGATTGAAAACTAGAGGTCAGAGTCGCACACTTCTAAATAAGGTCTCACTTATAGCAACAATAAAACATCATGATGATTGTTTGATTCTTTTTTCTTTTATTCATTGTTATTCTTCTATCATCATTTACTCTTTCTTAATCCAGTGAGCTAAAAGGCACTGAGGCTCAGGATGAAGTGTTAATTCTCGGGCAGGTTGGCTCCCATTAATGTTAAGAAAAAACATCTCTTTATTGTTTGTTTTAGGATTTAGCTGTAGCTTAATTATTTATAGGAAACATTATTTTAGTTTTTAATTGTTCACTCAGTGTTACACAAAAACATCCAGACAAACAACTTTGAAATACCACACCTCCTGTGTCACTTCATGAACAGATTACAGTTATGCTGTCTGACAGATGGACTCACTCGTCTTGTTTCTGTGTTTCTGCAGGTCTATGATGATGTCAGAGAGATGGAGGTGGCGTGAGGCAGGAGGAGAGGGATTCCTGCCACCTGAAGGTGGCTTTGTGAAATAAAGGGGATATCACAGCAGAAGAACTGCTTGTGTCGCCCTGACACGATACACACACATACACACACATGAACACGCCCACACACACACACTTGAATAGAACCACACACACAAACATTCCAAGCACAGTCCGCATACTGAAACACTGCTGACGGCATGCAGCTGCATCAGATGCCGTGGGGCCCTGCAGGGTCACTGCTTTCTGCATGGATGTTCAGAAAGGAGTCAGAAGAAGAAGTTTAACTTTCTGAAATTGAGACTGGACATGATCCTTGAATGATCAAAAGAAGTTGCATGAAGTTTCAGGATCCATTTTGGATCAATAAGAAAGGTTACAGGTTATTATGCAACACGCAGGTTGGGCTTCTTTATTTTTGGCTTTTAATATGTAGAAGTGGAACCCTTCTGATTTCAAATGTTGATGTCACTTTAGTAGTTATATGTAGTACAGAGCTCACATTTACATGAGAAAGCCTGAACCAGGGGCCCAGGGCAAAGATGTGAGTTGTCACGGCACACTTTATGGGCTTTGGCTCTGATCTGCCTGCAATAATCTCCAAACGTTATGAGATATGTGGATTGTTGATGATAAAAAAAAACAGTAGAAAGAAGAGAATGACTAAGAGAGATATAGAGCTTACAGAGGAAGTCAATGCTGCTGTTTAGAGAAAGACTGTAGAACAAACCAATTATGTGAGAAGGAGGGCTCACTTTACTCCACAGGATCAAAGGAGCTCCAATGATTAATGAATTCAAATTGAGCATTAAAACACCAGTGTCAAACTGCCTTTTCCTTTAATCATACATTGTTAAAATAACTTATTTGCCACATTTTATGAAATATTGAGATGTTTTGATTGAAAATATATATATATGTCCTTCTGAAGTCTTCTCAGTCATGACTGTTGGTATGAGATGTTTAACATAGAGATTTGAATTAGGCTTGATCAAATTAAAAAGAAAAAAAATGTGAATCAAAAAATTAATTATTATTGAGAACTTATTTAAATGGCTACAATTACTCAATACTTATATGATTGAGTCTTTTGACAAAACAAAATACCTTCAATGTATTGATAGACTAGCTTTTGAATTTATTGTGTATCCAAATACTTTGGTGGTTAGCATATACCCAAATAAGCAAAGTGTCAAGAGTTATTATTTAGTGTAAAATAAATACTGTAAGTAAAGAAAGAAAGAATACACTTATTTAGAAAACATTGGTCGCAACATGTGTCAGAGTATGAATGGTAGACTAATCATGCTTGCAGTTATTGGTGGCTTCCTGCACGTCTCGGTCAAATGCCTCGTTCATCTTTGGGAAGAGGGGATGACGACATCATGTCCTTAGCAACGGTGGCGTCTCTACGGCAACATCCTCCGATGTCCCCTCTCTGCTGTTGTCACCGCGACTCTCAGCTGTTGTCGGTGAGACAGAGAGAAAATCATCATATTCCCTGGATGCACGGGTGATTCTGGAGAATGGTATGCTGTCGGGGTTGGTGCTCAAGTGTTTCAAGTTAAGTGCAACTGCAGAAGAACAGTACAGACCGCGCCGACTGCAGTCTGCTTTTCACTCATCAAGACCGTTTGAAAAGCAGCCGTCCGGTCTCATCCGGGTCTTAATGGATCCCGCCGTGCTCATCTTCCTGTTGTACGTGATGATCGCGCACGAACTGGTCAGCGGCTGGATGCAGTACAGAAGACAGAGCTCCAAGCCCCGCAAACGAGCTGATGGACCCCTGCTGCGCTCCAGGTGTGTGTGTGTGTGTGTGTGTGTGTGTGTGTGTGTGTGTGTGTGTGTGTGTGTGTGTGTGTGTGTGTGTGTGTGTGTGTGTGTGTGTGTGTGTGTGTGTGTGTGTGTGTGTGTGTGTGTGTGTGTGTGTGTGAGAGAGAGACAACAGCTCAGAAAGGATTAGCTGCTAATAGAGACATGATGGATAATCTGGTGCTTGATGTCACCACTGCAAACATATATTTAATTTTTAGCTGAAAAGTCAAAGAAATTGATCAAGATAAACAGAAATGAAAAACGACATGGCATGGAAATAAAGAACATTTAATGAACAAAGATGTATATGGCTACTGTTGGTTGTAAAACAGCTTTGCCTTTAAGCATGGAGGCTCTTCCTTGAATTAAACTTCTGTGATAAAATATTGTACAGCTCTTGCTTACTCAATATTTAACTTCATTGCTTTTCAACATCTCACAGCTCTCTCCATTGATAAAACTTTTTAATGTAGGCTGCTGCCAAAATTGAAACATACTCTTTACAAAAAAACAGGATTTACATCAGTATCAACAAATTCTGCAAATAACTTGGTCAGAATTTCACCAAGTATTGCAATATGCAGTTATTGAGGCTCGATAGGCCCTAAACTGTATAATGGATAACTAGTACATTTAACATGTAACAATTCTTGTGTAACCTGGATTTACATCAGGCAACACCTTCTCAAAAAAAGAGTCCACAGATTCTGACCAAGTATTTTGCAATATAAAGTAGTCTCTACTATGACTTGGTCACAGATAAAAAGTAGATTTATCTAGATTTATAGATTTATTAGTAGAAAACAGATATTTCCTGTGTTCAGCTTGTATTGCTTAGACTACTGTTTCTGAGTCATCGTATGTTAAATATACTGTGTTGGTTTTGTTGATGTCTGGTTGCAGCAAGCACATATCCACAATGCAAACAGGGTTACATATTTCCTTGTGGTTTCTAGAACATATAGTAACAAATGTGGTCCGTGGATCTTCCTTAATGAAAATAAAATAATTGAATCTTAGGTGTGCCAAAGGTGTTGAGATCCGGTCTCTGAACAGTCCAATCAAGTTCTTCCACACCAAACTGGACAATCCTTTTTTTTAAGGAGGGGGCTTTTGTCAAGCTTTGATGCTTTGTTTGTTTGAGCTTTGACAAAAACAAGTACAAGCTTTTGCCTGAAAGTTAGAATCTGTTTTTGGAACAAGGTACCTTTAACCAATGCTGACCAGAAAAACTGCATTGGGACATTGTTGTGTGAGCAATGCTTAAGTTTTACAGCCATCCTCTTGACTTTGTAGTGAAATAGAAACCTCAGGGTAATTGTTAAGAAGTTACGTGTTTCCTTTGTTGAGGCGTAGCCTTGAGCCTAACGTTGTCATTCATCATCATTAAAATGACATTTTGTTTTATCTAACCCTTGTTCTAAAATTGAAATAAATATTTTAATGATGATATCCAAAGTCATTTTCATGTGTTCACCAACTGGGCGTCAGATATTTGTTGCCAGTAACATGATGTAATTTGATAATCTACTTGAACTTCAGTCATATAAAGGACACCCATTCCTATGCAGTGATTAAGGTTGTGTGTTCCTGTTGTTCCTGTTGTAATCACCTGTACCTTCTCCTCAGTGCCCGGGTGTGTCAGGGAGCCTGGAGGGCCAGCAGCCTGTCTGTCGGGGTGGACAGAGGAGGGAGGGACCTGAGGAAGAGCGGACGCATCGTGAGAAAAGCCTAATGGAAACTAGTTGACGACTAACTTGGACTTAATTTCCGAGACGCCTGATCCAGTTCACCTCGCCTTTATTTCAATGGTACTTAGGGCCTTTGAAATTCAAAGCTTTATCCAAAAGACAAGTGGAATTGGTTTTAGGTCCAGTTAAAGTCCAGTTGCCTTTTGGACCAAGCTTCGAATTACCATGACCTGGATGATTGAGGACCTACACAGACAGGGCATTTGAACCATTTACTACTGTGCTTTCTTTCTTTTTTTTTTCTTTTTTTTTTTACCAAAAAGACAGCTAACATGAAGATGTGACATAAATCATGCTGCAGATGTCCAAATTCTGAAAAGATAAAACGAGGACAGAGATTCAGCATTTACGTTCAAGGGTTCAGGAGGGTGCTTGGCTGACGCCCCCTACCCCTAAACACACACAAGAACACACTCAAGAACACACTCAAGCACATACTCAAGCACACACTCCCACTCTTGCCCCCAAACTCTGATTGTATCTGCCTGGTCAGAGGTGGGATTTATTTATCAGAAAGTTTTGCAGCAGCCTGCCAGTAGCTTTTGTGGCTTTTCATGTAGCATATTCTCTTTTGTTGGTACTGTGACTTGAAGTGATACTTCTTCTTTTAGAATGTATCACACACAATTCTCTGTTGCAACGTTGTTAGGTTATTTATTAGACTTAAAAAGAAAGACAGCAATCTAACTTACATTTGACACCGTCATTGTAGTAGTTAAATTGGGTTTTAGTGGAGAGAGAATAGTTAGTTGAGAGAACGGTCAATAAGTGCTGACGTGTACACATACAGTATTTCCTGCCAACCCTGTCCCAGTTCTGTTCACATGTATATAAAGTATTTTGAGAGGATTTTATATTGACTGTCCTTCATCTTATCAAAATGTTGAGTCCCCTTTTATCGGTTTACTCTTGAGCTGAGTACTCCTCTGTTGTTTGTTGGGCACAGTTTTTTGTTGTTCTTCTTTGCCATGTGTAGATTAAATGAGACCTGTCTGGTTGGTATGTATCTATGATGCACCACTTTATTCATAAAGACTTTGTTCACAGTTTAATAAGGTCAGGGATTGTCAGCCTGTTTCTTGTATTGTTCTGTCTGTGAGTACAGTCAACTGTTAAATAAAGACTAAGAGGCCAAAAAATAACTATTACATAATGTGATTTGTTGGGATACTTTGAGCGCTATGGCAAAGAGGTATGGTTTATATTTTAATGAAAAGTGGTTTATCTTATTTAAACACATCCATCCAACCAATTGTATGATTCTTTAGCGCTGATGTAATTTTTAAACTGTGAAACAGAGCAACTGTTTGCTCAATCTTTTGGGCTCTAAACCAAATGACTGCCCTGTGATGAAAAATACAAATAAAAATCAGATTCAGAATAGGGTCTCTTTCCAAGTATTGTAGGTTTACTCATTCAAAAGATTGGTTTCACTACATTAAAAGTGTAGAGTCCTTTTTTCAATAAATCCGGAAAATAGGCAGGGTCAGATTTTGCCTGTGACCGGACCAACAAAGACATCAACATTTTAAACTCTAAATCTAACTGTCCTTTTTAAGTTCTAATTGGTGTTTTAAAGCTTGTTTGTCTTTCTTCAGAGACTGGACCCAGGAGACCAACAAATTGAGTACTGAAAGCTTTATTCATCTTTCTCAGAATTAAAGCAGTGAGCCGCCTGCAGACGACTGACTAAGACAAAGAATATCTCACAATATATACTTTTTGTGAGGATGGTATCCGCCTCCTCCACCATTAGATTCTCCTACTTCATGAAATACGGGCTTCATATCTCTATCTATGTCCCACATGGGCTTTATAGCTCTAACTATGTCCCACAAGGGCTTCATAGCTCCTGCCATGCCCCACATGGGCTTCACAGCCCCAGCCATGTCCCATACATTGCCACATGCTATTCTCAGAAGTTAGCAGTCAAAAAAACCTACTGCAATGTCATGTCTTCTTGATATATGGGGTATATATCTGGCCAACCATCTTGTGATCGGACGTCGACACACCAACATAGCATGTTTGTCAGATTTTCTTGGAATGATGGTCCTTTTCGTTGTATTTGTCCCTCCTTCACCTCTCGTAAATGTCAGGTTGGCCTAAGATTTATTACTTAATTACCCCAAAAGCGAGCTCGTATGAAACTTGAGACCTCACTCTTTGACCATGCAAAATTCCATCTAAGCATTGACTTATTTTCACTCTATCCTTGATGAGTTTCACTTTGTAGGCTCGGTTTGAATTCATGTACACATGTGCCCTTCTGCAGTTCATCCTTAGTTGATTATGTTATGTTTATAATATGCAACCCTCACACTATTTTTATTTATTTATCTAACTTGCATAATATGTGTCTATTAGTTCATTATTATACTGAAATACTATTATGATTATTCATTATCACTCTATACAAATGTTGTTGTTGAATGTATTCATATAGAGCTTGATGAAAACATCACACAAAATACAAGAGAACAACCAAAAGAATAAGGGCAGAAGTGCAATACTGAAGCCAAAATATATCACATGGTGCAACAGGGGACCCAAATCCCTGACCACATAGATATGTCTTCATCTGATTTCCAAAAGAATCCGCAGTCAACAAACCGTAAGTGTGGGTCCATAGCATCCCATAAATAAGTCACTACATGTTATTGTGTTCATCCATCTCCATAAAGATTTCAGGGCCAGTCTGTTTTTTGGGGGGGAATGTATATGTGACAATGCCTTCGGTTTGCCAAGCTAGCCACATTAAAATAACAGCCTTCAACAATGATTACGTGGCAATTCATTAAAATAATCAATTCTTTTGAAGAGTTTACATTTAGTATCTTAAAGTTTGTTTAACTTCTCTATATCTTTTGGTCCTGGAGTATCCCTAAACAAACAGCCTTATCAGCAGTAAAGAGAAAATATTGAACATGCACCTGTTTATGATTGTCCATGATTTATGCTGATACTGTTGAAGTTTGAAGTGGCTTCAGTGTTAAAACAAATTATTGGAAAGAAAAAATGAGCATACTTGAGTAACTTTGTAGCTGAAAAAAAAAAGAAATCTACAGCAAAATGTAAATAAACTAATCCTAAACTAAACTAATATTTTAATAATGTGTTGACTACTAATGTTCACTACTCATTACAATGTTTATAACTAAAAGCTGCTAAGCTATTTAGCTAGTTATCCCCATATAAGTTCAGATTTATTTTTTATGGGTCAACCAATCCCTTTTATGTCACTGGGTTGTGAAGTTTATGTAACAGGTGTTAAGGAACAGCATGATTCTTTTGAACTTCCTCAGTGTTTCCATTTTAGGGTGGCAGTGCTAGTTATAAATAGAATGTTGCACCACAGGTTTCTTGTTAAATGTGATTGAAAGATTAAGTTACCTCAAAAAGATTTGTTGGCATCAGCACAAACTGCTTTGGAATACTGTATTGTTGTTTTTGAAGGAACAGATCTGAGGGTGATCTCAGTTCCAAGGAAATAAAACTCTTTTATACAGAAATAAACTTCCTGTACAGATGCAATGCTGCAGATAAAGAATCTGATATACTCTGAATCCAAGTTGAGTGAAGTCTCCTAATTTCATAAAATTAAAGTCGTTGTTTAAATATGTCAGGCAGTCCAGTTTACTGATGAGCCTATCTTTGGAGCCATATGGATGGTATAGCTCAATACATATGGAAATAATGTCAAAGGTAATAGAATAAAAAACATGAATTAGAATCATAAGAAGACAGAGAGAGAAAAATGGTCAACTCATACAGTAGGCTTATTAAACCCTAACGTCTCAGTGATGTCACCCATTGGTTTTTGAAGCACTCTTTTAAAGCCCATCGATAGCAGTCGCCATATTGAAAAAGGCTGTCTCAGCGAAACTTTTAGGCAATAGACAAAAAGGTTAAGCTGAGGTTAACCTTAAACCTCCTGACAAACCGCTACAGCAGGCTGTGAACCAATCTTCCAACAGTTTTTGTTGTAAAAATAGACATTGTAATATGGGGTGTGTTTTCGACTAATGGGTCTTTTGGACCTACAGTTGTTGCACTTCTGCATTGGCCACTTCTGGAGGTGGCTGTGGCTCAGTTGGTAGAGTCATCGTCTCTCAACTGGAAGGTCAAGGTTTCAATCCCCAGCTGAGCAACATGTCCGATGTGTCCTTGGGGAAGACACTTAACCCAGAATTGCTCCAGCTGCTTCGTCGGCGGCATTTGAATGCATATGAATGGGATTAGTTACTTCTGATGGTCTCACTATATAGTAGCCTCTGCCATCAGTGTTTGAATGAGGAGTCAGAAGACTAGAAAAGCCCGGTACCAGCTCAAGTCCATACAAGTCCATTTACCATTGGGTTTACTTGGGTTTCAACAAAGGAGGTTTGCTTCTTGGAGACGACTGACTCTGAGAAGCAGCCCCCCTTTGTGATTCCAATTATGAAAAATACACTTTTGTCCTATTACACTAATTGCAACACTTTTTGTCAGTGCTCCAGAGTTGACATTTGAAGGATAAAACAGCTCTGGGTCTGTCTGTATCGTGGGGGGCCCGGGAGGCCATCAGTGGCCCTTCAGCTATTTAAAGCAGCTTAGCTTCCTCGTTGCCCAGACCACACATTTAATAACACCATCACAGTTTTCCATGTGACTGGTCCTTTATCCGTACGAGTTGTTGAATTTCTGCTCTCCTGCCTGATGTCACGACAGCTAACATGACGGAAATTGAGCCTATGAGCAGCTTTGTCTCTAATTGTGTTCACTGAGCTGAAAGACTCTCAGCACAGCAAACAGCACTCAGACACTATCAGCAGATGGCTTCTCTGGCACAGGTGGGTGTTCATTACTGTTTCTCATGAGACTTTATATATCCTACTAAGCTTTACCTGGGGCTTATTGCTTGTGTTTGTGCATTCAGAATAGATTTATTATAAAAGAGAAGGTTAATTCAAAGGTTCCTTGTGTATCCACAATACGCAGTTCATGCATATGTAGTGTGTTCGCTGCTTGAACTGCATTTCCTTTATAAAAGAGAGCTATTAAGGATTCAATGGTTTTGTTGATATTTCAACTAGCTATGTTAATGTAATGAATACATCATACCGTCTGTAATGGAAACCAATTAAACACACATATGAACACAGATCTGCAGTTACAGCACACTTTTGAAACGTCACATTACGCACTTGACAGGTGAGCCTGTGTCATTAGCTGATCGTTTGCATTCCAGTTAAATAGCACAAACAGGTTTAGGCACGTCTCATAGCGAGCTCCCTGACAGACACCTGGCAACAACTGAAGTCACCAGTTACACAGTAAGTCCAAATCTACGAGTATTGGTTTGATGAGAAATATTTTGTTGTCTGATGAATACAGGTGAAACATTTTTCTCTTTTCTTAAATCATTATTTTAAGTTCCTTTCATGATTAAAGTAATGCAGAGTCTGATGCAATGCCTTTAACAAGTTGGCTCATTCTTTAACTGTCATAGTACTCAAGATGTTCGGAGGTATCCAGACTTTGTACAGTACATTTTAACATTTAAAAAAAAAGCTGGGTTTTTTGATTAAATGTCTTACAGTTTGTTCATATTGTAAATGTCAGTTTAGAAATATTAAGTTGTAAGTACTGGCATTTATAGGGACAAGAGATAAAGGATGAGCACATCAATGTTTGGATGTTTTGCAGGAAATAACAAATTTCAGTTTTTAAATTTCATAATTATATGATAAGGAAAAAATACCCACAACTGAATCTTTTCTTAATCTTTTTAAATATTTGAAAAAAACTTTAAACATTATTTAATTGTTTTTGATAACATCATTATCGTCCAGAGACATACAGTAAAGCTCCACAGTTGTCTCTAGTTGTTATGATGGCACAGTAGTAAAATCTTGTTTGATTTTATTTTTTCAAATTATATTTAATACATAAAAGTAAATAAGCAACAGAACAGTTTGCTCTCCATCCCTTTCCATCTTTATTTACTCTGATTGTGTTCATAAAGACATCAGCTCCTTCAACAGACAGATTGGTGTCAGTTATTATTAATGATAAAAACAGCTGTGATGCATGAAAACGTTCCCTTCAAACAGATGATTCTCTGTCCTTTGGGGTTTCCATGCTGATTGCTTTTGTTGCTCACATTTGTGGAACAAGAATTCAAACAATGTACAATGTAAATGTGTTTCAAGCTCTGCACGTTTCAAACACAACCAAAGTCAGAATTGACAGAGTTGTTCCTGTTTTATGACTGTTGGGTGAAAATGGAAAGACAGATTGAAAAAAGTCATATAAATGGAACAATAGTTCCCCCTGTAATGTAGAAGGTGGATGCATACTGTAAATAACAGTTTAAACCATAGGTGATAAAAACAAGACTACATCTGACATTGTATTATAACAACATCCTGGATCTGTGTCATTGATTGTTCCTGTCTGATTGAAGGTGAGCATGGCATCGCTGTCGGTCAGCTCCGGCCTTAACAAGGCTGTGCGTCAACAGTACATGAGCCTGCCTCAGGGAGGGAAATGTCAGGTCACATACATCTGGATTGACGGCACCGGAGAGGGTCTGCGTAACAAGACACGGACCCTGGACATTGAGCCAACCAGTATAGAAGGTATAAACTTTCTTTCTGATGTCTGATTACTTTTTGGGATGAGCAGCAGTTAGACTAAAACTGACCAAGCCTCCGTTAACCTTAAATCTTATACCACTTCCACAATATGGAATAGAGGTAGTTTGAACATGACCAATTGGTTTGCTCTGATGTTAATAATAATTTGTTAGAAATATTAGTTTAAGAGATAATTGTGTTTCAAAGAGAATAGATTGCAGAGTAATCAAAGCTTTTCACAGGTTCTTTATGACATAAAAAATAAATAACTACAACAATATCCATCAAGGATTTTTACTCTTAACTGTACAGCTGTGTCGTCAGTAAATGACTCCAGGAACAGGGAGGATACATTGTACACAACACATGATAAGTGCATCCTGGTGCGACCTCAGGAACGTGCAGGCTAAGCTGTAGAACAAATATTTGTTGTTGTTCAGTACACTGGCCTTGTTGGAGTAAGTGAGTAAAACTATTTCAGCAGCCTTTTACATTGATGTAAATCCCAATTGCTTCATAACTATTACATACATAACATACAGGAATAAAAGCATAAATAAATAAGTGAACACCATGTAAGAAAACAATGTAATGGGCAAAACCAAAGAGACACAAGAAATACAAATACATTGAAGAAAAAAATGAATAGCTAATGCAGACCTTGTGCAAATATGATACATATTATGTGAACAGACTGCTGGATGCCTTTCAAAACAGATGAAACATTTATTGTTGTGTAATTTTTGAAACAATCCCCAGAGACTCTAAGGGAACAGGCTGAGCAATCCATAGCTTAACTACTATGGCCTCAAAAAGCTCAACAACCATATGGTCAGACTTCAAATTGAGCATATTCTACCTTCAGGGGGATGAGTTAATGAGTAACAATAAAATATTCCAGAAAGGGTCAGGAGCCTGACCCTGCAATACTCTGGGTAAGAATTTAAAAGTAGATCTTAAAGGCAACAGCGAGTCAATAAAGACTAAGTGCAAGGTTAATATGAGACTGTCTGTTTGACCTCGTAAGCCATTGTAGCAGCATTCTTGATTGCCTGCGGACAACAACGAGGTGCGATACAAACTGTATTCGATGTGTGATGAGATAAAGGCTTAAATAAGTGTTTCTAGTTCAGCAAGAAACACAAATACAGCAGATCTCTGATCTCTGTAAACTGATTTTTTAAAATAGAATCAACAAGATCATGTTTGCTGCTTGTCAACGATTTCAACAACTAAAGTTGGCAGTGGAGAAAAGAGGCCAAATACCTTGCATTACCTTTCTGAAGACCAGCCTGAACTGAAGTGACCTGCAACACAATGATCTGTTTTCATGTCCTCATGAAAGACATTATATAGGAGCCTAGACAACATAAAAGTAAAAGTAAATTATCTGTCATAGGGGCAGCAAAAATAAATAGAATAGTCTGGGCCCCAGTAAAGAGCTGTGTGGCACACCACAAGACTGTGGATACAGATTCCCATAGAGAGATAATGACATTTATTTTGGTGAGGTAGGTGAGGTTTGGTTTTTTGTAAAAAGGTGTCTGATACTACGCATGATAAAACCACACTTACCTCTTAATAAGGGTATGACAGCCTACTCTATTTGACAGAGCCCTCTTTTGCTGGCAGTTCGAAGAGACAATAGACTCCACTGTCATGTCTGTTCATTTTATATAACACTACCACCAGAAACAAATGAGCTTAGCATCAAGATTGGACGCAGTTGGAAACAGCAACTCTCCTACAATCTGGTGACAAAATCGGGCACAGCTCACTAATTGAATAAACAAGAAATATCTAACCTGATTCACCAGTATAAAAACATAGAGACATAACCTCTCATAAGTGCTACATTTAATTTTTCCACTCACATTTTGTATAGAGATGGATTTGTTGTCCATGTAGTTTTTCTACTTGTAGTTAAGTCAAAGATCAAAGTTATTTAAAGGTCACAGAGCACTACAGATATCTGACCTTCAGAACTATAAAATAGCCACAGTTTGCATGAAAAAAAGATATAAATAGGATATTTTGTTGATGATCTTATATGTACAATTCTCTTGTCAGATATTCCTGAGTGGAACTTTGATGGTTCGAGCACATACCAGTCTGAAGGCTCCAACAGTGACATGTACCTCATCCCAGTCTGCATGTTCAGGGATCCATTCACCCTCGACCCCAACAAACTGGTCTTCTGTGAGGTCCTCAAATACAACCGCCTACCTGCAGGTACATCTGTCATATTTGTGTGTTTAATTGTTATAATCCCTTACAGTAAGGCCAAGACAAACCAGCAGTATTTTTTTTGTTTTTCATTACTCTGTAGAAACAAACCATCGAGCAGCCTGCAACAAAGTGATGGAGCAGGTTAAAGAGCACTGCATCTGGTTTGGCATGGAGCAGGAGTTTACACTTCTAGGAATGGATGGACATCCTTTTGCCTGGCCACAGAACGGATACCCAGGACCCCAAGGTGAATCAGCAGCTCTTAATCTCTTCTTCATCTTCTTGTATCATACGCAACATTCAATAAAACCTGGGTACAAGATAGCCTAGCGGTTATGTTGTGTGCCCCATATACTGTGGGGTCTATAATCCTCATTGGAGCGGCCGTGGGTCTGAAATTTGACCTCGGCTTTTTACTGCATGTCATCTCATGCTCTCTCCTCCCAACATTTCATGTCTCTCTTCAGCTGTCCTATATAAAGGCAAAAAGGCCCAATTAAAAATAATAAAACCACGTCTGTCTCTGTCTCATATATTTTCACATTTAGATTTTCCCATATTTTGGTACTTGTATGTCTTTGGTTTGTCTTGACACATTGTCCATCCTACTCTCCACATTCAGGACCTTACTACTGTGGAGTGGGGGCAGACAATGCTTACGGACGAGACATTGTAGAGTGTCACTACAAGGCCTGCCTCTATGCAGGGGTCAAAATCTGTGGCACTAATGCTGAAGTCATGCCATCCCAGGCAAGTGTCACGCATACACACATGTACTGCGGATAGAAAATACTTTAACGCTAGCACAACATATGCATCCATTCCCATTCTGTTCCATAATGTACTAACTTTATTCTTTTTCTTTGTCCCTGCTTCATCTAACTTCAGTGGGAGTTCCAGGTGGGTCCCTGTGAGGGCATTGATATGGGCGACCATCTTTGGGTGGCACGCTTCCTGCTGCATCGTGTGTGTGAAGACTTTGGCGTTGTTGCAACACTGGACCCCAAACCAATGAAGGGCAACTGGAACGGTGCTGGTTGTCACACAAATGTCAGCACCAAGCAGATGAGGGAAGAAGAAGGACTCCAGTGAGTAAACTTTTCCTCTAAAAACGTATTCATGAACCTTTAGATCCTTTATAGTACAGGATAAAATCAACCCCATCTGATACAACCAACAAACATGGTATATGGTTTAAAAAAATGTTTTGCTGACCACAAATGTCTTCATGGACTGAATCCCTTTTAAAAGTTTTTTTTAAATTATTATTTATATGAGTTAATGTCATTAACTCCTGTACTGTTGGACACAACAGGATGCAGTTTTGGATTAAAAAAGATTTAAAACCTGTAGCTCATGCATCCTTTGCACCACCAAACAGCATATAGACAAAATACAATATTATATCATAAAGACACCATAAAGTCACTGGTGAAGACAGTGGAGTTTTTAGAGCTTACATGTCAGATTTGTGTCGATGGTAGAGACCCAAAATAGAGCAAAAAATAGAGAGAATTTTGGATTGACATTCATCAAGCATCCAAAAACATGCATTAAAATGAGTCATATATTCTTGTTGTGTAAATAATCTACTGTAGGGTATCTTTACAAGTCTGCTGTTCTAACTTAGATGTCATCTGTTTTGACAGCTTGTTTCTACTGCCCCCAAGTGGCAAAAAAGATTACTGCAGGTTTAATCAAAATGTGTAAGGTTTTATCCACTGGAGGAAAAAAATGTCATAGCATTACACAGGTTTTCATTTTTTATCATTTGTGGTTAACTTTCCAAGTTTCTTCATAGAACAAATATGAGATAATGTATTATTTTAGCAAACATAGTGAAGTTCTTAATTCTTAAGATTATTCTTATTCAGTCCCTTATTGATGCATGAATCTATTGTTTTACAAAGCTCTGAATACTTTTCATATTTTGTGAGTGGACAATAATGGACAATAAAGTCCACTAATAATCATGATAACTTCATTATATCACTGAACTGCTTCCTCTGCTGACAGGTACATCGAGCAGGCCATTGAGAAGCTGAGCAAAAAACATACCGAGCACATCCGGGAGTATGACCCACGTGGGGGGGAGGACAACAAGAGGCGTCTCACAGGTCTCCATGAAACCTCCAACATCGAAGACTTCTCTGCCGGAGTGGCCAACCGAGGCGCCAGCATACGAATCCCTCGCCAGGTGGGCCAAGAGAAGAAGGGCTACTTTGAGGATCGCCGCCCTGCTGCAAACTGTGACCCCTATTCTGTGACCCGGGCCATCACAAACACCTGTCTGCTTGATGAGGAAGAATGAGCGGCAGGAGGTGTGGCAAGGCCTAGAAGAAAGTATACAGCCTTTGTAGAACAGATCAGTATAGAAAAATACATGAGGAATTTATCTGATTGGTGTACTTGAAAAATATTCATGCAGGATGAATACATGAAGGCAGACTATATGTTTGTTTCTTTTTCTATATCATTTATCTAGGTTAATAAAGCCATGAGCAGAGATAGCTACTTCTCCTCGATCTCTTCCTAGAAATCAGATATGAATGGATTATTTTGTACAGCAGAATTAAAAAGTAACAGTTTTTTTCTTTCAATCTAAATTATCGGTTCAAGAATAAATCACTGTTTCTTCAAACTAGTGTCAAATGTCTTAGTGTGGATGTTGGGAAAATAAATACACAATGGTGCTGTACTCCTCTGGGCTTATTCTTGTTCTCTTTTACAATTCACAACATTATGAATAAAATACAAATTATATTCAGGAAAAAAATCAAGGTTATACTACTGCTATTACTACTGCAATATAGGTTTAGATACCATTTGTCATATTAAAGTCTGATTTTAGAACAAAACAGAAAAATTACTTTTCAAAAATTCAAATCACATTTTTTCATGCAAACTGACAAAAAATTGTCAATGTATGATATAATTCTTGATTTAAGATTATTTCAAACAAAGAATTTATGAAACTATGACAAAATAATAATTTTCCATCCTTCCTCAATACTTTAGTTATGGAGAAAATAAATAGCTGGGGACCAACTTGATCCTTCTGAAGCACCTTTGGGAGTCCCCTGACTGCACTTTGAGAACAACTTCAGCTTTAAGTCTGATGCCCGATTTATTTCTTGAACAGATTTTGCCCAAAAATAAAATTAGATAATATTTGTTTCTACAGCATTGTTATTATTTCTATCTCAATATTGATCATTTATATACAATAATTGTGTTGCAATATTTATTTTTAATAACTGACAATGATTACAGTTATTTGTCTGAACACACATAGCATGGTGGAAATTTTATGATGAGATAAACAATAATGAAATCACTGTTGAGACAAACTTGTTAAAAAGGGTGTAAGCATCAATCTTGTTCGAACAAGCTGGGTCAGAGCAGTACACACAAAAAGTGAGCAGGCCAACTGACTGACATTCTAACACAATCACAATATTTAGGAAAATATGACCTTGTCCTTTAGCAATTGTCTTAATCCTGTGGAAGGAAGATACATCCTGACTAGTCTACCTAGATAAAAAAACATACAGAGCACAAAGCACAGCTACAGTGCACAGCTGTGCTGATAAGTTCACATGATATATTCAGCAGAAAGTTCACTCCTTTACTGAAGGCAATTACTCTGATATATGAGGAAGACAATGAATTTTGACGTATGGTAGAATCACATATGTTATAATACATTTCAGATTGGTTAATTTAATTTGCTTAAAGAAGAAAATACATTTTCCATTACACATAGTAACATCTGCGCTGCTCCAGATGTAAATTTGCCTCTGGCAATTGTCCACCAGGTGGAGTCATTGTTGTAGTTCTCTTCTCAATGTGTCTCAATATGACACATTTAAACAATTGAAATTCACAAGTCAGAGCAGCATGTTGAAGGTCAGTGAGTGTTACAACACAATCATCTTTGTAACTTTTTTATAAAGGGTTAAATTAAAATGATTAAGAAGATTAAAATCATGAAGAATTAAAGCACAAAATCAATAACATACACAAAGAAGACATGAAGGAGTTTTTTGTTGTCATGACACTCTCAGTAATGGCATGCATTCACCTCGGCCTGATGCTCAGCGTACCTGGCATATGGCATGGACATCTTATCCCGTTACTTCCTGACATACGATCCACTCACTATCATCCTCACAGTGTCAACATGAATCATCACCAAGCTGTTGCAGAGGAGGTTTTAGAAACATGAGTAAACATAAAAACCAGGGAGTTTTTTTAGACCTGATTAGATGTCACAGCATACCAGATTTCCATGGATACAGGCAGTAGCTTGGCAACACTGGTGTTTGTCTGTCACCATGGCAACATCTGTCTCGGGGCATTTATCAGGAGCCTGGTGGGATGATGAGAGAGAGTGGAGAGTGAGTACTTAGAATCTCTTTCTCTGCGTTTCGATGCAGTTCTTGAGGGTAATTTTGTAAGAAAATTTATTGACAATGCAAGCTGTAAGTGTAGAGAGTACTTATGAACGCCATCAGTGAACATTTAATGTGGCAAAGTCATCACCAGTTTCATATCTGCCCCACCTGCTGATGCTGCACATTTAGACAGGAAGTACAGTCAGTCACAGGAAGATGTGTCTGAAACAGAAATTGCAGATTCAAATGGGAAGTTTATCAGCAATGGAAAGGACTTCGAGACCTTCTACTTCAAGATATGTCTGAACATTAAAATTACTTGTTATATATACATATATTATATGTTTGTGTGACTTGTATCCCACAGTGCAGCAGTTTGAATGGGTCATAAATAATCTATCTTACTGCTGTAAACGGCAGCTTAGACAAAATGGGAAATTACCTATACTTACATGCAAATATAACAGTTTGTTAGCAGCTGTTTCAGTTTTGAATCTGTGACAGAAACGCAATTAATTAAGCTGAGGATTAAACAAATCAAGTTTCCAACATTTTCAAACTTCCTCCTTGCTTAAGACTCAGGCTGCATGCACTACCCGAAAATAAAGTATAGAAAAGCACCTTTTGATGTGCAGAGATTGCTGTTGGTGCAGTGCCAAAGAGTTGCAAGGCGCAAGCTGGATTGGTTGCAGTGCAAAGTGGCTGACTCTTTTGTTAGCCACAAACCCAGGTTCCCTTAAAGCTTCAGTCTTACTGCTAACTGTTTTGTCCTTAATGGTATAAACTAAAAAGTCATGCCGTCTCATGACTGGAGGGAAGGAAATTCTCCCTGTAGCCTACATTGCGCAATAATTTATGTTCTTCTCTCATTTCATTATTTTATTTATAGTTTGCAACACAATTGTTACAAGCAGGTTTTAATATCCTATAAAGTTCATATTAAAACGTCTATTTACGCCAAATGATTTTTGCAACTGAATTGTAAAATAATCGTCAAGGTAAAGCAGCTATCAATTCATTCAACGGGTCGTCGACGTGACGTCACAGGTCTCTGAGGGAGGGGGCTCGCTTGGCAGCAGGTGAGGGCGCAGCATCACCTCCTCGCTGTGTTCACAGACGCAGAGCGGCGGAGGAGCGGAGCGGAGCCATGGGAAAGCTTCAAGAATTTGACATCACTTTTACCAACAATAAGGTGGTTTACGGTCCTGGGGAGTCTATAAGCGGAACTGTGAAGATAAAAACCGGCAGTTCGCTGCAGTTTAAAGGTAAGCTGTCCTTCAACATGTTTTTTTTTAACACAGGAAGAGGAACATTTTGTGTCTTACCAACGCCTGCTCAAGTGGAGCGCGTAATGGCTGCATGTAAATAAACTTTTCGTCCGTGATGGTGGACATGAGGAAGACATGAGGATTGAATTCCGACTGCGTGGTTGCTTCTCGCTCGGTGTAACAGCTCTTCTTTGTGATCGTGGATTTAGGCTCTGTGGTGCGTTCATGACGGATTTTGGTGCTTCTGCTTTGGGAGTGGACGTTTCCCATGCGCTACGTTGAACTCTTCTTTTAGAGACATTTCAGCTTGTTGGTGCTGCTCAGTTTAGACCACATCTTTTCAAACCACATCCTGGACCTTACACTGCTTGTTGCAACATGTTGCTTCCGTGTAGCCTACCAACAGTTTTAACCAAACAATAGAACATGTCTGGAGATACTGTTTGAGAGAAGCATCCAGAAAAGCAGAACAACAGGTGTTTGTTGGTTTTGTCACGAGTCTGTTCTTGGTTTTCTGTGTTCAAACTCTTATTACAAACAGCTCTGGAAGACTAGTGCGAATAGTTCATAGTGGAGGGTAAAGAAGGTTAAGGAGGTGAAGAGCAGCTTCTGGAGTTGCCTTGGAAGAACACAAAGCATCTATTGCAGGCCTACGTGAGAGACTCTAGTGGGGATTCTTGTCTGATAAAAGAGGGCTGCTATCAACATGAAGCTAAGCACTTTTCCAAAGGGAGTTTTGCTTGTAGATATGCTAATTGACAGAGACAGAATGCCTACACAAACAGGACTTATTGAGAGAACAAAGATGCTAAGGTGATTTGTTTTTCCTTGCAACAATTATTCCCCATCAGGATCTCTCAAACAGGATCAACATGCAGAGACAGGTTCACATGATGCATACCTTTTTGCAGAATGATTAGTAGGTTGAAAGTAAACTAAAAACAAAAAAATGATATATTTATAACATTTTCTTAACTTTAAGGACAATTTGTAGTTATTATGAACACATCGAGTGTTATAAGCAGTTATTCAGCAGCACTCCCACCTGTATGTCTGGCATGTTGAGATTAATTTGCCATAATGCAGAGGCTGACCTCGGGCAGATGGCGTGAGAGCCGAGGTCAGAGCTCCTGCTGAGCTCTGTTAACACTGTAAGGCCACACAGATGCAGCTCATCTGTAGCTACCTGACACTAGCCGTTCTTCCCCAAATGAAGCCTCTGGCTTCTGTGATGGATTTGGTCTGTCCTTGGAGCATACAGACAGCAGGAGAGCCTCTTCACGTCAATGAGTCAACCGCTCAGTAAAAGTATTTAGAGATGCTGAAAACAGCATGTGAAGAGATTTTAAAATTTCTGGTTGAGGGTTTTGGAGTAGTTGTTGTATTCCCCGGTGCTCAGCCCATTTAGTTTCATTTTTCTGTAAACTAAAGAGAGAAAGATTTCCCACCTGCAATAAAACCTGGAAACCACATTATGGTTTCAGGTCCCTGCACTTACATCTTACATCGACTAGTGTCATGCCAATAAGTGAAACTGAAGACTTCACTGAAGATATTTGTCAGTTAAATGTGTAAGAAGATTAAGCCCAAAACTCCTACAGAAAAACATCTGACAGGAATCAAACAATTCACTTAAATTAGCTTTTTTGTTGCCATTCACTGCAACTCTTTTACACTGTTTTAGAAATCACCCTTATGACAGAAATTAGTCCCTACAGTAGTGCTGTATCTCACTCAAAATGTGTCAGTTCAATCAAATGTATGACCTCAAGCAGTTCATCCATTCTTTCGGTTTTTTTCTAGTTTAGTGCCAGACCAAACTCCTGAATGAGCCAGTAAAGGTGTCATATTTACCTCACGGGTTCAAGGATTTTCCAAAAGTCTGACATTAAGACATTTTCAGTTGACTGTTCACATGATGTTTTATGCCACTTCACTGTCATTTTTATCGGTATCTCTTAACAGATGAAGGAATTCTTCAGATAGTGAGCTGAAGATAGTAGCAGCTCGGCCTGCAGCCCCTGAGGAATGCTGAAGCTTGTTGAAGAAAGACAGATTCTGAGCGAGAGATGGATTTTATTCAGTACTTTTTACCTGTTTTAACGACAGGGTTTGCTTTTTTTAACTCAATTGATTAGTCGACATCCTTTTAACACTTCTCGACTTGTTCCCAGCTCTGACAAAGTTCTATACCCGGTACTCCAGTGCAGGAGTCTTGGGCTCCATCTCGGGCTTTCAGTGTGCCCATTGATGTACTGTAAATGCAGAGGCTGCATTATGTGTGTGGTGACATCACCCCTCTCAACCGTGGCTGTGGATGATTCCATCAATCAGGCGGTTTGAATCATTCTGAAGCAGAGAAAGATGTGGCTGTCTGCTCTGTTAGAAAGCGTCAGACTTTCCTGTTTTTGTTTCTCTGGTTGAGAATAAAGAGGAATTGTTGGTTGCATGTTGCCTGGACTGTCAGAATAGATTTCTCAGTTAAGTTAATTCCCTGCATTTATTTGATTAAGGACGTCTCATTAAGTCTAATGGTGAGTCACAAAGATAATAATCTGAAAAACCCATTTCCACATTTATTGAATCTTTAAAACGATGCAGATTAAGAGTGGGAATACTCCATGGGCCATTTTCCTATCAAAACAACAGCAAAGCTTTAAACTGAAGAGTGATAACCCATTTTGAGCAGCAAGATTACATTTATCATCTGCTGCTCTTGTTTAGCAGGGCAAGACACATTTTCAAAGTGGACACAGTCAAGTGTGTTTGTGCGCTTCAAATGTTTATATCCATTCCAAAGATTGGGACGCCATACTGATCCAAGCTGTATGGATTGCTGTGTAGAGTGACTTCACATAATGTTGAATTTCAGTCAAGTGTGTACAGGTCATGCTGAAATAAATACACAGGAATATTAATAAACAGTTAAAAGCTATTTTAGATGCTGAATATGGTGGAGGCCTAACAGTCAGCCTCTCTCTATTATTGATGATGCAGACCATTAGACTGCATTTCTATTGATCAGCTTCCTTACAAAGACAGCCGCTAAAGAATAATGAGCCACTTATACACATTACTTACATGTGCAGTGTGCAAAGTAACTGCCTTGAAACATTTATTAGTTGAACCTATGTTTGTAGTGCATGACTGAAAACATACAGTAGGAGGAAGTTTTGTGCTGCTGATGGGGTCGACTTTCATGTTGGAGAATGGAGTTTGTGCCCCTCCATATAATGATTGTCTTCTTAGTGATGCTAGCTGTACTAAATTGAAAACAGTAGTTGAATATATTGTTATAGGTGGGGCGGCTGTGGATCAGTTTGTAGTGCCGGTCGTCTCTCAACCGGAAAGGTCAGGAAGGCCACTTGCAGATGTGTCCTTGGTGCAAGACATTCAAACCCAAGTTGCTCCTGCTGCTTCGTCGGCGTTCTGTGAATGTGTATGAATGGGATTAGTAACTTCTGATGGTTATTTTACAAAGCAAACCTCTACCATCAGTGTGTGAGTGTGTAGGTGTGACCTGCGGTGTAAAATCACTTTGAGTTGTCGGCAGAATAGAGAAGTGCTATACAAGCTCAAGTCCATTTAATAGCTCTTGTAGCTCTTGTTTCATGCAAAGACTTTTAAGGAAAAAACAATAAAAAAATGCATACATTTGTAATACCTCATCTCATTTTAGTCCTGTTATCAACACTAATACACCTAAAGTTATGTCATCTACAAACACTCTTTTTCTGATGTTGATGTTAGTTATTGACAGAAAACACGCTCACTGTGAAGCGGGGGATCCCTCTGCGTTGATGCTGCTCAGTTATAGATCTGAAGCAGCCGGTGCAGCCAGCCTGTCTGTTTGGTTTAGTCTCCTCCTGCGTCTAAAAGCATGTCCAGTGTAGTCACCTGATACAGGAGATGTTGCTGTTTTGACTCAGTGTCTCAGCTTTTATGGAAATTTCATCTCATGTGGGACATGCCTGTATTGACAGATTACTTCAGGCTCCTGGTGAAAAGCAGAGAGTGTTCGCTTAAACAGAAAGTGGATCGTGTGAAGTGAAATTTCACTTGATCTGTCGTCCTCCTTACATGTAGTCCTTTTATTCTTCAATCTATTTGTCCATGTGAGGGACTATGAGACATTTAGACGTGTCGTTGTTTTGTATCTCAGGTGATAGGAGGAGATCTCAGTTTAGCTTCCAGCTATGCAGAAACACAAACATTCACTGTAACCCAATCATCATCTGTGGTAACCCAAGCTTTATGTAAACAAGGCAAGGTGTCTCCTCAGGTTCACATGAAGCTGGCCACAGGCATCTGCGTACAACACACACACACACACACACACACACACACACACACACACACACACACACACTACAGTACCTGTGCCAGAGATTTCTTTTTATCTTGTATGTATAACAAGTAGTTTGGGAAATGCATGCATAGAGACCTTTTTCAAAAACGTATATCATTCAGACTGTGGCTGCAGCTGTGGCTCAGTTGGTAGAGTTGGCCTTCTGTCAACCGGAAGGTCAGGGGTTCAATCCCCAGCTCCTGCAGCCACATGTCCCTGTGTCCTTGGGCAAGAAAATTAACCCCGAATTTCTCCCGCTGCTTCGTCGGCAGCGTATGAATTTGTATGAAATGGGATCTGATGGTAACTTTAGATAGCAGCCTCTACCATCAGTGTGTGAATGTGTAGGTGTGACCTGCGGTGAAAAAGTGCTGTGAGTAGGCAGAAGACTAGAAAAGCGCTTTACATGCTCAATTTACCATTTACTTTACTTGCTTTTTTGCACAGCTTGCGAATAAGACTAGTTTCAACCTATATTATCCTATTTAGCCTTGTACATATTAGTCTTTTTTTATTTGTTTATTTTTGTGTTTATTGTTGACATTTAATATTAGACCTTTGTACAAAGAGAGCACAGTAAGTAAAGCAAGTAAAATTTCTTGTGTGTTGAAGCATTCCTGGCCAATAAAGCTGATTCTGATTCTGAACC